AAAGAAATTACTTTTAGTGTTATACTATTAGAAATAAACTTTGTTTTTTGTTGACTGTTAATAGGAAATGAATTAAAAAATTTTATTTTTTATTTTTTCGTGTGGATTTCGGCGTTATTTCTTGTGGCATTGATAGAGGTTTAAAATAAGGTTGTGCACAAATAATTTCTTCTTGTTCATTGACTTGTTTTTCTCTTAGTTTTTGTTTCGTTTTTGGTATTCGTTTTTTCGGTCTCCAACGAGAATCTCCTTCAATAATAGCCGATGGTTGAATTATAAATGAAGACAATGTTTGATTTGTAAATGGTCGTGATTTTTTGGTAACATCAATTTTATTCCATTTATCTTGTAATGCTTGTTTAATCTTTTCAATATTATTTTGATCATTATCATTGTTTTTCATAGTAAAAAATACTAAAAGATCAGGCGGATGAATATTTTCACCATTCAATCGAAGTTTCTTTTCTAATTCACGATAAGTTTTCATCGATTTTTTATTAGGAATATTAATATTAATATTTAATTCATTTTCAATCTTTTTAACGTTTTCTCCACCACGTCCAACAAAACGACCAGCTTTGTAATTACTTTGTCGAGTTAAGAGTCCTGTAGAAGATTTAAGTGATACATGATGGATAGGTTTTACAGATTCAGATATTATCGATGGTGTTGTCTGTATTGATTGAATTTCATGACAAAGTTTACGTAAATGATCAATAGTAAATATAGATTCTCCTACAAAACAAGAAGATTATAAAAATGAAAATATTATCGAATATTTTCCTACCTATTTTCTCATTACATGAACAACATCGTTTTGGTAATTGTTTTAAAATAGAAATATTAAATTCGTTGGTTCGACGAAGTTGATTAATATTTCCATGAAATTTTGATAATGTTTTTTTATTATGTACAATACAATTGTTTTCCATTATTAACAAATCTTTTAATCAAAATAAAACGGACAGATTTCTTTCACAAAACAAAAATTGATGGAAAGAAATAAACTGAAATGTATATAAAATATAATATTATATACCGATGGAATTGCACCACCACGTGAAAAATATGTTGACAGAATGAAAGAAAGGAGAAAACATATAGTGATAGTGACGACATATTTCACAAAACACGTTGTTGATTACGAAGATAAGTATATTGAAATATATGATTTATTTGCATTGCAATTAAGAATATCGATATTTTCAATAATTTTTCTTTTAACTAAAATACTGATTTTTTTTAGAAAATGAATATTATCTATGTAGTCTTTATATTCATATATACTTTTATTATGTTAGATTCTACCATGTGACATAGAGCACATAGTTAACGATACTGTCCATATAAATATATGTGTTCCCTTTCGTTTCTATATGTAATATATCGGGTATATTTTCCATGTACGAGTAACACCGAGCTGGTGTATTTTAATGACTTGTTATATATTAGGTTGAGAGAAAGAATGTACCATAACCAATGAATATGACATATACGTAGACATTAATTAAAACTAATTTAAATAGAATTAAATTTTTAAACTATATCTATAGAATGCAAGAATATTTATCATATTCATTCAATTGAAACTGCTACTTTCTTCGAATCTTCTTTCAAAAATCTTACATTACAATTAGAAAATAAAATAAACTCTTCAAATATTGAAATATCAGTTAATTTAGTTTATGTCATTTTATAGTACATTAGTATTTTAAAATATTCTCGGATATTTTCCTTTAATATAACTTGAGAGTGGGTGTGGGTGTGGCTTTCTCTTCCTCATCTATACCAATACCCACACCCTCAAGATTTTTCCCTTACCTAAAAATATAAAAATATGAGAGCTCCGATCAAAATACAACTTCGTTCATTCTAAAATTCTGCTTTTTGCAGAGTTTCGGTCTTTTTATTTCTGATTATTTTACTCTCTTCTAACTAAAATTTGAGTATAATGAAAAATAACTTTATAATCGTATGAAAATTTCAGAATCTTGCAATAGACATAGAACATACAGCATCAACATATATTATGATAGTAGTTTATTTCTTACAATCTAGACAAACATTCTCTCACAAATATTTCTAAATGATCAAACAAAATTTGTAGACGGCAGTCATCAGAGTTGGAATGATGATTGAAAATATAGATGCCTTTCATTAAATGAATGAATGCTTCTTCGTATCGCTGTTGACCTTCTAGTGCATATGCTATGTGGTTATAAGTGTAAGCCAAATCTGGATGGTTCGAGCCGAGAAACCTTAACTCGATATCAAGTGTTTTTTGAAAAAATTCCAGCGCAGTCGAGTAATCTTTCATCAAATAACGTAAATGTCCGATATTGTTATAAGTTAACGCTAAGTTCTGACAATTGGACGAGTCAGGTGTTTCATAAATCTTCAGCGCCTTCTCATAGCACGATAATGCACATGTATAGTTGTTCGTTGCTTGATGACACGCCCCGATGTTGTTGAAAACAGAAGCTAAAGATGAATGATCGGAACCAAAGCATTCCTTCCGTATGTTGAGCGCGTTTTGAAAGTATTCATGTGCTTTCTCGTAGTTCTTCAATTCTCGACACATATCGCCGAGATCGTTATAAGTCGTTGCTAGATTTGGATGAGTAGGTGGTAAACACTTTTCTTCAATTTCTCGAGCCTTGTGATAAAAAGAAAATGCCTGGTGGAATTCTCTTTTTGTTCGATAGAAATCACCGATGTTGCAATACGTGGTAACCATATCTAAATTATTGTCGGGGTCATTCTTCTTCTGGATTTCCAATGCTTTTTGATAATATAACCATGCTTCTGAATCATTTCCCATTTCTAAATAGGCGAGACCAATATTGATATAGATTACAGCCGACAACGGGTCATCTTCATCGAGCTGTGTCAATGGAACTTCGAGCGTTTGTTGAAACAGTAAAAGTGCGTCCGAATATTTTCCCATTGAAGTGTAAGCTGAGACCATATTATTATAAGTTATAAGTAACGACGTATGGTTAGGAGGAAGAGTTTTTTTGTTGATTTCCAATGCTTTCTCATAAAAAGAAAGCGCTTCATGATATTCATAGAATAATGTATGCAGCGAGGCGAGATTTTCGTAGATAGTAGCTAATTTCGGATGATTGGGAATACCATCGTTTTCTGCAACTTCAATTGCTTTCTGATACATTAGTCGTGCTTTTTGATAATTTCCCATCGATTTATGAACAACAGCAATGTTATTGTGAGTGGCAGCTAGCAATAGATAATTTTGAGGATGATATTCCTGATAAATCCGAAGTGCTTTTCCATGAAAATCAAGTGCCGTAGAAAAGTTTTTCATCGAGTGATAAGTTTCGGCGATGTTGTTGTAGGTGACAGCCAGACTTGGATCGTTGGCAGAAAGAAATTGTTTTTCGATATCGGCTGTTTTCTTAAAAAACGAAAGTGCTGTCTCGTAGCTGCCTTTTGCGACATCAATGGATCCGAGCTGATTATATATTAAAGCAAGTTCTTTCCAATTATCGGTAGTCGTAAACTTTCGTAATTCTGAGTATATTTTTTCAGCGATGTCATTTTTATCCAGCTTCATCATTAAGTGTGCTAATTGTTGTTGTCCAGTTCCTACGCCGAGCTCTTGTCGAAAAGAGCCGATGACACGTTGCAATTGTTCATCAGTATCACTCGTTAATGTTAAGTACACTTTCCACAATCGATTATCAATAAATTGCATGTCATCGATTCGAAACACCGTATTCATCGAGAAAAGAATCTCTTCTTCGTCAGGGAATTGACTGATACCATCTATTGCAGCGAACGACGAAGATATGTTTGAAGGATCGATTTTTATTTCAAATAAAATTCCGATCATACAAGCTACCTGTGAACTACTTTCTGCAAGAGCACGCGGCATAGCTTCGTCCTTGCTTGTAGATAAAAAATTATTGAATGATAACAAACTACCCTTGCTATTTTTCAGCTTCTCAAATTCGGTACTTAACATTCTCTGCCCTCGATAGACAGTTGATGGTATTATATTAGTAGTTGACGATTGTAATTGAACGATCTGTCGATGAAGATCTCGAATAAAGAATCCCATCTTCACGATAATATCAATATCTTGAGTTCGTAAAGCCGTATTTAATGTCGAATAGATAAAAAGTTCTTTCGAATACCATTTGACTGACGAATTGCAGTCATAATTTTTTTCGAAATCCGCAATTAATTTCAACTCAAAATTCCTGTTGGCATATTCATCACGTAAAAATGTAATTAATTCTTTCATTTCCTTCGTTCTGTCTTCGTCTTCAATTTTGAGAAAAGTGTCTTTAAGTAATTGAGAATACATAAATGATTGATTGAGTTGATTTGAGCCTGGTGGTAGAGTATCATCCAAAGATATATTGCTGAACGTAATCAAGCACTCGTCATTTCGTCGAATCTCGTTATTGAGCGAATAATAAATGTTTTTTATTTGAGTAAAAACACCTTTGACTTTCTTGTATTGTTCAGCCCACAACTGATGATCCGAATGGTTATCACAAAACACATAAATGGATTTTATTTGCGGTATATTGTGAATTAACTGTACGATTTCTGCATTTAAGTCTTTGGATATAATCATAAATACTTTTTTGTTTTTCAGTTTATTAACAAAATCAATACATCCATTCAAATTAGTAAATACATCAACAGAATCGATAACTTGCTTTAATTGCATAATATCATTTTGATAAGCTTCATTAACTGAATTAATATTTGAATCTAACCAAACAATATGATACTCCATTAGTGTTGAAGAAAATAAATAACTTGAAGAAGCGCTTTTGTTAATATATAATATGTGTCGCGTCGTGAAGTGTGAGTTTTGAATAATACTTTATTGTCGAATATACTACTTCACACACGTCTATATATATCATGGAATATGCGTAAGAGAGGGAATATTCCAAGAGAATATTCCTCAACAAGAGCGGGGAATATTCCCAGTGAATACAAGAGAACGAAAGAAAAATACATGTGGAATATACTAACACCATCTATAGAAAGTAAAAGAAAGAACTAAAACAAAGCGAACGATAACAATCTATGTTCATACATCACACATTACAATAAGAAAATAAAATAAACTCTTCAAATTAAGAATTATCAGTTAATTCAGTTTATGCCATTTTATAAGACATTAATATTGAAAAATATTCTCGGATATTTTCCTCTAATATAACTTTTAACTTCATTTTTTTAATCCTCTAGTTAGCATCGTTTTCATTAGGTACAAAACTAGGATTTTAACAAGGAGAGTATAAAAAAATATTTTTTACAAGAATCTAATGTTTATTATTTCATTAGTTAATTAAGTTCAGCAGGATGAAATTATTCAATCACACATTACATGGGGATTTAAAATAAAACAAAAGTAAAATACGATCTAATCACTCTATGATCTAGAGTCGTATAATACACTATAAATATTGTCTATTTAACAAATATTATAGTTCTATTGTACAACATGATATATTTATCTACTAGTTCTAATTTATGTGGTTTTTAAAAAGAAATATTTGACATTTTACATGATTTGGACTATCGATTTTAATCTAACAAAATATACATTATTCTTAAAATAATACTTACGAACGACACTATTTTGTTAAATCAGTCTCTCAAATTGTCAAAATAGTATTGATAATTAATTTCAAAAACAAATAGATGCAGAATTTCGTTACAGTTATTATTGAAATCAATTGAAATAGAAAAAAAATGTAAAATTATTTTTTAAGGTATTATCGATATTAATACAATTGTTGTCAAGTTTAAATTCTATACCAAATTAACATCATCAAAATTTACTGTTGAAAGGAAAATATAGATGCTATATTCTACAAAAAAATTCTTCTAAAAGTGCCAAGAAATCTGTCAAAAATCGTTTCTTCATTAATTAGTCTCTAAAATATCATTTGAATCTTTCTAAAAACTGTTAAAAAGATGAAAATTGAATCTGATATTTTATGAAATCTTAGTTTTTATATAAAATAATATAAAAAAAGTTTAAAGAAGAATTTTCTTTCCAAACTATGCCTTGTATATCCGAACTTAGCTCAGTTGGCAGAGCGGTAGGCTGTAATGGAAATTTATCATAGAAACCTATAGGTCCCCAGTTCAAATCTGGGAGTTCGGATTTAACCCTTTTTTTTTTTTTTTCTTTCTTATCGATTATTATTCAATTGAAAAAATAAAATATTTTTATAATTTATTTCTTTTATATTAAACTAACAACATTTATCCTTCCAAATTACTTTCCGTTGTTAACTTGCCTAGAAACAAATATTTAGCTTTTACGACATTAATTTTATCTTTAGTAATTTTCGTACAATCATTTGATACGAGCGAAACAAATCTGGATTGTATTATACATTTTGTATTTCTAACTTTGCGATTGATAAAAATATTTCAAGATAAAATTTTATCAGACGTATAGAATTGAATTTGTCTTGTTTAAATAATAAAATAAAATTGTAAAAACTAATTTCGTATTAATATTATCATTTATCTTTATTAGTTAATGAAGAAAAAAGAGTAATATACATAAAATAAAGAACGATTTATCTTTTGCTATTAATTATAAATGAAGAAAAAATATTCACAAATGATTTAGTTTGACTATTTAGTTTTAAAGTTCCCAAGAGATTGAACGAGCCTGATAGAGAAAGAGAGAGAAGCGAGAAAATAAAGATCACATTGAAGCTAAAAAACGGACAATATGTTGTTTTTTATAGAAGAAAAAAAGCAATGTGAAGAAATTGTCAAAACAAAAAAAAAGAAGAAATAATTTCTTCTTTTAATAAAGATAATCCCATGAATATAAATAAGATGCATTTAATCATCAAAACTATCATCATCATCTTCATCATCGTTATCATCGTTATCATGATGATTTGAATGACTAAAACGTCTAATTGGATATGGTGTAACTTCTCTTTGTTCTCTTTTCGAAATTTCATTTCTATAAGTAATTAAACTTGCTTGAATAGCTTTTTCAATCTCATCAATTTCTGTATTTCTTTCATCAATTGTATTAATATAAGTTGAAAGACTATCACTCGTTGTCCATTGTCTTGATATTGTTTCCATATATTGTCTTCGACGACGATCTTGTCGTTTTGATCGAATATGTTTAACTAAACGATATGTTCCATAAGTTGGTGCACCAATTGTTGTTCCAACAGCTAACATTGCTATTGCACCAACAGCTGCAACTGGTATTGCTAATGTTGCTGCACCAACAACTAATCCACGAACTGTATGACGTAATATTGGTTTATCAGGATATAAATTATATTTACAACCCAATGGAGAATAACGACTTTCATGTGAACCAAAAAATTTTAAACCTAATCTTCTTCGTCCACAATTATAACAAAAATCACATTGACATTTGGAACAAATCATATGTGGACAACCACCATTTCGTGATATATAAACCTAAAATGAAATTTATTAATAAGAAATCATATTTTTCTTTTGTTTTTTTTCTAAATTAACTAACTTTACATCTTGGACATTTTTGTGCATTATGTTGATTTTGATCAATTTGTTGTGCCCATGATCTAAGCATTTTTTCTCCTTGTTGATATTCTTTACAAGACATTTTTTCATGCCATGGTGAATGACAATAAAAACACCATTCAAATTGACATTCATTACAAAGAACTTTTCGTGGAATATTTCTTTTCCAACGAACACCTTCAAATAAATTTTTATCTATTTCTTTTATTGAACAACATTTTGGACATGTTTTTATATGTGATTCACGATTAATATCAGCATAAAAACGTTTATATCGTTCAGAGATATTTCCATTAGGATCATTTAATGATAATAATGATAAAATTTCTTCACGAGTAAATATATGTGGACATGATGGACAAATTAAACGTATACGACCATCAATTATATTTGTTGATAAATGTAAATAAATACATTTAGAACAAATAAACGATGAACAACAAGATAAACGTTCGATTGATGATTCTTCAAGACAGATTTTACATTCACTCATTGGAATTACATTGATTGGTTCAGCATCAGATAATGATAAGGAATCATTTGTCACTAAAAATAGTTATTCTAATTCTTATTTATTTATTTATTAATTAATTAACTTACTCAATTGTCTTATTGATATTTGTGATGCTAATTGATTTAAATTCCATTGATGATTAATATCATCACTACTACTTCCATCATCATCATCATCTTCATCATCTTGATGAACAGAAGAATTTGGAGAAAAAGATCTTAATGAATCATAATTTGATGATTTTGATAAAGAACTTATTGAACTTGTTGAATGTTCACGTAAAATAGTTGATGATGATGATGATGATGATGATTGATTCGTTTTCTCTATTGTTTGTTTAACAAAATGAAAAGAACTTTTTTGAAGTTTTCGTAATGATAATGATGGACGTGTTAAATTTATTTGTTCATTTGAATTAATATTATCTAATGGTGGAATTGATGATGATGATAATAAATCATTTGTAACTCGACGAATTGGTGGAGTTAAATTATTTATTATTGTTGATGATTCATTTGATGAACATAGAATTTGATTTGACATGATTTATTTAGACTTCGAATTAACCTAAAAAAGAAATCAGATTTTTGTCACTCGTGATATATATTAATAAGAGAGAGAGAGACTGGAATAGAAACTGTACGTGTCTAACCTCGTTTTGTCTATCGATTATGTCAATAAGAAAAAAGAATGTATATCATTTCGTTTCGTTTTTTTTTTTTTCTTTCAAGGTAAGAAAACATATTAAAAAAGAAAGTGGTCAAACAAGTACGAAAGAACAAACGAGAAGTGCTAGTTTAATGAACACCTTCAATTGATAATAAATAAGAAAAATGTGCATTCATCCGAAACATTGACCAAAAAAAAAGAATTCCTGTTCTTTTCTTAAACAATGATTTCCAAGGTTTTTTTTGTTCTATTGAACTAAAAATTTGATAAAATAATTAACTGATTTTTATCTGAATGATTGCTTTTACATCTATCTATATATGTATATATAATGAACAAGAATAATTTACCTTTTCATATGTTCATTGAAACTCGATATTCATCAATTGAAATAATATTACATTTCAATTTATCTAAAATCAACAAAAACAAAATCTTTTTTCTTTCTTTCTTTTTTTTTTAATATTCTAAGTTTTTAGAAAAAACAATTTTTAATCAAAAGTCTTTATTCTATTTTGTCTGTTTTATTATCTGATGTTTTAGGTTTTGCTAATGTTGGTATTGAAGCATTATTTTTCTTTTTTGCTCTTTCTAATAAATAATCAAATGTCCAATAATGTAAATGAAGTTGATTAGGAATTGAAAGTGCTTGAATACGTTGCATTGTTTCATTATATGATGGAACATCAATATTATGAATTGCACTAAATTCAAATCTTCCAATTTGTTTTGTTGATGATATTAATGGTCCACGTGTTATATCAACATGATAATCACCCATACGATAAACAGATAAACGTGTTTGATTATCTGATGGTGATAATAAACGTAACATATAAGGGATTTGAGCTAATTTAAATCGATCATATTTAAACATTTCTTCTGCTACTGATTGTGTTATATCTAAACGTTCAAAACGAAGATCATTATCACGTAATTTGTATGCTTGAATTGATAAACAACGAAGATCATCACGTGTTGGTTTCCAATCTCCTTCAAAACAAATATAAATTTTATTTCTTTTTTTCTTTTTAAATAAAATAGTTACCAATATTAAGTTGAGCATCATAAGCAAATGATCCATATTGAAATTGTGGTGGAGGAAATGAACAAAGTTCAACATTATAATTTGATTTAAATGCCGTTTCAAGAATATATCCAATAATAAATGAACATGTTCTCCAATAAGCACGATTTTGTTCTTCACATTTTTCTTCAAGAAAATGAAGAAATTTTAATTTACAATCCCGTTCTAATGGACGATTCATATCCCAAACAATTTCATCATCAATTAAAGCTAAACAAGATCGATCAACTAAAACTGATGATAAATGTTTAGCACAATGATATGGTGTTGATAAATTTTTATTCATTAATAATTTTGTTGATTGAATTGGATCTTCAACATCAATTTCAATTTTTTCTACACGACGAATACGTTCCATTTGTGTTTGACGTTCATTATTATATATTCGAAGACGATGTTGACGAATTTCATCATTTGTCAAACGACTACGAGATACTGCTGATGATGTCGATTGAAAACGAGAAATTGGATTTAAACAATATCGAATTTTCATCATTTGAAATTTTCAAAAAATCTATTTCAATTCTAATTAGAATAAATTATATTTCAAAAAAAGACATCAATATTATCTAGAAGAAAGAAAAAAGAAAGGTATTAATCATACGTTTCAATATGGATTACCAATTACAACTCACAATTGCCAATAGAGAGTAGATGGCGTTGACTATTATATTAAGATTAACAACTTTTTTTTTATAAATCAATCATTAATTATATTCCTTAGAGAATTAATTGAATTTTAAATTAGAATTTATATCGTCATCTTCATTCTACACGGACATTTTCAAAATCTCGTCATATCCGATGAAATTGATAACAAGAACGATCCGTAAACTGATTGAAAATAGTGACTTTATCAGTACGACTATCAATCATCGTTCATTTAGATCCATTTCACGAATATTTAATAGTTTTAATACTCTTGTCAAAATACATATATTATATACAATACAACACTATCTATGTCAAGTTCATCTCTATCAAGTATTTCTCAAAACAAAATCCTTATATAAAAAATATTGAATCTGATAAAAATCTGTTTTTATCAGTAATAAAAAAGCAGATACATCTGTTAAGTTTTCTTCATCTTGGAATTTGTTTCACTCGTAGATGAATAGAAATAGTTTAATGAAGAAAATACCATCACGTTGACATTCCATGATAAGTCTATTTTTAAAAATAACAAATTATTCTATGATAAATACAAATAAATCGTCTAAATATATTGAAAATACTTTATTTATTGTTTAAAAAAAAAGAAATAATTTGCATAAATTCAATATTGGAGCATTTAATGCAAAAACTAACTTCTTTTACTTTTTTTGTAAAATATCAACGATGGACATTTGTCAATGCTCAAAAAGTAAACCAACTCGTTTTCTTTGACATACTTTTATACAAATAACTTCCTTCAATAGATTACCTTTTTTTTATATATGCATCAATGATTACATTTAATTGTTTGCAATTTTAATTTTAAACTTTCGTTTGTATTACTAATAATTAGATAGGGTGTGAATGGATAAATATGGGTAAAGATGGGAGGTAAGAAAAGGTATACACCCACACCCTTTTTCTATGTTTATAGAAAGAGATATTTTCTTGAAATAGTTTCATTAATTAATTATCTTATATCTATCGAGAGTACCTTCAGTGTAGAAAAAAATCTCAAAGAATTGTTTCATAATCGTTATTGAATGTATTCGATTTGTACTTATCTTCTCTTTATTTATATCTGAAAATGTCCAGCAAGACGTCTTGAGCATATTATATGAGTAACACTATAACGAAGTACAATATGAGAAGTCACTGTGAAGAAATAATATATTCTGTAGTTGATTACATCATACAAAAAAATGTTTTGTTTATATCTAAAACATTTTCATCTATACAATGATTAGCATTGAGATCTATAGGAGCCATGTAGAAGAAAAGAGTAAAAAGATCAAATAGAAACAAATGATTGTTCTAACTCTGAAGAAATTGATTTTCTTTGTATATTTATTTAGTATTTATATTAGATTTCATTTGATATCGTCAAAAAAAAATATTTATTGAAGAAAAGATTTTTATATAAAAAATAAAAGAATTAATAGTATTATAAAATGAATACTATCCAATAAAAGATAACTCAAAATAATAATAATTATACTTGAATATTGTCATGGAATTGTTTGCACAAAATATTATTTTTTATTTAACTAATCTGAAAAATAAAAAATATTATTTTAAATATTTCTTAATTTTATTAACTTTTTTTGTATTCGTTGTTCAGTTAGTTGTTGAAGAACTTTCGTTCGTTGATGATCAATATCTTTATAACTAAGTTTTTTCTCTTCATATCGACAATCAATTACTGGAATTTGAAAAACTCGTGGTTTTGTTTGCACATAATTAATATCACTTTTTGTTTGTAGAATATCTGATGGATTTAAATAACAATCAGATGAACAATCTTTTTATTAAACAAAAAAAACTAATAAATAGAAAAATAAGATTTTCTCAAAATGAATTTACCATTATTTGTCGATGTTTTGTCATGTTTATTCGATTGAGATAGAGTTCCACACATCATTGGAAAATAATCTACATCTGAATAGGATTTATTTATTGGTTCACTTGTTGATGAAATAGTTGAAGGATGAACAAGTTCATCAACTGTTGATGAAGAATTGAATTTATTTTTCTTTTTCTTCTTTTGTTTTTTCTTTTCATTATTATTATTATTATCTAATTCATTTGTCGATTGACTTCGTTTTATTTCATCATCATTCTTTCAAAAATCAAATTATTTATAAATGAAAGAAAACGTTTTATTAAAATACCTGATGTTCATCTTGATTATGATTTGATTTGACATGTTGAAGATGTTCAGTACTTCGATCTTTCGATGGAAGTCTTTTACGAATAAATGATAACATAATATGCAGTAAATATTTACCTATCAACCTAATACTTTTTTTCTCTTACAAAATAAAATCAAGAGATTGAATAAAAGTGATGAATCATTCTGTCAGATGTTGAAGAAATTGCATTGAAATCTAATTGATTGTTATTACACCATTCTTATGTCATTGAAATAATTTTTAAAAAAATATTTTTAAAGATACGAAAATGAATTATTTCTTCTGAAGATTGTTTAAAAATAATTTTTTTAAAAAAATTCATTTGAAATCATATTAAATATACAAACAGAAGAGGTCGCTACTATAACTTTTTGTTTTTATTTATTTCATATGAGAACTAACTATAAGATGAATAGAATGACTAGAAAAGATTTCTATATTTGTTTGTAGATGTTGACCAAATTTCTTCGTCCTTTTGTACCAAATGGTGTAGCAACATCATTAATTGCATATCGACCATTGTCCATCTCCAATAGATTTTTTCAAAATGCCAATTCAAAGTCCACTTCAGTAGATAAATCATCGAAAACAGGTATTGATTTTGTTGAGATGTTTTTCTATTAAACATTGAAATAATTTAGATGAAAAATCATTAGTTGGACAAGAAAATAAAAAAGAAAAAGCTTTACGTGTTGAAGATTCATTAAAAGATTTATCATCAATAAAATGGCGTACTGAACATAATGGCAAACGTTTATGGCCTCATGATCAATGGCCAGAACGTGATTTAGTTAATTTTCCACCATATAAATTACGTGAAGCACCAAATGCAGTTCGTTGGTATTTTGTACCTGAATCTTGGTTTAAATTTTTTTATGATAAAACTGGTGTTACTGGACCATATATGTTCTTTTATGGTTTAATCATATATGGATTTAGCAAAGAATATATTGTTTTATGGTATGACTTCACAGAATATCTTATTTTGGCTGCAGCTGTCATTACCGTTGTCAAAAAGTAATAATTTGTTTTTTTTTAAATAAAAAACAACCACTTTCCTTCTATTTTTTTTCTTCTATTAGAGTTGGTCCATCAGTTGGAGATATATTTCGTGGATGGCATCAAGAAGAAGTTGATCGATATACTTCTGTTGTTAATAATTCGAAAGCCATGGCTGGAAAAATGTTACATGGTTATGAAGAATCATTATCACGTGCTAAAAATGTTGGACAATTAGCTGATGCACGAAAAGATATTATTAATATGGCACTTGAAACAGCATATCGAGATCGAATGAGACAAATGTATGAAGCTGTTAAACGTCGTTTAGATTATCAAGTTGCTTTACAAAATGCACGAAAAGATTTTGAAAGAACAAATATGATTAATTGGATAACAACTGAAGTTAAAAAAGCTATTACAGCTAAACAAGAACAAGATACATTACAAGCATGTCTTAATCAACTTAGACAAATTGCACAACAATCACGATGAGTTATCATTTAATAGAGAAAGAGACATTCCTTTTATTTTAGATTTTTTTTCTTTCTTTCTTTATCCTTTCAATCCTTTTTTTCTCTCCGAATTAAAAAAAAACTTAACAAGTAGAAAAGAACTATATTATTGATTTCCTTCCTTTATTTTCTTTATTTTTCAGACATCTTGTAAAAACAATAGAGAAAAATAAATATTTAACATCATCCAATATGTTTGTTTGTTTGTTTTTTCATAGAATTATATTAAAAAATAGATTATTTAGAACAATTATATTCCATTTTATAAATATCATTCATAGAGACTAAACATCATTAGATAGATATATTCATGCTCAAAATTAAAGATAAATAATCAATATACGATAATAAAATACAGATAATCAAGTAGTTATTGGATTTGATTGTATGAACAAATGAAAATAAATTTGATTCTATTGATATTGATCTGATGAAATCTAAGAATTTGATTAATTTTAGATAAATAAATCTATAAGAAATGAAAAAATTAAATATTCGTCAATTTGGTATTGGAACATTAATGAAATATGCTCCATTAATATCATCAGATTCAAAGTATATTTTCATTTGTTTTTATTAAATAAATGTAAATAAAAATGTAAACAATAAATGTTTAGATATGTATTTACAATTGGTGATGGTTGTATTTATGTGTGGATTGTTAAAACAGGTGAATGTTTAAGATTAATTAATAATAATTCAAATTCATCTGATCAACAAACAATTATTGGGATGACGATTAATCCAAATAATCGATTACAAGTAAAAACATTTTAGTTTTAATTAAATAGAAGAAATAAAAATGAATTTTTCTTATTTTTAGTTATGTGTTGGAGAACAAAATGGAAATATCAATGTTTGGGATTATGAAGATGGAATTCTTATTCATGTAAATTAACAGATTTTATCAGATTTCTTGTTAGATAGTGAGAAATTTAATTTTAAATAAATTTAGACAATAAAACTTGAAATGGAACTTATTCATTTACATTCGATTGCTAATAATGGTTTATACGTTTTTTTAAAAAATCTTAATAAAAATGGTAACAAAATAAAAATGAGAAAAAATAAATATATATTTTTTTGTTTTATTTAATATTTAAGTTTATTCACTTAATCGAATTGAATCAGTTCGTCATAATTGTACACCAATAAATCTATTTGATAAACTTCCATGTCAACCAACATCGATTTCATATAATCAAAAAGTAATTTGTTAAATAATTTCAAATCTAAAAATAAATTTTGTTTTAAAATAAAAAAAGGGTGAATATTGTGTATTTGTAAATGTTGATGGAACAATAATATATTTATTAAATTTATTAAATAATCAACTAAAACCTTATCCAATAACAAAACAAAATTTATCTTTTCATGAGAAAATAATTTGTTCACAAATTCATCCAACAGAAGAATGTATTGCATTAGGAACACAATCTGGACGAATTGCTCTTTGGTATAATTATTTAAATTCAACAACAAAAGAACCAACAATATCATATTTACATTGGCATTCATTACCTGTTCTTTGTTTAGGATTTTCATTTGATGGTAAACATTTATTTTCTAATATTAATTAATTAATTAAATAAATAAATTAAGGTTCATATTTATTATCGGGTGGTCATGAATGTGTACTTGTTAAATGGCTTTATAGAAAAAGTGAACCAACATTTCTTCCACGATTAGGTGCACCAATAATTCATGTTAATGCATCAAATGATCAAACATTTTATGCATGCACTCATTCAGATAATAGTATATAGAATTTTTCATAGTTATTTTATTTTTGAATATTATTTACTTTTATTTTAGCTCTTCATTTAATTGGAAGTAATTTATCAATACAACAAACTATTGGAGGAATTAATCATATGTTTTTACCACAACAAGCTTCATTACCTGCCGGTAAATATTGAAAATGAGAATGACATTTTCTTACATATCACGAAATAATTGACTATAGTTTAACAAATTCGACACAATAGCATCGACTTTATTTTAACAAAAAATTCAATAGAAGAAGACATTTTTCGTTTACTTTTCTTAGACTGAAGTGACATACAGATCTTTGATTTTCTTTGAGCTTGTCATCAGCGCAAAATCGTTATCTAAACAGTTCACTCCATTCAGTAAACTTGTGTTCTCTTTTGTACCGGTTTCTTCAAGTGAGATATAAGCTATTCTAAAACTGCGGTTGCTTCCGTGTATAAAAGAGAGAGAGAGATAAGAACAAAGTAGAAGGGAATAGAAACTTCGTTGTCTTATCTGGCACATACTTTCTATAACATACCAAAGAACGAAAAACTAACGGAAGAGATTCTTCACATAACCGTTGGAAATAACTAATTGTATAATGACATAACAAAGAGAGTGATGAAGAGAATGAAAAGGTGAGTAAGTGTATTGATTAAAAGTTAATCTTCCATAGATGAGCACATTTCGAAGAAGTTTCTCTAAAAAAAAAATGAATCATACCGAATGTGTTAATTTAGTTAATGTTTAATGTAGATCATAAATGATATTCAGTTACATTTTATTTTGATAAGAAAATTGTGAAATAGAGATGATTGACTAGAATAATCTATTCTAAGTAAATGAATATATTTTATCGGATGTTTTTCAATTAAGAAAAATAATTCAGTCGTTTTTCTTTTCTTTTTGTAAATGTAAATAATTGTTCAAAGGTATTCATGTGTTTTCACGTCAACAAGCACTTGTTATGAATAGTGGAAAACCTGGTTATCTTCAATTTCTATCAATTGATAATGGAAAATTACTTTATAATGTAACAAAACAAAATTTCTTTTTTTTTATTAAATTTTTAATTTATTATTATTTAGTTGGATATTGTTGGAGAAAATTATGTTTCACCAAATGAAATGACTGAACAATGTCTTTTTACAGATATTAAACGTTTAGCTATTGATCCAACAGGTTTACTTTTATTGAAAATAAGTAACTTTTGTGAGATGTTATTTTGTTTGTTTAGATACATGGTTAGTTACATTTGAAGAATGTTCATCAAATGCAAATACTGATGATCATCAAAATGAAAGAAAACTTCGATTTTGGAAATTTAATTTAAATAATAATCAGTAAAGATATTTTAATAAATAAATTTCTGATTTGTGATTTGTTTATTAAAGATTTGAATTAAATACAACAATAACATATCCACATGGACAAGAAACATTAAATCAAATGTTATTTCATCCAAATAAACTTGAATTAGCAACAACTGGAAATGATGGATTTTTAAAAGTTTGGACTCTTGTTCAAGAAAATCCTATTACAAGTATTTATTCCCTTTTCTTATTAAAAAAGATAAATGAAATTTTAATATTTAGAACGTGTATCCCACTGGCGTTGTTTATCTGGTTATACACATCGTTCTTATTCAAGTTCAGCATTATGTTATTATAAATTATCATCATCTTCAAATATAAATTTATGTTGTTCATTTGAACATTTGGTAACAGTTTGGATTGATACAATAAATGATTTAAATGAAGAATCTCGTTATGAATATTCACGTTGTTTTGCTCATTTTGATCGAAAAAATCCTGTTGAATATATTCAATCAGATTCTGATCAAATCCTTGTTTGTCATAAAACATTAGTTAATTTATGGAATTGTTTAAATGGACAATTTATTAAATCATTTTCTTGGCATGTTCATGCTATTGCTAAAGATCCAAGATCATCATTTATTGCTCTTTTTGATAAAAGTTTTCGTAAGTTAAAATTAGATCTCTTAATTAAAATATCTATTTACTTCTCATTCTAATTTAGTTCATTTTTATTCATTTTCTGATGGTAAATGTCATTCACGTAAAAGTTCTTTATTTCGTCGTGTTGCATCATGTGCATATATCCCAAATGATAAATCATCTTCATTTGTACCACTTCAACATTCAAGATTAATATTTTATATTCAACAAGAAGTAAGATTAGTTCTCTTTTTCATTTGCATCAAATATTTTATCTAATGAACATGGAATATGAAATGATCATTTAGATTGAATAGATTATTTAAATAATATAAGATTAAAATTAATTGATTGATTTATGTAACATATACATTAAGTTAAGACTAATTCTTTTTTTATCATTATGATAAAATAACAGAAAAAAATATTTTATTTTATATTTGAAGTTTATAATCATAAAATCTCTTCAATTAGAAATGAGATGTTTCTTTTTCAAATAAGTGTCATTTAGTTAAGTATATTATTTATGACATATATTTTTAATTTATTTGTTTTAGGGTTTAAAAACCTTTATTGATGATGATGAAGATGATAATAAAAGTTTAATTCCAATCAATGGTAAATTAGATGAAACAGATAATGAAAAAACTATTTTATCAAATTTAATTCGTCAATCTCAAAATGATTTTGATGAAAATTCTATAAATAAAAGCAAATCTTTTGATGATTTAACAAAATTAAATAAAAGAATAAATAATCTTAATCAACAAGTTTGTTTTTCTTATTTTTTATATTAATAATTTGTTCAATAAAAACATTTCTAATTTAATTTAGTTATTATCAACACCAGCTTATCTTTTACCATCAATTGATAATTATTGTATTGATTCATTAAAACGAATGCTTTTGCCAATTGATAATCAATATGAAAAGTTTGTTTATTTAATTAAGTGATTTTGAAAATAAATTTTGTTATTCTTAGAAATATTCATTTAAATGAAAATGTGTCAATGGATAATTTATCAACAATGTCAGTTGATTCTGAAGAAGATAGTTGAGAATCTATTTCTTGTTTTTGTTTATTGTTATTTAAAATGTGATGTTTAGAAAAGAAGAGATGTGTGATTTGTTTGTTTATTAAACAAATCGAATAAAAATTTCGAATATTTCGATATTCATTGTTTTTGTTTTCAAGATTTCATTTTTATATTTAATTATTTAAATTGTTTATTACAACAAAACAAAAACAAAAATAAAAGACAAAGGTTAGTTTATTTTCTATTTAATTAAATTATCTAAAACATAAAACAAAATTTCTTTTATTTTTATCTGAGAGAGAGAGAGAGAATGAAAAATATTTTTGGTAAGAATCAATATTCGCTCGCTCATTATTTATAATTATGATTTTGTTTTTATTTTTATTTTGAATGATTAAAATAAAATAATGTTTATTTGTGAATAGAATGTCCCCAACTGCGTTTAGTCGTATATTCGGCTCCACAGTGAATACAGTATTTCGACGTTTTTTATTATCATTAATTCGAGCAACATTAATCTATATAATAGCATTTTTATTTGTTCATTTACCAACATTTTGGAATTATGTAATGACATTGGGAAAAGATGATAATAAAGTAAATAAACAAAAAAGAATTCGAGCAAAATTAACGGAAGATTCCGATCCGTCATCACCTTATAGAGCTGTGGAAGTTCTTAAGAAACTTCGTACACAACCTGATGATGAAGTTGAAACATTAGCTGACATTCCTGATCTTTGTCTTAAGAGACATGCGAACAAAGAAACAATGGGTGTTAGACAAATTATTGATGTTGAAGATGAAGTACAACCGAATTCAAAAGTTTTTAAAAAGGTTTTCAAATTTTTCTTTGTTTTGTTTTTTAATAAAAATTATGTTTTTTTTTCATTAAAAAAAAAAGTATGTTTTGGGTGAATATCAATTTACAACTTATCGTGAAGCTTGTTCTCGAATTGATTCAATTGGTCGTGGTTTATTATCATTGGGTGCTAAACAAGGTGATAGAATATTAATTTATGCTGAAACACGTCCAGAATGGTTATTATCAGCATTTGCTGCTTTTCGTCATGGTTTCACACTTGTTACACTTTATTCAACATTAGGAGAAGAAGCTGTTAAACACGCTCTCAAAGAATCACAAGTTAAAATTATTATTACTTCTCAAGAATTATCTTTAAAACTTGATGTAAGTTATTTTTATCAAATATTTAATTTTACCATTTCAAAATAATGATCTTCACAATACTTTATCGCAAAAAATTCTTTCAAGTAGATATATATATATGAATAAGACATATAAAGAGGATTTTTATTAATAACAATAGACAACAAAACAATATTCTAGATAGATAATAAGTGTATATGTGTAGATTCATCTTTCCTTGACCAACATTCACGCCCATCTCAAATCAATGAAGTCATTTTTCTTGGAAATATTATTTCATTCATTTGTAACAGTGGATTTTCGTCAACTGTAATATCACAAGATTAGTGTAAAATGCATGTGACAAATTAATGTAATATTATGAGAATAAGCATATTATAATCTAAACACCTTAGTATAGTTACCAGGAATTATTTTTATACATATATCATCAGATAATGACACTGGTGAATTTCCTATAAGTACATTGGCAAAATTCGGGAATTCCATTGAAACATATATGTAACTCTGTCAAGTGAAAAATTAGAAATATTTCCCAAGAAAATAATTGAAATTTGTTTGTGATAAATCGATTTATTAAATATTTCAAAAGAAATGAAACTTTATTTTTGTTATAGAAAGCGTTAGAACAAGCTGAGAAAGTTCGTCATATAATTTATTTTCCTGCTATGGCTAAACCAGAATCAGTTAAAATTCCACAAGATAAAACTAATATTGAATTTATTCCACTAAGTAAATTAGAAGAACAAGGAAAAAATGCCGAAATTGGTAATGAAATTGATTTATTTAAATATTTTCTAATTCACTTTCTTATTTAGATGAAACAACATTAAATCTCCGACCTGGAAAAGAAGATATTGCAGTTATTATGTATACAAGTGGAAGTACTGGAACACCAAAAGGTAATTTGATTTGATTTAAAAGAAAAGTATTGATTAGAAATATTTGATCGTATTTTGAAAAAAATTAATGTTGAGTTGTATTTTTCTTTTTTCTTTTCAAGATGGAATATGTTTGAATAGGTATATTTGCATGATTCATATCTGTTTAATTGTAGAATGAAAAGCTCATTAACGATTTTTCTTTATGAAAATATTTTAATGAATTTTTATTTGAGAAAATACTTTTTTAGCGCAAAAAAAATTCGAATTTTTTTTTCAAAGATTTTCTAATAAAATAAATTTGAGAAAAGAAGATTTTAAATGAAATTTTTTCTAAGAAAAATCTCTTTGTCTTGAATTTTAATATTAGATTATTAAAATAAAATTGATTAATTTTAATAAAAAATCTTTTTATTAATATATTAATTTGAAACAAAAAACGTTTGTTTAGGTGTATTAATAAAACATGAAAATATCATTGCTGCAATGACTGGTCAAAAAGAACGTGTTTTTCCAATGGTTGATCTCAAAAATGATGTTTATATTGCTTATCTACCATTAGCACATATTCTTGAACTTTGTTGCGGTTTGTTTTATTGATTTATTTTCGAAAAGCAAGAATAAATAAAAATGTTTTTTTTTGTTAATTTCAACTAGAGATTTTAGTATTTTTTATGGGTATTAAATGTGGTTATTCATCTCCACAAACATTAACTGATCAATCTACAGCCATAAAACGTGGTCAGAAAGGTGATTTACAAGTACTTCGTCCACACTTAATGACTTGTGTTCCAGTAAAATAAAATTTTATTTGAATTTATTTCAATAAAAGCTAAATATTTCGTATTTAAGACCATTCTTGATCGTGTTCATAAAGCAGTTAATGAAAAAATTAATCAATCAAATTTTATTACACGTCAATTATTTCATTTATCATATAAAATCAAAGTTAAACGTTTAGAACTTGGTCTTGCAAGTCCACATCTTGATAAGTAAATCATTTCTTTTTTTCATTTAAAAAAAAAGGATAAGAAGAAAAACGTTCGTTTTAGATTAATATTTTCTCGTTTTAATCAAATGGTTCTTGGTGGTCGTGTTAAAACAATGTTATGTGGTGGAGCTGTTTTAAGTGAAGATACTCAACGTTTTGTTCAAGCTGCACTTTGTGTTACACTTTTTCAAGGTTATGGTCTCACAGAAACATGTGCAGCTGGAACTATTGCCGATCGTTTGTATTTCTAAAATGATTTCAAGAATAGTTTTTCTAATTTATTTTATTTTATTAAAAGAATATGATGTTACAGTTGGTCGAGCAGGATATCCACTTGTTTCATGTGAAATTCGTTTAGTTGATTGGGATGAAGGTCATTATAAAAATACGGATAAACCAAATCCACGCGGAGAAATTCTTATTGGAGGAAAATGTGTTGCTGATGGATATTTTGGTGAAGCAGCAAAAAAAGAAAATGAAAATTTTAAACAAATTGGTGATACAAGATATTTTTGTACAGGTGATATTGGAGAAATATTTACTGATGGAACACTTAAAATAATTGGTTTGTTTAATTTTAATTGAATATTTTTTATTCTAAATTTATTTTCAACAAAAAAAAAATTAGATCGAAAAAAAGATTTAATTAAATTACGTGGTGGAGAATATGTTTCATTAACAAAAGTTGAAATGGCTATTAGTAAAGTACCGATTATTGAAAATAGTTGTTTATGTGCATCAGCTTCATCCGAATATACTGTCGCTCTTATTTGTCCAAATACAAAAAATATGTCCGTAAGTTTAATTACATAGAAAATTTAAATCAATCTTCTAGAATGATAAATACACATTTAACAAGACTTTAATACTTGTTCTTATGAAAATCTATCATAATCATTAACTATTCTTTTATCTTTTCTATAGAGTTTTTCTGAAAAACATTTTGGTGAAAAAGATTGGCAAAAATTAGTTGAAGAGGATGAATTTATTGAATTAGTTCTTAAAGAAGTTCAAGATGCGTGTAAAAAAGGTGGAATTGAAAGATTTGAAACTCCTCAACGTATTAAAATAGTAACTGAAGCATGGACACCGGAAACTGGTCTTGTTACTGATGCATTAAAATTAAAACGAAAAGCGATTGAACAAAAATATAAAGATGATATTGAAGATCTTTATGAAGAGAAAAAACCAAAACAAAATTCCGATAAAAAAAGAATATTAAATATTAAAAAACAAGAAATAAAAGATGAAAATAAATCTTTAAATAATCGAATAACAACATCAAATGAAAATCCAACTGATGTTTCAAAAGATATTATTTCAAATGATAATAACAAAAAAAAAGATTTATAATTTCTATTCTATACTAACCATAATCTTCCTTCTACTTTTCTTTTTTTAAACTGAATCTATTATTAACTTTAATGTACTGAACTCTATGTATCTTTCGTTTTCTATATTATTATATATCCAAGGATTTCTTTTCAATAAAAACTTCTTTTTTTTTTCATTTTTTCCAAATGAAATCTCATACAAGTTTAGTTCCTTTTTAATATAAAATTAATCTCAATTGTGTATATAATAAAAACAGTACAATGATTGAAACGAATCTTATTACTCTTACAATAATACGATTACTATTACAAATTAATAAAATTAAATATGAAAAATTCAAATAAATCATTTCAATATCAAACGAAGAAAATTTCTCTTCACTTTTCTAATGAGAGATAATCAATATTTCTATTATACTACGTAATACTAAAATCATTTCAACAATAAATCATGTTCAACTATAAAAACATCGATTTATTTTTCTATATAAATTGGCTAATTGTCTAAAGCCTTGCTTTAACTTTTATCAATAAAATTGTAGAAAGACGAAGATATTTAATGTCATTCTAATAACAAAACAATTTCTTGTATCGAAACAAAATTATTCCTTTATTTACAAATCTATGTAAAGTTTAATCCTAATTATTCGGATGGATGCTAATATATCATATGTATTGTGAAAAGCAAGATAAAATATAATGCTCTTGTCTATGTTTTCCATATCCATATCACAATGAGTCAACTTTAGTTATCTGAAAAATATCATACTAATGTTATCATTCTTGCATCTTTATTTTAAATAAAATAAACAATGTGATATCCTTAGAATGTCATTATAGAATTATTTGTACAGATCGAATAGATAGAGAAAAATAGCATTTTGTATTAAAAAGGTATCAAAAAACTTTTCTTGTCAGATGAAATTTAATTTATTTATGAACTAGTTTTATTAGGATTAACATTATCAAAATGAATATAAGAAATAAAAAGGTCATATGTCTTCCTACGCTTAAAAATTCATTATATCACATGTTTTCATAAGTATATCTTAAATAAAACATCTAATGTATTTAGAAGCATTCTTCACATGAACAACTTCAAAACTCGTGAGTGTAATATTTCAAATGTGTTTTTAAGTATGCAGATCGAGAAGTGCGAGCTGGATCCAAAACAAAAGCATCAGAAGATGCTAAAAACTTGCAAGTAGTAATTCAGAAAAGAATCCGATGATATAAGTTTTCGGTTTCGCTCAGAAACATCCAGAATTTGATAAAATTGGTAGTTGGATACGATTATCGAATTTTTATTTGCAAGGCCTAGTATATCGCAGTGGATTTTTCTTCGAAAATTCACAAAAAACTGCTTGAGAAGGTGTTGATCTGAGTACGTTTATAATCTAGAAGTCGATTAATGATTATTTTTTGTATTTTCAAATAAAACCATAAAAATCTTTTAAGAATTCAATATAATTACCAATCATTTCTGATATAATATAATGTTTAGTTAAAAAGACCTAATCTAAATGTCAAATTTAATTTTAGAAAAATTATTTTGTCCTCATCTCTCGAAGCCTTTTTTTATGATATATAGAAAACAAAATCTCAAATAAAGTAATTGGATTGACTTAGATTTGTTTTAATTATTAAAATATGTTTAAATGGATAAGATAGACACCTTGCATTGTGGCTCTATAATAATGTAGAAGAAACAGCATTAGTATAATATTATAGGAATAATTAAAGAAAATATAGAAAGAGATAGAAAGAAATTAATTATTTTCAATTAAACTATGAATGTAAGTAGAGAAGATTCATATCAATGCTCATTCACTGTATATTGCAGACTGGATAATAATATTCTCTGTTTTCTATGTTTCACGTGATCATTACATAATACACTATTAAAAACAATTCTACATCCTTTCAGGCACTTACAAGAATAAAGTGAGAACAAATGCACTGAATAACAGAGGAGCATCTCGTTCTAAAAAATATTTTCAATTAATTGTTATATACTTATCATTTTCCATATAGATTTATATTGACTGTCACTTATCTAGACAATCTTTTTAATTGTCTTTTTTAACTATCACATTACATAATGATAAAAAAAAGTTTGAGTATAAACACTTTCGAGTATTGCATAAACAGCACACTAAAAACAAAAAAATAAAAAAACGTTTGAATATATATATTGACAGTATTTGATGAGATTGTTAGAAAAATTTTGTCATATAGATAACGTTGAAATGAATACTTTTACTATTAACATTGCTTTACTGGTTACAATTATAGCATCTCTTATTCATGTTGCCAATTGTGCATCTGATATTTATGTTGCTCATACACAAAGAATATCATCAGTTCAATTTCAACCTCCAATAATTGAACATTATCTTGATACAGTCAATGCTAAATCAATTATGTATTGTGTTGCTGCTTGTAATAAACATGATCTATGTCGTACATGTGATTATGATAGTTCGACAAAACAATGCCGTTTATTTGAATCACTTGGATCAACTGGTACACTTATTCCATCAATACATACAAGTAGTGTTTTTATCCTTAATTATTGTTTACAAAAAACAAACAATTATGATTTGTCAACTATCTATTCCGAACCTGATTATATTTGTACACCAGCTTTACCAGGACAATCTATGACTGTTTATGATGCATTTCAAAAATTAATTCTAGCAAACAATAATGTTCCACTTCCATTAGCTGAACGAGATGTTTATATGTCATCAAATGGTTTCTATACATCATCTAGTGATAGTAGTGCAATTCGTCATTATGGTTATAATGGACAATTGATAACAACATATCCATATAGTTCTTCATTATCTTGTATCAACTATAATCCAAAAATAAATACATTTATTGTTTGTCCTTACAGTATTCCACGTCTTGAAACCCAATTATTCAATCCAAATACGAGTACTACAATGTCACAACAGAATATTTCAACTGTGGGTCCGCCATTCTATTCTTATTATGATACCAATCGTCTCTACATTAGTTATCGTTCATCTGCAAGCCCAATAACAATTCATTTAATTAATGGAACAAAAATTCTTACTGCAGATTCACAAAGTACTGGTACTTTTACTCCATTTACTTTGTGGCAATCACAATTAGTTTTTGGTACAGGTAGTTCAATTTCTTTATTTAATCTCAATGGAACATATCAATCATCATGGTCATACAATTTTTCAAGTGTAGTGTCACTCATTGGATTTATTCAACATGATTATGCTGGTCGTCGATATTTCAATGATTATAATACAAACCCAAGTAACAAAGGTGTTTATATTTATAATCAAAATTCTACTTTCTACACGGTATTGAATCGTGCATGTGTATGGACATGTGCAATTAAAATAACAAAACGTAATATAACTCTTGTATCTCTACAAAGTCCCACTTCTTCATTGTATTATTATAATTTTTAATATTAATAAATAAATATCTTTATATCAGTGAACTTTACACTGACGCATAAGAATTAATCAATCAGTCAATCTACAACTGATAACTAAAAGAGAAGTAACACTTTTACATAGAATTGTTTTTTGTTGAGAGTATCGATATAGGCTGGAATATTCTCGACTAATCTTCATTCACTAAACTCAACTTATCTTAATGAACTTCACATTCTTTTAACAATCAAATCAATGAAGAGATTATCTCGTCATTTTTTTCTTTGTATTTTCTTGTTTCAGATATTTTCTTGAAAACATATATTTGCACACGGTTGTCGTGATGTGAACCATTACATTATCTGTTTCTTTTTTAATGTACATTGTTAATTCTTCCAAAATTTGACCAAATATTAAAAAGGGATGTTATGATCTCCTCGTAAATGTATTCGTCGTTATCATTTTTTTTTCGTTGTTTGTAAAAGCTTTCTTTTATATTTTTTTTTCTTCTAGATATCTAGACATATCTACGTTTACTCTTTTAATAAGATGATAGAAGATCAGGTGGTAAATAGATACAAAGTGAAAAACATTAAGATAGAGAATCAATGATGATTAAATATATTTATTAAAATTGCAATTAAAACAAAAGAAAAAGAAAGCTAGAATAATATGAAATGAAAAATATGGTAAAAAGAAAGCGAACTAATTATTTGAAATAATTTGAGAAGCAAAAAAAGAGTTTTTCAATGGATTGAATTATTGATGAATGGATATAAATGCTTGAGTTAGAGATTCTATGAAGAAAAATAAATGTGGAAACTTCGGATTGTATCCGAGAGTTATGTGTACTGCAAAAAGTGTATATATGGAAATCATAGGGAAATATCAGTATTTTTTCAGTAACTCGGGAATGGCTCGTCCAATTAGGCTCAACTTCGAACTCGACTGAGATCTTTATGAGTCTAAATTGTGTACAAAATTTCAGTTCAGCCGGACTATTCTTTCAAACGTTATCGTGTATACGACCGGCCGGACACACTAACCGATTCTAGAAGTGTACTCACTTTTTGAGTATACAAAAACAGACCATCGACAATGTCAATTTCATTCAATTAATTTCTATTAAAAAATTCATTTAGATCCATAGTATTAGTCTGATTAAGATTATGATATTTTAATCAACTTCAAGAAAACAAATACTATTATAGTTCAAATTAGATTCTTTCACAATGCATCACAGAGGGCAAAGTGTGGATGAGGTGTCAACAGTACCTTGGCATCTACTCAGCAGTTCAACATTTAACCAACACCTTAGCAACTACTATCACTTTTCTCATTAGACAAATATCGAGAAATTAGATGAAAGTAAAAGAATAAAAAATACTAATGATCATATGGAGGAGTCTAATTGTTTATACATAAACGAAATGTTTGTAACAATGTCAATGTATTGTCAAATGAGCATGCAATTAGCTTGAAAAACAAAATATTAAAAATCAATATCTTCAACAACAATGTCACAATTATCTAGAGGTGCTTATCTATTTTTCTATCTCTTTCGTGTAGTTTTTTTTTCTTTCTTTATATTTATTTTCGTTTACAATTCTTAACTATTGTCTAAACACTAAATCATATCGAAAAATTTTAAAAAATCTCTACTTTTACTATATTTCCATTGTTTTTCTCTTCTTATAATATGTTAATCTATAATGACACAATAAATTCAATGAAATAAAATCTTTTTCATTTATCACAATTACAATACATAACAGGACACATGCATAAGAAAATTTGTATGCCGTTTATATTCTAGGTTAAATTTTGACAAATACTCGAATAATAAACAATAAAAATAAATAGTATTGCATCGAATAATCTCTTTTTATTGTACCTAAGCAAAATCATACATATTATCTTATATGATATTTCGAACAATTCTTTCTTGATTATTTGTAAAAGGAAATGATTATTTTTGGTTTAGATATTCTCAATGAATATAAACCTGTTGAACTGAATGTATATTAATTTTCTTTTAACATATATTTCATTTGATAATCTTCAAAACAAGTTTGTTTTTTCTTGAAATTCACTACTAAAGAATCTGATTTCAGTGAAAACTCTTTACTTAAATGTGCAAGTTAGTTGAACAGAAAATTTCTTTGAAATCCATTGTATTGTTTACTTATTGGAGAATATTGATCAGTGAAAGTTATTAATGAGTATATGAAAATAACATGTATTTCATATAATTTACTTTTTTTTTCAATATTTTCGTTTTTTATTTCGAGAAAAGTAAATATAATTCTAAGAAAAAATCTATCGATATTCAACTGAATTTTTAGGAAAATAAAAATTCTCAAATAATAAGTTTAAGCATTTATATTAAAATATAACTTCTCTTATTCGATAGTAATATTCTATTTAATTCTATGTTTACTTAGATATTTTCAATTGTCAACTATCTTAGCTAAAGAAAATGATTAATAGTTGGATAAATTAATCATTTTAATATAAATTTTCTTCTAGAACAATTCATCAAGATAGCAAAGTTATTTCTTTATATTTGTTTTTTGAATCTTACAAATAAAATTAGTTTTAGAAAAATTCAACTTTGATCAATCAATAACTAATTTCGAATATTTTTCAATAGAAATAAAAAATTCTCGTTTTTTCCATATTTAATATATGATTAAAGAATAATTCCTGATAATATTATCTATGATAAAATGAATATTGAAATTTGAATGAAAATATAACTAATCATATTTTGTAAGATTATTATTATTATTATTCATCTATTTAATTAAATAAAACTAGTCATTTCTATTGAATATGATCGATTGATTAATTTGATGAACACATGTGTTTTTGTTAATTATGTTTTGTGATTATTTTTCTGATAAAATCTTGTTGAACATAAAAATGGATATTATTGAACAGATTTTGTTATTAATTATAAATCCATCTGTTCTTTGACCTCTCTCTATTATTTTTTCTTTTTTTGTTATACGGAAGCATTTATGTGTTTATCAAATCTATATCGAAAAGAAAGAAAGAGAAAGAGAAAGAGATGTTATTGTTGCTCACTATAGTATAAATGAGTGAATGAGGTTTGTTTTATCTTAAGGTACTCTTAGTGATCAAATAGACTTCTTATTGTTTAGAAAGAATAAAAATATTCATTTGTAAATCAATTCTTTCAACAATGCTTTAGGTATATAAACAAAATCGTCAACGCTTTTCTTCCTTTTTTTTCTTTTAATCCTAATAAGTTAAAGTTTATTCTCTATGATAAACTTGAAGTGAGTACATATATATATAGGTTTTCTTTTTTTGATCATATTAATAAATTTATTTATTTCACCTAAACATAACTTATCAATAAGATATCCATACTTTGTTTGTTTGCTTTTTCAAATATATTTTTAATAAAAAAATATAAATATTATTCTTATTCTTATTGTTTAATAGATTTCTATGTGTCACTTAAAATCTTCTATATATTTTCATTATGATACTTTTCTTTTATAATATGAGAAAGATTCATTTTTGTTTCCGATATGGTTGAAGAAAAGAAAATAGAGAAAAATATAATATGAATGTCATTGAGAAGATCTTTTCTGTATTGAATGAATGAACAAACAAGAGTTCATATTTTTTATCTTGTTCTTCTTATTAAGTAAAGATAATAAACGTTCATTGACCTTGACACATTTTCTATTAGTATGAAGAAGAAAGAGAAAGAGAGAAGAAAGTTTTTGTATCTAATTTAATAATTTTTGTTAGTGATAAAATATGAATAGATGTTATATAATCGTAGAATTGAGAAGACGATGTCAACTAATCTTTTATTCACTATTCACTATTCACTAGAGGCAGAAAGAAGAAGAAGAAAATTCATATATTATTTTGAATGATATGAAACTAAACAATAGAATATTAACATTGATAAATCTTTTTTTTTTGTTTAGATAATGTCATCAATTTTACCTTATGATCAATCATTAAAATCAACGATAACAACAAATTCTTATGATATAAATGGAAAAAATAATATTCTAATAACAAATCCTCTTAGTTCATCATCATTTTCAACATCAACATCTCGTTATGAATCAACAGTTATGAATAAATATAAAAATTTATCAAAATCAGATTTTACTCATCCACTTTCAGCTCTTAAACAAATTAATCATATTTTATCAGATCAACAAACAAATGTGAATATGACATATGTAAGTTAGTGTTGTTTTTAACAAAATACATGAGAAGAATAATCGAATTTGTTGTGATCTATGAAATGAAATGTGTTATTTTTATTGAAGCATGATGGTATTTTGTTAAATACGTGTGTTGAAAATCAAATAGAAATGAAAAAGAATAAATCAATAAAAGATTGAGAGATGATCTTCATTCTTTTTTTATTCGTTCGTTCGTTCGTTGGTGGTTTATTGATAAATTGAAATAGATTCTTTCGTCATTTCTATTTTCTTTTTTTTAACCTTCTTTTCATAGATTGATTTGTAAAGTGTATCAAATTCGATTTCTTTTTTTTTTTTTTTTTTTATTTCTGACGATTGTGATAACCTTCATACACATAGAAATTACATCACGGACTATCGTTACTATTTTATAAAAGAATTATAAAGAGAAAAAAAAGAAAGAAGAAAGTGCGTCTCTTTTCCTCTTGACATTTCTCTAGGTGAGAGACATTTCTTGTTGAACATCATTCATGGCGTTACGTATACCACAAACAAAAATGACTACCATACGACAACAGGTATTGATATCAATATTTCTTTTCTTTTTCTTTTTTCTTTTTTCTTTTTGATTCAATCAATCTCAAGGATAATTGTTTCGATTAACAAATTGTATATTAAAATAGAATAAAATTCTATACTCGCGTCAGATTTATGAAAAAAGGATTTTTTTTTTCTTACATGACATGTTCAATAACACTTGTCTTTTCTTTACTTAATCAATGACTAGAAGTTATTATTATTATTCTTCTTATTCTGTTTTTTCTTCTTCAAATTTAACTTACTTATTTAGAAAAACTACTTGATAATAATCAATACATCAGATACATATTTAAATTAGATTTTGATTTGATTTCAAAAACAAAGAATATAATTATTATTCATAAGATGAATATCTTCATTTATTTATTAAAAATAATCTTTCGTATGATATGTGTAATAGTTCATATTAAAATAGATTGAAGGAAAGTATTAATATAGTAGTAGGAGGAGGAGGAGTTTTACTCTAATCTTTTTGTTGTTTAGATGAATAGGTCTTTTTTTTCTATTCTAATCTTTTCATTATCAATAAAATAACAATTACATCATCAAATTTTCAATGATAATCTTCGCATCTTCTTCTATGATCTTTCGCAATATTCTAAACTATTTTTCAGTTAAAGTTCATTACAATTCCAATTAATATCATTTAATCTTTTCATAAAAAAAGAAAAAAATTTGTTTTAATTTTTGATTGATTGATAAAACAGTTGTTCATTTGTCTATGAACCGAAACGGTCAGTCAATCGATCGATCGGTAGAAATATCTAACGAGTGATTAGTTCTATTGATCAGTAAAAAAGAAAAGTAATTCACATCAGAAATATCAATGATTAATCATATAAATGTACGTATTTTTTGTCTAGTTTTACTTCCAAATAATCTCAATTTTTCATTCTTTCAAGGAGAAAAAAATTTGTGATCACGTAAATTATTTGACGTTCTATGAATGTTCTATTAGAATAGATAAGATTAATAATATCGAATGAAAGAAAAGTAAACAAAAAAAAGCCTTTTTTTTTATTGAATTTAAAAAAGTTTTGATTTAAAAACTGAATCGAGAAAATGTTTATTGGTGGACATGAGAAAAATGTCGTTCCCGATTCTGTTTTATTTCAAGAAGCTTTAGAAAATTATATTAAATGGAGATCGAAGGTAGATTTTATCTTTAGTTTTCATTTATTTATTTTTTTATCGAAAATAATATTAATTAAAATCAAATAAATTTTAGCGTCGTGCTGATCCATATCTTCGTTCAACATCAAATTCAATTGGAACGAGAAATGATATTACAACAGTTGATAGTCCACCACCAATTCCACCTCCTCCACCACCACCACCACCACCACACCCATCCTCTACATTTTCCTCAGCTCATCATCCAACACCATTATCAAATACAAAAAGTCTTCCACATCGTATAACTGTTGATGATCTTCATCAATCTCCACTTCTTCAAAGTTTAGCACCAACAACAACAACACCAACACCAACACCAACACCAACGTATACTGATTATCGTCCATCAATTTATTCAAATAATAATAATTCTTCCATATCAAAATCAATTTTAAATCGTCGAGAATCGGAATCAAATCCAACAAGTAAAGAACATCAACAAACAGCACCACGAATACGAGAAATAAGTTCAAATGTTGGTTTTGTTTCATTACCTGATCAAGTTCATCGAAGATCAATTAAAAAAGGTTTTGAATTTAATTTAATGGTTGTTGGTTAGTTTAAACTTCTTCTCTCTATTAAATTATTTTATTTAAATAAATCACAATAGGTCAATCTGGTTTAGGAAAATCAACATTTATTAATACATTATTTCAAACAGAACTTTATGGACAAGATTTTCCATCAACAATTCATAGAAAAAAGAAAACAATATCAATTGATTCATCATCAATTATTTTAAAAGAAAAAGGTGTTCAATTACGATTAACAATTGTTGATACACCTGGCTTTGGAGATTCGGTTGATAATTCAAATTGGTTTCTAATTTCTATTTTCTTTTTTCAATTTTCAATTTTCTTTCTTTTAAATTTTTAGTTGGCAACCAATTATTGATTATATTGATTCAAAATATGAAGAATATTTAAATGCTGAATCACGAGTTGTTAGAAAAGCACATATTATAGATAATAGAATTCATACTTGTCTTTATTTTATTGCACCAACTGGTCATAGGTTTGTTTCATTTATTTTATTTAAAAACAAGAAAAATGAATAAAATTTCAATTTAGTCTTCAATCATTGGATATTGAATTTATGAAACGTCTTCATGATCGTGTTAATATAATTCCTGTTATAGCTAAAGCTGATACATTAACATCAGATGAATTACGTTTATTTAAAAAATCAATAATGCAAGATATAATTAATGAAAAAATCAAACTTTATGAATTTCCAGATAATAATGATGAAAATAAAATAACAAAAACTTATAAAGATAAAGTTCCATTTGCTGTTGTTGGAAGTAATTTTGTTTTAGAACGTGGAACAAAACGTGCCAGAGTTAGACAATATACTTGGGGAACTGTTGATGGTACAATTATTTTCTAATTAATTAAGTCTTATCTTTTATCTTTGATTTTATTTTCTAGTTGAAGATGAAGCTCATAGTGATTTTATTGCATTACGAAGTATGATTATAAAAACAAATTTAAATGATTTACGTGATGTAACACATAATAATCATTATGAAAATTATCGTTATAAAAAATTAAGTTCTTTTAATATGAATGATTCAAAAAATGGGAAAACATTACAAACACCATCGATTAATAAGTTTGCTTTTTTTCTTTTTTTTAAATCGATTTTTATTTTCTTTTTTATAGAAATTTATTATCACAAATAGAAGATGAAAGAGTAGAAACTGAAGCAAGATTAGAGAAAATGTCACGAGATATGGAAAATGTATATCAATCCAAAGTGGAAGAAAAATTACAAAAACTTGAAGAAAATAAACAAAATGTAAAATATTTCCTTTCCTTTTTTTAATCATTGAAATCTTATTTTTTGTTTTTAAAGCTTTTAAAAACTCAGGAAACATATCAATTAAATATTCAACAAGAAGAACAAAGATTTGAACTAAAACGCCAAGAATTTGAACGAAATCGTCGGCAATGGGAAGAAAATACAAATAAATCAGGATATAATGATCAACATTCTACTATATCGTAAATTTTATTCATTTTTATTTTATAACAAAAACCAAATATGCTTTTCTTTTTATTTTAGTAAATCAACAAAAAAAGGTCTTTTTTAAATTTATTCTTAATGTTAATGTTTTTTTAAAATAGAATTTCACATATCCTTCAATCATTCTCATCAATTTTCTTACTTTATGCTTTGTGCTAAAAGTTTTTTTTTTAAGAATATTATTCAAATTTTTAATAAATAATATTATTCTCTCTTATTCACTAGTTCAAACTATTTTCATAACGATAATAATCACACTAAAGGCTAAATATTACTGCTTGTCTAGTTTGTTATAATAGAGGAAAAAATACATTTTAATTATCAATGAAGAAATACCATTGTTAATCTATTCAACAATATAAATATTAATTATTTCAATCTTAATTTCTTTTCGTTATATACATGTTTACTCTTTTATCTGATCGATTGAAGGATTTTTCACTAATGTATATAATTGTTAGTATAGTTGAAATTAATTTAAGATTAGAAAAAAGAATTGATTTAGGATATTCATATCCAGTATTTAATCCTTATTATCAAGAAGTAATAAATACACTTGAACATAAAACATAATTTAACTATCTCGACTAGATTCATTTGAATAAACTGAATGTCGTTTAACAATAATTTTCCATGCTGAGTAAAAATCTGAATAAATTTGTTTTCCTCTATGTAATGGTGTTGAACAAACAAGTAATTGAGGATTATTATGAAAAATAATTGGACAATCAGATTCAGGTTGAGCATTCTTTAATAACCATCCACTACAACGAACAGATGCTGTACCAGCAAGAAAACCAGATAAAAATACATCACCAACTAATGGAACATATTCATTTGCTAAAATTTTATAAAAACTTTTTCTTTGTTCTTATTTCTATTAAATCAAAATAAAAATATTTACCATAACAAAGTGATGCTCGATAAAGACGATCACGAATAAATGATGAATACAGAAATCCAAATCCACTGAAATTCAATAAAATATTTTATTTTTAAATAGTCAATACTCTAGATGATAGGATTCATTGAAAATAAAAACTAGTAGAGATATATTACTCTCAATTGTTTATTTTCAATAACTATCTAAAATTTCATATAAACATCAATACATTATTTAATTAAATCATTCCTATACAAATTTCAATCTTTGTCAATAATGGAAAATGATATATTCTTGAAAAATGCATGTATTTAACTAGAAAGATCATACTCATTTGTACGAATCAGACATGGACTAATACTACTAAATAAATTACTTGAACATGTGAACTGTAATAAAATATTTAATTTGATTTTAATCAATGTAACACTAATCCTTTTGAGTAGACAACTATAAATAGATTATTGAGAAGAAAAATTTTAATTAAAACTTGAATTATGTCTCATCAATAGTATACACTAATCTAATCTTTCTTATGTTAAGTATAAGACTTATTTTATCTAGAAGATATAACCTTCAACATTTCTATTCACTAATTTTTTAGAATTATTTATTTCTAGAAAAGATTTAATCTATAATATATTCTCAACTTTACTTAATGACTTATTTTGATACCTGCAATAACGTGGTAAATACTCGCTATTCCAAGCTAAATCATGTATACGAAATTTTCCTCTTCTCAGTGTTGGAATAGTTAACATATCGTGTCCTTTAAATAATGTATATTTATCCACATGATACATATCTTGAATAAATGGTTGTAACGAAATTTGTTTTTGTAAATAAAGACTATGATCTGTTTGATTATTAATTAAGAAGGTAACAGTATCACTTAATAATAATGTATCAATAATAAGATCATCATCTGTTTTAAATAGATAAGGAATATTTGATGCATAAATAAATGACCATTGAAGTGCTCCAACTTCTTTATAAACAACATTTTTATAAGATTCTTCAATATTTAATTGAATTATATCATTAGACAATAAACCTTCATTATAAATATCATTGTTATGAGAAGAATTTGTTGAAAGACCAACAATAAAAATAAAACAGATATCATTTAATTGTTGATAAACATTTTTTTTTGCCCATGTTTCACGAATTATTTTTCGTCTTTCAAAATTTTTTGCTGTTGAAAGAATATAAATAAGTAATTTATCATTTGATTTACAAATTAATGAATAATTTAATGAAAAATTTCTAGTAAAATCTACACGAAAATATCCTTTGAATGAAGATAATAATGGTGGACATTGAGAAATTTTTCTGCGAGTTTTTAATAATAATTTTTGTTCATTGAAATATTTTTCAAATAAATTTATTGTTAAATAAATACTTAGTAAAAGAATTATTCCAATACCAACAGATATTCTATTACGTTGTTTATGTAATTGAAAATGATGAATTACATTTCTATACATTAAATAGAATAGATATTCTAAAATCATATATACTTATATTATCATATTCTCACTCGCTCAAATATTTTTGTAATATATTTCAATAGTTACTTTTTTCTAAACATATATTAAAAAGTAAACTATAGACTACTGATATAGTTAACACGTGCTCATCACTTACTGTATCATCAATATTATTTCATGTAGAAAAAAAGAAAAAACTAATCAAGAAACGAAAACATATGAGAGAAAAAAAGAAAGTGTCCTTGATTTCATATGATTATTTCTCATCAATCGTATTTTTTCATCATTAACAACATTTATTTATTTAATTCATCTATGAATTAAATCATTAACATTTTCATTGTTCAAAATAGATACAAATACAAAAGATTTAATCATAACAGAATTAGATCTTGTGAAGATGAATTCCAATGAAATAAAGACTCTATTCCTCTATCTGTCCTTAGAATAGTTTTAGTTCTATTGACATATATGAAACATATTAGTGTATATATAAAAGAGCATTTGATAGAAGGATTATATACATTCATATTTCAAATAGTTTTCTGTAAGAAATTTAAAGTGAAAATAAATATGAATATGACTCTATTGAACTCAAAAGAAGATTTCATTTAATAATTCTGAAATCGTTAAATAAAATATTTGCTAGTTTCTGTTGAGAAATAGTATTTAGAGATGTTTAATTGTCGTTTTCTTTGTAAGAGTATATTAAGATATAGAACCTTGTAAAATTCTTTTTTTTTAATTACTATTTGCTCTTATTACCTATATAAACATATTTATATGAGAGACACTTTTTCAGTTATTGAACCTACAATTTTTGTTCATGATTAAAACAAAAAAAAGTGATGTATTTTTAGTTTAATCAGTATTTATTTTCGTGATGCTAAACTGATAGTAATTTTAAAGAGGGAAAGATCTTAAATAAATCTTGTTAGAATTGCTAGTCGGAAGTGATGTCGCCAGTATCAACTATATTTATTTAAAATAATATTTTCTTTTGATTTGAGTTAAATGATTGTGATTTAATAAAAATTTGTATTAATCAAAAGAATAAATGTTTAGATAAAATTAGTTAAATGAGTAAAATGACTCCCATCTATATCAATGATTTTTTTTTCTAAAGTTAAATATAAAGAAAAAAGTCGAAAAAAAATCGAATAAAATTGGAATAAAGCCAAAAAAAAAAGAAAAGTCTTAGAAAATGAGTTGATGAATTTAATTGGCTGATATGAAAATGAAGGAGGATGAGGTCAAGGTTAAAGAATGGCCGTCGAATATTGTTCTTCTTCTCTTCTGTTCCGTCGTTGGTTCATTTCCTTTTTTCAGTATAGTGTGTTCTTACAAATAACACCTATGTCAGACATAGTTGACATTCTTGATTCGACCACTAATAACGGTAACGAATAGATTTTTTCTTTTTTTTTTTCTTTATTTTATTTTATTTAATTAAAAGAAACAAAAAAAAGAAGAAATTAATCAGTTTTCTTTTCTATAGATTCGATTAATTTAAATCTCGATGATGATTCAGATGAAAGCGGTGAAACACCATTTCAACGTCTTATTCGTCTCTATGCGTCACAATCGAATTATAATGACAGGTTTTTATTTTAGAAAATATTCTTTTCTTAACATATAGAAAATCTTCTTTTTTATTTTTTAGAAAAAATGCAGTTAAATATATCTTAGATGCACTTCGTTTTGTAAATGATGTTGAAAGTTTATATCAAATCTTATCATGTACAAAAAAATTAGCTGATGATATTGGTTCGAAGAAATAGATTTTATTTTTGAAATTTGAAATAAATTTTTCATTTTCTTTTAATTTTAGTAATTCAAGTTCAAATTGATTGTTTAGAAAAATTTGTTTCAATTATTGAATATTTAATATCTAATGTTGAAAATGCTGATTTACTTATAAAAGAATATTTATTTCAATCAATTGTTCAAACTATTGGACATGGAAATAATCGAGTAATTATTATTTGAATTTAATCAAGTAAATGATACACATATGAATCTATTTCAAAAATAGATTCGGAAAGCAAGTCAATCTGCATTAATTCGTTTATTTGAATTAGAACAAATTAAAAATGATGATATTGAACAAGAAATTATTCCAGCATTATGTCAATTAGATTCGGCATGTGATGATTTTAAAAATGAATCAATAGTTGTACGTTATTTTCATTTTCATTATCTTTATTAATATATCAACATTTGAAAGATCTTCTATGAAAGACATGGGTAGTGAGATGTTTACATTAATATTTCTCATCTTACTAATCTGTCTTTCCAAAGAATGTCTTTTCTTTTCAAACTAAATTTCATCTTTTTCTTTTTCTCTTCTTTTTAATTTCTCTATTTTATTTATTCCACAATATGGTTGTGTTTATGTTGAAATAAATTTAAAATCATATCACAGTCAGCTTTGCTGGAATGAATAAAATGTAACAACTATCACAATATATAATCAATTTCTTTTTTTCTCTCGAACTATATTTATCTATGTATGTATATTTAGTTAATGACACGTTTAACCCAATATGTATCAAATGATTTAATATTAAAATATTTTGTTCCAACTATAGTACAACAATCTTCTTCAATTGCATTTCAAACAAGAAAGGTTTTTTTTTCTTTCTTCTTTTATTAATAAAAATAAATTATTTGTTATTTTATTAATAATAAAAGACATGTGCAACATCTATTGGTGATTTAGCAACAGTTATTCCATTATCAGCAGTCGATCAATATCTTGTAATTTATTTTTATATTAATAAACATTTTTTAATTTATAAACAAAATACAAAAAAATCAATTCTAATTATGGTTTCATTTCTCTTTTCTGAATCATTATCAAAATGAGTAGTAGATTTCATACTTTTTTCTAAGGAAATTATTTTCTTATTTTGCTAATTATTATTCAATATCAATCAATTCAATAACAAAACAATTAAATGATTAAATATTTGTTTAGGTCCCTTGTCTATCAAATTTATGTAGTGATCCATTTTGGGGTGTACGTAAAAGTTGTGCTGAAGTAATTCATCCACTTGCTCAAGTTTGTTCAAAAGAATCCCGTTGGAATATTTTATCACCATGTTTAATTCAACTTTTACAAGATCAATCACGTTGGGTTAAAACAGCAGCACTTCGTGTACTTGGTTATTTTATTTCAACATTTGCTCAATCAAACGATCAAAAACAAGATGATGATGATGATGGTGAAGAATTAAATTCAAAAAAAGAAATCAATGAACAAATTGATGAATTAGATTTGAAAATTGAGAAAAATCTTCAAATTAATGAAAATGAAAAATTTAATGATTTTAATTATTGGAGAGAACCTCTTTTAACAAATATTGATTTTGATCAAGATAGTAATTTTAATTCCACTCAATGTAACTATTATTTCTCATTTTTATATTGACCAAAAATAATATATTTATGTCTTTAGTTTTATCAGCACGTAAACAATCATTACTTGAAATATCTCAAACATATCATCCTGATGATGTTAATGTAAATGAAAGAAAAGAGATTTCGATTTGAAAATAATAATTTAATTTTGTTTTAGAGTATATTACCAATCGAATTATTAGATTATTATACAAATTTAGTTGAACAATCTTATTCAAGTGGTGTTGAAACAGATATTGTTCATCAAGGTGCCCATACATTTCCTGCTGTTGCATTAACATTAACAAATAAAAATTGGCATCTTATTAAAGATGTACATAGAAAATTTGCTGAAGATTTACAAGTTAGATTATTAATAGAAAAGATTTTCTTAAATTTTTATTTTATTTTGTTTGTTCTAGTGGAAAGTTCGTCGAACATTAGCATATTCTTTACATGCATTAGCAGAAATTTTAACTGTTGAACAAGTAGAAGAAGATTTATGTCCAGTTTTTGATTCATTTTTTCGTGATGTTGATGAAGTTAAAATTGGAATCCTCTCACATTTAGCACAATTTTTAAAAGTTCTTCAATTATCAACAAGAAAAATTTATTTAGATAAATTAAATTCTTTAACTTGTGTTGATAATCAAAGAAATTGGAGATTTAGATCAGAAAGTGCCAAGTATGTTTTCTTCTTCTATTTTTCTCATGTAATTATTAAATAGTTAGGAGATGAATAATTCATATAATAATAATAATAATATTGAAGAGATTTAGATGAATTTTTAATATAAATATTTGTTTATTTCTTCAAGTCAATTATATGAATTAACATCATTATTTTCATCGGTGGATGTTGGTGATTATATAAGTCCACTTGCATTTACAATGGCTCTTGATAGAGTATCTGATGTTCGACAAACTGCTATTAAAGCGGTAATTAGATTAGATTAATTTTTTTTCTTAATATTTCTTTTCTTTTAATTTGATTTTCAGTTATCCGGTTGTTATTCAAAATTTAATAGTGAAAATGCTGAAAGTCCAACAGAAGTATTTCTTGATGATTGTCATCGTTTATTTGGTTCATCATTAGATTGGAAATTACGTCAATCATATGTAAATCTATGTGAATCAATATATAAATTACATGCAGATACATCTGATCAATATGCATTAAGATTTCTTGGAACACTTTTATCATTAAAAGAAGATCCGGTTGTTAATGTTCGTCTTTCTCTTGGAACATTTGTTTATCAAAATTTAATTAATAATGGTAAATAATCTTCTTTTAAAGAGAAAAGAAAATATTTATTTTATTTTTATTTTTTAAAGATTTTTATAAAGATTTATCAGATGATTGGAGAAGTCAAATAGATGAATGTCTTCAAATGTTATTAGTTGATCGTGATCGTGATGTTCGTGCATCTGTTGGAGGAATTTATGAAGCACGTGGAACTTCTCTAACATCCGAACATTTTAATGATGATTCAGATAGTTCAATACAAAATAATACAATTACACTCGGTGATGAACAATTAAATCAATCTTAAATAAAACACAAATTATTATTAAATTTGTATGTTTTCTTTTCTTTTCTTTTCTTATTTTTAATAAAAGAATATTTTTTCTTTATTTTTTAGTTGATTCTATATTGAAAAAATCGTTATATTTTTTTGTTAAATTACATATCATTTAGTTCTTCGATAAAAAAAAACAAATCGACACATTTATTTGTTTAAACTTGAATGTTGAAAAACTTCTAGTAGTTATTTGTTTTTCATGTTGATTTTTTCTTTATTATGTTCGATATTTTCTCGTTAAGATCAATAAACATAACAATACGCACAAATTTATCTCATTCATTCATTCATTCATTCAATATTATTATTATAATTCTTCGACGAGAACTTTTAAGAAAAAACTATCAAAGTTAAATTAACATATTCAGAAATTTGAAAAAATATTTCATTTTTATATTAAATAGAATAATAATGAATAATCTTAAACTGAATTCTATTTCTTATAAGAAAGTTTTTTAAAATAGATCAATAGAGTCGAAGTAACTAAATAATAATTTATATGGGACGAAATTGATTTAAAATAAAGCAAAACTATTAGATTTGAAGAAAGAAAATAAGAAACAAATCATGGATTACGCGATGTTGTTTAATTATTTAAAAAATATATTATTTAGCCGAATAATAATAATATGATATTGATTAACATATAATTCAATGAAATCGTATTATTAATACCAACAAAATTATAAACTTATCATAAAGATGATTGATCAAATTTGAGATTGTGGGTGTATTCTATTCACACCCTTAAGAGTTTATTTTGTATATAAAGTATAAATATCATCGGCAGATAATTCTCGACTATAAACTTGAAATTCATCCATATCATCTACATATGATATATATGAACCCACTTGACTAGCATTATATATTGTTACGCTATTTAAACCATTCGCCAATGTAATCAAATTACTTATTGCACTTCCTGTATAATTTGTTGCTTGACTAACACGTGATGCAACAAGATACCATGATCATTAGAAGGGGTGGGTGAGGGTGAATCATACTTTTACCGGCGTTCATATTTACACTCTCACGATGGTATAACAATCATCTTGAGAGTGTGATATAAATATGATACCCACACCCTGGTTGAGAATATGTATCCAGAATTACTACGAAGTTTATTGTTTTTTTATATTTTCTCTTTATGATTAACGACGGGTAAGTGTGAGTGTATATCTTGTCATATCTTTCATCTTCAAGATCCTGAGCTCTGGTTGATCGTCAAAACAGAATCTACGTAGTCCAATTAGAAAAATAGAAGTTGAATTGTCTTTGATTTGTATATTCATTTTCATAGTGTGAATCAAATCTTAAACAGATGAATAGCATGTCCTTTTGTTTATCTTGTATAGTGGTATACTTTTTCAGTTAGGATCAACTGAATGGCTCACATTGTGATAACGAATTCTTACTTTTACATTTCTTCTTACACTGGTCATATTATAATAGTTTTCCATAGTTGATAATGAACAACTTAGAAATGTCATAATATGTATAGAAGTTCTATATTAATCAATAAATTATATTGAAAACGATTGAAAATCTCATTAAATTGAATGAATAACTTCTTCAACGACATCCAATTACTTAACAATTGAAAAAAATAAAAGAAAAACTACCCGCACCCTCAATTTTTTTGTAAAATATTTGAAATGCTTATAATAATGTGTATACTCGTTAATAGTGTTAGATATTCTCAGTAAGAATAATGTTCTTCTATATTTGTTTTTGTTTTGTTACTAAAATGTTATTCTTGTTAAGTGGTAAAGATGATAGTATTGCGTTGATCTATTGTTGATTGACAATAACACATTTTTAACTGTCAATCTTCAAGATTTATTTTAAAAGTGATCTACAGAAAAAATTTATAGAATCAGCTCTTATAGTATTTCTAGACTAAAGATTGAATGTTCTTATGAAATAATTGAATATTTAATTAATAAAAAAAAAAAGAAATTGAAAATCTAATAAATATGATTTAAATTTAATAAAGAAAGACATGTAGAAAATATTTGAGAATAAAAATAATAAAAATGAAAACCGGATTTATGAATTGAATTTGTTTTGAGGTTGAATTACATAAATTATTTGTACATTTACATAGTGACATACTATTTGCATGTGCACCTAATTTATGACACTGATCATTCGATGAACCACTTGTTAATCCATTTTCATTATTAAATGTTCGACTATCTTTATTTGCAAAATTTAATAATTTTATTAAATCATCAAGACATCCACGTTCTTCTGTTACTTTATTAATTACTAAAATACGAAATCGTTTTTTTTTATTTAAAATTAAAAAAGAGAAAGAAATTCTTTACCTAATTTAAAACAAATATTTGAAGGACAATCAACAGGTTTTGATGAACATGTATTATCATCACCTGTACAACATTGAATTGAATAAACAGCAGCAGCTCTATATACTATTTTAATAATAGACAAAAAAAAAGAATTTTCTTTTCATGTTTTCATATTTAATCTTAACTTACATAGAAAATTTAGAGAAAAATAAAAATAAAAATGCCACTGAATTAATACCATCGTTCAATATAATAACGATTGATAGTCATCATGAACCTAAAAAGAGAAAGATTAAGAAGAGGTTTACATATAATAACAATTCTATTATAGAAAAATAATTCCAAAAGGATTATTTATAAATCGATCTCTATCAATATGATTTTCTAATAGAAATAAAAATAGAAACTCTTCGTATTCACGAACAATTTAAATGAAGTGAGAAATAAAAAAAAGTATTTTAATTTAGATCTTTTTCTTCTCTATTTTCACTCTAATTAATAAGAAATAGATATTCATCATACAATTTCATTTCCACTCAGACACTTTTCATTTTTCTTATTATTTTAATTGAAATACGACGGAAAAGTAACAAAATAATATCAACGTTTCTTTTATATTAAAAGAAATTATGTGACAACATAGAATAATAATAATAGAATTGATTTTCTTCACACAAAAAAACTTCGATTTAATATTAAAAAAAACGAGAGACAGAGAGAGAGACATAAATTATTTTTATGTGAAATGTGTCTATCGTTGTCTATTTTTGTTAGCGAAGCTAATGCATAACAATGTGATTTTGTTTTTTATGCGAATTCGAATGACATGTCATTTTCCTTTCTTTCAAATAAATGATATTAACTAAGAGAAGAAAAGAAAAGAAAAGAAAAAGGAATTTTCTATTTTGATTTGTTAGACATATGGAGTAATGATTTTTCTGACAAATCATTGCTTCAAGCTCATTTTCTGCCATATTCAATCGAATCAAATTTTATTTGACCTTGAAAACATTCTAATTTCATTCATTTTATTAACGAAAAAACAAAAAGAAAAAGAAGATTGAAATTAAAATAAAATTAATCTTCTTCTTCTTCTTCTTCTTCTTTTTGTTTCTATAATTGCGTGATCATTCACTTTGACTTGAATATGAACGTGAATGAATATATCTCTTGTGAAATGACACATGATGAATTTACTATTTCCTTTGTGATTTATCTCATAATGAATGAATATTAATCTTAATGAATATTCAAACAAAATATATCGAACATTAAATGAGAAAAAAGAAAAAAAAAAGAAACAGTCAATACTTACAAGAAAAGAACTTTTACAAGATTAAAATAAGAAAAAAAAAAGAAAATTTATCTAATTCTCAACTATGTTACATGATTCTTTTTCGATAATATTACTCTAATTATCTTTCTTTTTTTTTTGGAAAAAAAGGACTAAAAATATGTTAATTTCTTCGTCGATCTCTTTTGATTTATTCTGAATTTCTAAAGATCATTAATAATGATTTATGATATCTAAGATTTTTGTTTCTTTCCTTGAAAGTGATATATCAATTAGATTTTAATAGAGAAAAAAAAGAAGAAACCTTTTTATTTGACTCACGTAATTAGATAGAGATGAAGTTAAAAAAAGAAATTACTAATGAATATATCTTGTTTCCGTTAGGATGAACATAAAACTAAATGATTTCAAATAAAACAATTATCTTAGGAAAAAGATAAAAGAAAATAGTGAAAAAAAATGTAATATATATCTCTCTTACTTCTCTTCTTCTTCTTCGTTTTCTATTCATTATCTATGTAACATGCAAAGAAAAACAATCAAAAATAATAACAGACACGAAGAAAGAAGAAAGAAGAAAGAAGAAAAAGATAGAATTGCTTTCGGCAACAAGATTGTTCATAAACTCAAATGAATTCTAATGTAGAATGATGGATTTTAGAGAGAGATATGTGGGAGGAATAATGTTGTTATTTAATGAGGAAATTGCAAAAAACTTTCTTCGCCGCGTTTTTTTCATATTAGATTGCTCGAATGATTTTATTATATCAAAAGAAAAATATCTTCATCATTATCATTTATAATGACATGATCAAAAAATATCTTTTCAGCTTTGTTAAACAACTAACAAAATTGTTTTCATTCATACTTCACAAATTTTGTCTTTACTTTCATTTTATCAAATATCATTTTTTTCTTGTTGCAATATAATAAACGCTTTTTCCACACTATACACTCGAACAACTCTATTCTCTTATTATTAGTTTTTACCGGATATATTTCTATATACGGTTTTTTTAGAATAGACAAAAAAAAGAAATATTTCAACTAAAATTCAATAGAACATAAAACATCGACTTTTAAAAAAAGAAAATTATTCTTAAAATAAATATTTTGTCTATAGAAGAAAAAGAAAAATTGTATATATAGAAATTTATTTATATAAATAATAAAATATTAATCTTTTTGTTTTATTTTGTATTAGAAAAAGCAATAAGATTTATTAAATGAAATAGAGTAGGAGAGATTAATACTAATCTTTTCTTTTATTTAAAAAAATCTAATAAGAAGAAAAAGAAATAAACTTACTTTTCCAAATTATAATATCAGATTTTCTTTAAAGAAAATTTTGTTCTTTTCCAATAAAATAAATGTAAAATGTGATGATGTTGATATTATTCTCTCTTTTTCTCTTAGAGATTTTTGCGAGAAACAAAAAAATAGTTTATTTCTCTAGATGACGTATGGAAATGTGTCGATGTCTCGCCACAAATACTTCCACTAAGTTTTTATTAATAGAAAAAACTAAAATATAATCATATATATATATATCGAAAATTGTAGTTGAATTATTATTTTAGATATTTTATATTGTAAATCAAAAGTAATAAAATATTTAATTTTTTTCTATGATAATTTTTCTCATTAGAAATCTACGTAATATATATAAATGACATTGATCATGATTTTCTTCTTATTGATGTCAAAAATAAAATAAAATTTTTCATTAATATTATTAGATTTAGAATTTTTGAAAAAAAAAGAAAATAGTCTAATTCGAGTTCGAATATAAATGAGCAACTGACTCGTTTCTATCAATTGAAAAAATAAATGAAGTAATGTAATACCCTATTATCTTTGTGGAGAAAAAATTCTATATAAATCTAAATAGAATATTATCTATAAATAAAATAAGGATATCCATGTTAAAATTAAAATAAATATTTATTCTCATTTTAATATGGATATCCTTATTTATAGAGATAACGTCGACATGATATTTTATTTTTCAACGTAATAAATCTCGTGATAGTTTTTTGCGTATTCAATATATATTTATTATCCAACGGTGGTGCGAAAGAATTTCTAAAAGTTAAAATCGAAATTAAAATATTTATTTAAAAATAAAATATATAAAAGTGAAGTGAAAAGAGATTATCGTTTCAATATGGATTTGCGTAGATAAGACCATGAAAAACATCCAGTAGTTTTTTTTTCTTTTAAATATAATTGATTTGATACCTAAAATAAAATTGTTTTTAGAAAAAAAAGGTATAGTGATAAAGTAACCTTATTTAATCCAATCCATAATCTAATCGAATTATTATCAATTGCAAATGTAAAATTTGAATGATTTAAGATATTTTGAATAAATTTTTTATTAATTAATATATTTGATGTATCACAATAAAATCGAACGATGGATAAAGATTTGGAAAAAATCTTTAAAATTTTCTCAATATCTTCATATGTTTGAATTTTAATTTGTAAACGTTGTAATTGTGGAAAGATTTTGTTTAATGTTTCAATTAATGAAAATGATTTAAATTCTTTTAAAATTTCAATTGAATGAATTTGTTGAATTTGAATATTTTGTTTATATTCATAAAATGATAATGGAATATTATTAAATTGAATAAAATTTAAATTTCTCATTTTATTTATAAGATTAATTAATGTTTCAATTGATAATTCACTTTTTGATGAAACAAATATTAAACGTTGAATTTGATTTAAATCAATAATATTTTCTAAATTAATTCTTAATGGATCATCAATAAGCCAAAGTTCTTTAACATTTACAAAACGATTTCTTGTTTCTTCCCATAGAGCAAGTGCATTAATATGATTATAAAATATTGAATTGTCAGATATTGTACAATGAAATGGTGGACGAAATGTTGAATCTGCTGATTCACATGAAAATCGAGGAATTGAATAGATTAATCGTTGATTCCATTCAATTGCAATAAACCATTGTTTTTCATTTAACCAATATGATGTTGAATAGGATTGAAGAATATTTTGTATTGCAATTGTATTAAGAATAACTGTTGATCTTAATTGAAATTTAAAATAAAATATTTTTAAATAAAATAATTTCTCAAGAAGAAATCTTTCCCATCCATATCCATCACATAAATCAAGATCACTTCGACATTCAATTTCAAAATAAATAAGACATGGAAAACAACTTAAGAAATCTTTCATATAATTCATATTCATTTGAGATGCTAAATTAAAATAAATTAATCAATCATTTATATCAAAATTATATTAATAACTTACATGACATATTAAGTACAAGACGAGTAAGATTACAGTTTATTATTTGAATTTTTTCTATATGATCTCTTTCAAGACAAATATTTAATGAGATAAGATTTGGAGTATGATGAATTATATTTTCAAATTGATTTAATGTACATTGATTAAATAATTTTAGATGTTTTAATTCTTTCATTAATGTTAGATTATGAAAAAACCATTCACATGAAATATTTAATCGAATTAATCGACAAAATAATGATTTTAATATTGATAAAGGACTTAAATTATTATTTATTATTGTTAATGATGATAAATTATGAAATTGATTTAAATGATTAACAATTATTTCCATTGATTCATCATTTATATCTTCAAGTACTAAACAATGTAAACTCAAATAAAATTCTTCAATTTTAAATAAGGACAAAAATAAATCAGATTGATTTGGTGTATCAATTCCATCTGATAATATTAATGATATCATTTGTTTTGGATTAATATTTTCACATATTAAATCAAAATCATATTTTAATATTGATCGAAAATTTATTTTAGTAAAATTATAATTGAAAATTATTGAATCTATATATGAACTTAAATTGAAAAAACCATGAAGAATATCACATATTGATAAATAATCAAATATCATATGCATGATTTCCACTGGAAATGAATCAAATAAATAAGAACAATTAGACATTATCTCAAATAATTGACTACTTTCATCTATCCAATATAAATTATTAGTAGAAGATTAAATTTATCTCAATTAATAATGAACAAATTTGAGATTTGTTTTTTACTTTTGAGTAACTTAGCTTCATTCATTGATCAAGGTTGACATTTCTCAATGGTTTTCTATTCTTCAATGGAAAATTAACATTAATTACGTGAAAAAAAGTGACATCTGTTATATATATTTTATATCCATAATCAAATTCTTTCTCTGTACAAAACATATTATTTCAGTTTCTAATAGAATAGAACAGTTTTCATGTTTTATTCAACATTCGATATAGATCATTCTTATTTCAATAATATTCGTTTTATAGAAAAAACAAATAATAAAATTATTCTTTCTTATATAATTCGTAGAAGATTATCATCTATTTCATACTGACTCTGAATTTAATAGATTCTATGAAAATACAAAATTTAGAATGATGTCTTAATAAATAAGTAGAACATAGATTTTTGTGCGGACATATCAATATATATTTTCTAAACAACAATTATAAAGAAGAAACCGAATCATCTAATATAAAATGAATATTCGATATATTATCGAAAATTATTAAGAGTCGAGTCATATCTATCTTACGAACAGTGATTGCTAACTAAATTTAAGTATTACAATGCTGTTGCAAAGAATCCCGTCCTGAAAATGTTAAAGATAACAAATAGATGATCTGCATTAATCTATCGAAGATTTAAGATAAAATACAGTATTTATTGAAGCAAAGATGGCAAGCGAAGCTTTCTCTAATCAAAGATGAATCGCTCTTGAACGAGAATGTAGACTAAATATGTAAAAATGATTAATCTGTGTATTTATTTATTTTTCTAAATAAGATTAACATATTCGACAGAAAAATGACCAATCTCAGACTGTTTTCGTAATTTGTCTTCGTGTAAACTCCAGAGTTGATGCAATATTATTAGGATATCAACTTGTAAATCACAAGTTGTGATCACCAATTATTTATTAGTGTTTGTTCAAAAATTGATTGGCCGCATCTAAAAATGAATGATATAGTTAAACGAATAAATTCATCAAATACAATTTCTTCTTCCTTCCATTGTTTGAAGAAAGGCGATGGATGGGTGTGTGTGGATGTGCTGTGGGTGGGCGGATGTGATTGTGGTGTGTGGAAATTCTACTTATCTTCTATCTAGAGGTGTAAGCCGTGCGGCTGAGCAGCCGCCGCCGCTAACTACCCTACCGGCTTACGCCTCTACATGCATCGATCGGTATCAACTCATCCACCACTAGATACCTGTGCTGGCAACAGAACAGCATTTAACACTGTGAAAATTCATAGTTTTCGGATTGAGAATAGTGATTCAAGTTTCTGTTGCCGAAATATCTTCCGTAGATGTCTTTTGACCTACCAGTGAGATTTCGAGGTAGATGAAGCTCAGAGCCGAGACCCTCATTTCCGAAAACTATTAGTTCAGGTTTTTAAAAGATCGTTGTTTTCTCAAAATGGCTTTCATGATAACAATGAATTAAACTCGAGAATTCTGATTGCTGATCGCTATCTCAATTTTACTCGAGCGAAAGTCTGATTGACTGGAATAGACAAACACGCATACAGTCTCCAAATGTAAGACCCTTTTCCGTAGAAAAAGAAATAACCATGATGCTTACTGGTATATCCGGTGTTTGGAGAGACTTGCGGTCACGTTGCAGTGCGTCAATACATTTTTGAACGATGAAGATGATAAAGTCAGCGCCGATGAAAATCATCGACATACGTAATGCCAAAGCATCTTCGATAAGTGATACACAATATAGAAAAATACACAAGGCAATAATTGCAATGGAATCCAAAGTCAGACCAATTACATAAAAACCCACGAGCCACCCACAAACTGATTTTCTATCAACGCATCCCCAGCAACAAAGGAGACAGCTTCCTTTTTTGGTGTAACTTGCCACAAAAAAGTCAAGCAATGCCATGACGGCAAAAACACTTGACAGAAGAGCTGTGAGATAGAAAAGCTGCAATCCGGGGGATTTAAATTTCGAATGATACTCGAGGCATTCTGTTGAAAAATCAAAAGCAGAAATCATATAAGTAGGGGAGATAAAGCTTGTTTTGCCAATAATCATACGAATCACATTCAGGCACTTTTTCATACGGCTTGGATCAATATTATCAGTATCTTTACCTGATTTACGCCATTCGTTCAAAGGTTCTAGTAAATTCAGGATGAGCGCAGCGAGAAGATCGATCCAAAATGTGATTGCAAAGAACAATTGTTGACTCATTCTTTTATTCTTGATGATATATCTATAAATATCAACTATACCCCAACCATTGACACATTCATCATCTTCGTCGACCTGTTTGAAATCATCTTGCAATACTTTTAAGGACATATTGTTCTCTCTTTTACTATGGTCAGTAGATACATCATCTCCACAAGGAACAGACGAAAAATCGTTTGAAAATTGTGCATCTGAGGAACATGAACTAACATTGACACCAGGCTTAATTATATACCATGACGTTGAAACGTTCACTAGTCTATACGAATCTCGATTTGCATACTCCATCCATCCACGCACGTCCAACGCAAAAACAGTGATATTAATACCGATAGACACAATAGTTAAGATAAATAAAAGGCAACAGCACGGTCGTTTTCGCTTCCAAGCACACATCACTACTTTCTTATTCTGTTTCGAAAGAAGAACACGATAACATTAAAAACTATATCTGCCTTGTGTTGGCGGAGATAAGCGACTATGCATCTACTAAAAAAAAGAGTCTTGAGGGTGAGTGTGGATATAGATAAAGAACACAGACCCACACCCAAATTCACACTTTGAGGGTGTAGATGGGTGGTTGGGTCGGTGTGTAGGCAGATAGATGAGTGTAAATGATAGTGAGCATATAATAGTATTGCATTCTTCTCACAGACTCACACTCTTCGGTCAAATTATATAAACGCATGACTCTTTGGTTGTATAATGTATTTAAAAAATAAAATCTAAGAAAATTCATAAATTTCCATTTGACTGAAAAGATTTTTATAGGCTATCTATGATGTGTGATTTATAATAATTCATCATTATCAACCTATTTAAACCATAATCATTTAGATCAATTATGTTATTTTCTTGGATTTGCATGTTGGAAAAATTTTCTTTCCAAGCCACAGATTTATCATTTGTCTATTTATTCTCAATCCTGAAAGGATGAGTTGGCAGCACGGAAATTAGGATGTTTGTCCGCAGGGTCAAAAAAACATCGAAAACTAATTTTTCGAAAAAGACATTTCTAGAGGTATTTCGATGCGGGGACTTCAAGTTTGAGGTCAGTTGGGTGACCATGGTTAGGGGTGGGCGGGTGAAGAGGATGGGTGTGGGTGAAAGGTCAAAAAAACATCGAAAATCAGTTTTTAGGAAAAGACTTTTCTAGAGGTTTTTGGATGGGGGGATTTCAAGTTGGGGGTCTGGGGGGGGCCCAGGGTGGGGGGGGGGGGGGTGGGGGTGAAAGGTCAAAAAAACATGGAAAACCGATTTTCTGGAAAAGACATTTCTAGAGGTTTTTCGATGCTTGGAATCCGAATTTGAGGTCAGTTGGGTGACCATGGTTAGGGGTGGGTCGGTGAAAGGTCAAAAAAACATTGAAAACCGATTTTCTGGAAAAGACATTTCTAGAGGTATTTCGATACGGGAAGTTCGAATTTGAGGTCTGCTGCGTGACCACGGTTAGGGGTGGGTGAAAGGTCAAAAAAACATGGAAAACTGGTTTTTCGAAAAAAAGATTTCTAGAAGTTTTTCGATGCAGGCACTTTGAATCTGAGGACTATTGAGGTGTGGGTCTGGAGGGGGTGGGTGAAGACGGGTCAAAGGTCAAAAAAACATCGATAACCGATTTTTCGAAAAGCGCATTTCTGGAGGTATTTCGATGCGAAGAGTTCGAATCTGCGGATTTTTCGGGTGACCGTGTGGAGGGTGGGAAGAGGAATCAAAGGTCAAAAAATATCGAAAATGATTTTTTCACGGGTTTTGTTTTGTTTTCAGTAAATATGGAGAAAATGCTTTTCTACGAGAAAAAGCTAAGCGAGTACTCGAACGACGTTGCTTGTAAGCTCAATAACCTTGGTCAAACATCTAGGGATGGAGACATCGTTGGTGCGAATGGGGGTGGGGAGCCGGATGAACGTGAAAATCAAATGAAATCGAGTATTTTAAAAAATGCATTTCTAGAGGTATATCAATGAAGAAAAATCGAGTCTAAGGTCTTTTTGATCAGAGAGCTTGAGGGTGTCAGTGAGAAGCTGAGTAAACGTGAGAATCTATAGAAATTGAGTTTTTGAAAAAGTGAATGTGGGTGTGTGTGGAAATGTGGATGAGAATATAGAACGGTAAAATACTCACACCCACACCCACACCCAAATCTCAAACTCTACAACTAGATCCACATATACGCCCACCTGATACCCTCTCTAACGACTGCTGTCTCAGAACACTTGATGAAGAGAACCAACTTGATACGAGATGATAGTAAATGGGATATCAGTCGTAAAATGTAATCTACATCACCGAGTAGTCGGGAGTGGCGGCCCGAAGGGACGCCGACGACCGACTACAAGGTGAACGGACATCCCTTAACAAAAAATATAGTGCGGTCACGAAAGAACATGTTGTATCTCTCCTTAAAAGATATGGTGAAAGAGTTAAGCTTGAAATTTTATAAGCGCCAACCGATAGTTGTTAGGTCAAGGTCATTCATCGTTAAGCGAACGTGCTCAACGAGCATTACCCGTAGATAATATGAGTTTGGTTACAGATATTAGTTGGAAAATGGAATTTACCTTAAAATCATTCTACAAAATATGAAACGTTTTTGTGTACTTTTATAATTCAATAGAAAACATTTGCGTCTAAATCAGATATAAATTGGTACATCGATGCTCTCAGTGTAGTATTAACAGAATATAGGTTTATCTTACACAGTTGAGGGTCAAGTGGGTCGAAGTGACGAACGTTACTTGTTTGTGGAAGGAGCTTTGTGTGACAGACTAGGTGAATTTTCTTGAGTTGCGAGCGTCTTTTTTATTTACGGAAAACAAAGCATATAAATACGACGTAAGTAGTGTCCCTATAATAACGATCTTCAGTTGCTTAATATCACTATATGATATGCTTAGTGATCTAAGGTTGTCGTATTTGCAGTACATCTATTGTTCCTTTCAGGATTGAGTCGAGCGAGGTCCAAGGGACCGACGCGCTACTTGTTCTTTTATGATAACCTTAAATAAATAACCAGAACAGAAAAAAAAGATTTTTTCGCTACGTGTGAGTATATAGAATGTTTCACATACGGTTTATCCGGCTAACGACCAAAGGCGGGTGTTGGTGTGGATATAGATGGAGAACATAGATCCACACGCCCACCTTTGTCTACAAGAATATACATAACACTTATATTCACAGTCTTATTCTCTCGATTGTTTAAAATATGTATATTTTTTTTCTAAAATGATAGCAAAAGCAGCGAACTATAGTAGAAAAAATAATTTATTTTGGGTGATGCATTCGGACGGAAAATGACAAGACAAAGACATACAGAAAATATTGGTAAACGTAAATAGAAGTAATGTCACTAACTATTGTAGTAGTTAAGATAGATGAATTAGATAAAGAATCTATTCGACAGTCACGTTCAATTTGATTATGATCTAAAGTAAAGTCATCATTTTTGTTTCGATGATTAAATTCGAAGCAACTTGCTAGATATTGCTTATCAAAGTTCTGGCATAAACACATATGAACTTCATCATAAAAACAAGATAAATTGGATGAACGATTCCAACAGGGTTCATGATAGTATTTAAGACGTTGAATGCAAGGCATTTGAGTGTGGGTGAGGATGTCGGTGTGGGTATGGGTATGGGTATGGGTGTGGACCTAGATATAAACAGAACACTCACCCACACCCTAAAATATTTGCAAGTGCCACATAATATTTTGCAATGATGGAATCATATTCCTATCGATTATCATTTGTGGCAGATAATTATTTACTATTGATACATATCAAACGTGTTCTTTTACTGGTACATCTCTATCGCTTGATTGTTTGTCTAATCAATCTTGCTACACGTAAAAGTGATATCAAGTTGAACAAAATATCGAGAAGCATTTTGTACGAAAAAAAGATTCAATAAAGCGATTATTCACAAAATTGATCTGCTTTCTAACTCTTTATATATATGTGCAGTTTACAAATGAACCATGTTTTTAGTTAACATTACCAATCTCACACTTATTCACAACATTTGATCTCTAAATCATTATTTTATAGTTTTGTAAGACATTATAAAACAAAGGCCTTTTTTCATCGACTTTCTACTCAATTTAATTCAATGTATATCATTCAATTATGCGAATGCGCTCTAATTGCAACAAGATCTATTGAAACCGAAAATATCTGTTTAAGTTCTTTAGATTATTCATCTGTATCGATTTTTACAAATATTTTCCTATCTGAACACAATGTTACAAAACATGAAGAACAGTTTTTATTTGACATATGTTTATTTGAGATGTTGTTAATTTTGTATTGTCATAGCCAGAACTACATTTGTTTGTGGGTTGATTCTTTTCATTGTAGTTGATTTTAATGGTGTATTAAATTGAAATAAAATCATCATCATTAATATCAATGAAGTATCGATAAATATATAAGCAACTCGAAAATGATATTTAGGTACATCGTTAAAAAATGACATAAGAATAAATATTGTATAGGGAATGCCAAGAAAAACTAAGAATATCATAATAAAGATTGTCTGTTGAACCATTTTTAATTCTCGTTGTGCACGAGATAATATATATGTTGATGTTACTCGTTTACTCATCTCTTTCACATTTTGAACTAATCGAAAATAAATAAACATTGTCATTGATAATGGAATAAGATAATTAAATAATGCAGAATAGATAATTGAGAAAGAAATTCGAAGTGGAACTTGACATAATTGATTGTCAATATCATAAACTATATTATTAGTAAAGAGAAATACAAGTGGATAGATTATACCTAATATCCATGTCAGACAAATAACTATTCTTTGAAATTTTATTGATTGATAAAATAATCGAGTAGGATAAATCACAATCAAATATCGATAGAAAGCTTCGATTGAAAAAGAATAATTGAGCCAAAAACCAAATGTATAACTAGTATAACATTGAATAACACAGAATGAATCTTGAACAACAATTTGTTTAAGATCATTCTGAATTGTGACTATACTTATACTGAATAGAGTACAAGCAAAGAGCAATGTACTAAAACATGTATTGGCTGTTAACATAAATGGAACTGTATGACATGTTTTATCGAATAAAATAATACATAAGAAAAAAGTACATACTATAATAGTTAGAAGAGTACCAATACTTTTCACAATTTCTATGGGAATAAACCAAGATTCAATTAATATACTCGTTAAATTCATTGCTGTTGGAAAAAGACGACGTAAATGAAGATGTAAAACTTTGAAAAAAAAAAGAATTTCTTTGTCAGTAGCGGAAGAAAAAAATCAAAGATTTTATATCTATTATTAGATGTTTCTCTATGTTCTGTGAAAAAAAAACGTAACCTTTGATAAAAGACATAGATTATTATCCTGATAAATTCCCTGGGGACATATTTTCTAATTTATTTTTTTTTCGGTGGAATCTTGACAAGCGCTGCAATGTATATTTAAGCCTTTCTGATCGGATATTGTCAAATGGTAACATTTTGGTGTAGGAGGGGTACGGTATTTTTTAAAGAGTAGACCAGAAAAGATTAATTATAAAGTCTAAAAATATGCTGATTCTGATAAGAAAAAGTAAAAATGAATATTTTTACTCCAATTAATAAAAATAACATGAACTGAGAATATTCTTAAAATAGATTAAAGTACTCAAATTATACTATTATTTATAATAAACTGAGAAAATGAAATCTTCATAGAATTTTTCTTTCAACAAAATATAATAAAGAAAGATAAAATATGATAATAGACAACGAACAATAAATATACCTAGGAAATTATTGATAATAATAAAGATGCACAATTAATTGCAGAAGAATTTACATCACATCATTGCATTACTATTTTCGATCGTTTAACAACACTTTCATTTTTTAATAATCATTCATGACCATTACTGAATGATATTATCGATGAAAAATTATCTTTTCTTACTCGACATTGACACCCTTCTTCAGGTGAAATTATCAGTACCATCATTACTAGTGAACTTTATTTAATTCAACAAAAATACTCATGTAATGCTTCTCATTCTTCAAAACTCTTTCACTCAATGATTTCAATCAAGAATTAAAAACCAAATATGGTTTTACAAATTCTTATTGTTGTAGTTCGTGGTGAACATACAGGAAATGATGTTGCTACTCAATTACATACTCGTATGTGTAATCAAACACAAAATTTCAAAGGATTTTAATATGCATTTGTTCGACATATTTATGTAAATAAAATGAATGTAAATTATTTAACAAGAATTGATCCCATGATTTGAAGATGGAAGAAGAAAACTGATCATTGATTATATCCATATCATGTTTATAAAAATAAAATAATTGCTAATATGTTTGATGTTATTTCACTTTTGTAGTTCTTATCTATGTCGAAATTCTTTCTATAGCATTTTTCAAGTAAAGTATTATCATCACCGATTATGTCTGACATGAGAAACAAAGTAAATAAAAACACGTCATGTATAAGTAAGTCGTATTTTTCATAGTAGTTACACTTAGGAATTTTTATGCTTTCGAAATTTATTATTTTTAATGTCTCAAGAGAAAAAAATGAATATGATAGAGCGAAATTCATGACCTACAAAATAAAATTTTCACTAAAACAGTACAATATCACTCTGAGAGATGTCTTTGAAGATGAATTAAGTAGTTCTAATATGCTTATGAACACAAGAAATTCTCAAATAAAATCTTTTTTTCCTGACTAACAATTGAAACCTTAGATTGAAAATGTGTTATTACATCAACACTGACTCATTCATGACATTTGTAACTATTATAATTATTTTATTTTAATTATTCAAACAAAACAGTAAAATAAATAAATATCTCTTGTCTGTACATAGAGAAAACTTTGACACAAATATCTAAATAAAATTAGAAATAAAATAATCTAGATATGTTTTCATTTTCTTTAAATAAACAGAGAAAAAAGTCAATAAAAAGCGTATGAGTGACTCTCCATGCTCTATAGACAAGTATAGTCAGCCATTTTATACTTTTTCATTCCATGACAACAATCTTAACAAGAATATACATTGACCGAGGTTCGATCTAGGTAAAGTTTGACAATTATACTTTTTATTAAATAAATAGTTGATTTATATATTTATATCATCTGAAAATAAATAAATAAATTCTTTTTTTTCTTAAAAAAAACCATTTATATTAATATTTTATTTTTAAAATAAAAAGAAAAGAAAAGAAAAGTTTATTGATTATTTGTCATTTTTCTTTTTTGTGCATTAGCTTGTGCATAAGCATGTTGCCATTGTTTAGCTAATAATTCATATAAAAGTGATAAAGATTCTAGTTCAGCTCTAAGTTCTCGTATTTCAATTTGATTTGATATTGTTAATGAATTTGTATTTGTATTTGAAATGGAATAATCCGAAGGTATTATATCAGATTTTATAATAAATGATATAAAATGAAGAAATAAACTATTTAAATGTGGATGTAATTCAAATTCAATTAATTGACGATAATGAATTGCATAAATATGTGCCATACAATGAAATAATAAACGAACCATTTTTCGAACTAAGATATCGAATGTTGCAGGAAAATTTCGATCTAAATTTTTATATATTTATCTATTTATTCAATATGAACTATATACTGATTTTTCAAAAGTCTTTTTTTTCTTCTTATCTAACTATTTTTGAATGAGTGAAAAATGACTGTTGATTTGAAATTAGTTTACTGAAATAGAAATTCGATTTTAATAAATGTAAAATTACCAAGTCGTGTTGGAAATATCATATCATTGGAAAGAATTTTTTGCATAAAAGTCATAGCAGAATCAATATATTGTGGTGCAGAACATTTTAATTTTTTTCCACGTTCATCAATCCAATAATATAAACTTAAATTAAAAATTCACCTTTTTTATTTAAATGAAAAAGAATAATATTAAACCTATTTTGTGGACCAGTCATTGTTGAACATGTTGATTTTGTACAGAAATCTGATAAAACTTCGTATAATGCATTAATATGATTAAAAAATGTAACAACTTGAAATAAATAAATAAATTTAATGAAATTCGTATTTAAAAAAATGAAGAAAAAAAGAACAAACTGTTATGTGCAATCCATTCATTTTTATCAACATATTCTGGTTGTCGAATTAATTCTCCAATATTACATTGAGATATTGAACGAGTAAAAATCGCATATTGATTTTGTAAATAAAGAATATTTGATGATGTTCGATTATTTATTGAAGGTGATAAGGATGGAACTAAGATTTGATAATTATTATAATCATTTGATGAGATTTCATCGTCATTTAATAAATCTTTCTTCAAATTATTTTCTTCAACTTTTCCACGTGATTTTCTTTAAAAAAGAAACAAAATATATTTATAGAAATAATCAATAGAAATAGTTATTTCTATTAAAGAAAAAATCTTACCTTCTACTAAATGTACTCATTTATTAAATTCTATAAAAATTAATTAAAATAAATAGAAAAATATTTATTCATTTGACAATAATATTAAGAATTTTATCAGTTTATTATTCTTTATCAATACAACATTCAATGTCTCAGATGTCTTTTTTATATAAAAAGAATAGAAAAAAGAAAACATAACAGACTTTTTTCTTAAACACTCACATTTCTTTTTCTTTCGTTCGCTTTAGAATTTCGACAATTTCTTTTTCTTTTTCTTTTTCTTTTTCTTTTTCTCTATGAATCATTATCGTTGAAATAATAACACCACTCAAGGATTTCGTTTTTTTATTCATGATTTTTATAGATTTTATTTCAAACAAAATCAAATTCTTGTGAAATTAATCACAATTTTCATATCAATAATAAAATATTAATTCTTTCATCTTTCGTTCAGATAAATATCACAACTCATGGATTAGAAATCTTTGTTTAGTTTCGAAGATTCGAAGAAACATTTTTCAAGATATTAAAAAAGGTTTTGTTATTTTAATCATATAGAATGTTTATCTTTTCCATTTGAATTTTCTCAATACTTACATAAAAATAAATAATAAATTAATTATATCCATTAGAAATATTTTGTAGATTTCATTTGAAATGAAATAAATAAGAAATATATGTTGATAATAGAATAGAAAAATAGAAGAAGTAACTATGATGGTTAAGATGTCGATGGGGAGAAGTAAAGGTATTGACATATAGTCCTTTATCTTCTTTATGAATAAAGAAGACACTTTATATAACAAATAAGGATGATCTCATTGAAAATGTTATTCATTTCTTCAACAACAATCGTCAATAAACAAAAGAAGAAAATGACATTTTACTTTAACAAAAAGATTATTTTAGCATTTTTAATTAAAAAAAACGAAATTTGTTTTTTCTTTATTTGATTAATGACTAAAAATGAGTCATAATGAAATAACTGATGATTAATGAGTTATATCCGAAGTAGTCTAATGGTTAGGATTGAACGTTCTCACCGTTCAGATCCGGGTTCGATACCCGGCTTCGGAATATTAATTTTATTTTTCATATTTATTCAAAATCTGTATTAAAAAGAGATTTGAGTAGATATCAATCTTTTACAATGAGTTAATTTCCATGTGAATATTCTAACTACTATCCATTTCAAAATTTTGTTTTCAAAAGTGAAAAAACTAGCCGTAATAGATATTGATAAATCAAATAAAATCAAATCAATAATTGATTTGTATTTATTTTTGTTATTTAAAAAAAGAAATGTAAAATATTTAAAAAATAAAATTAAACAAGTGTTACTAATTGTTCATCATTCGAATAAATCGAACTAATTCCAGTATCTGATTCATCATTATTTATTGTTTGAAATTTATAATTTTGATATGGAATAGATAATGGTATTAAATCAATTTTCGATTTTGTTGTATTTAAACAATTTTTCTCTTGTTTATCAAGATTATCTAATGATAAATGAGATATGAGATTATTTCCTAAAAATTCTTTTGATTTTAATCTTGATGGACTTGGTTCAACTATTGCTGTTGGACGACTTTGAACTATTTAGAAATGAGAATAGATAAAAAGAAAAAGAGAAAGAATAGAAAACCTGTTAATGTTTTAATTGAAATAAGAGGAGAAGAAGATATTTGTTCATCTTGATCTTCTAAACTATCAATATCAATATTATCTTGTAGTGCATAATCTAATTCTAATTCATCTAATAGAAGAAGTTTTTTTTCAATTTGATCATTTGTTTTTTGTATTTGTTGATCAATTTTATCTGCGAGAAGAGTTAATTTTCTACTTGTTATTAATGTTTGATTAACATCATATAAAAGTTTTTTAAAATCATCTTGAAGAAAATTCTCTTGATTATTTTCATTTTCATTTTCAATATGAAATTTTAAATTGAAAATAATTTTTTCTTGATTTTTAATTTGATTATTTAAATGAATTATTGAACGTGATAAATTGAAATAAATTAAAATTTCTTTTTCATTTTCATATTTATTTAAATATTGAATTTGTTTATCAGTTCTTCGTAGTTGACGTTTTAATTTATTTAATTTTTTTTCTTGTTGACGAATAAGAATATGTGTTGGAATTGATTCTTCTTCACGTGATCGTAATGTTAATATAACATTTTCACATTCACCAGCCCATGAATTCCATAATTTAAGAAGACGACAACGATATTTTAATGGTCTTTCAACACCACGCCAACATTCATATAAAATATAATTTTCATTTAATTCAAATGAAGAATAATCTATTGATAATGATGATAATATAGCTTGAATAACATCAGAACAAGTTGAACGGGAAGTTAAATTTGATATCCATTTTACTTTTCCTTTATACCAAATGGGAATTTCTGTTTCTAATTCCATCTTTATCTAAAATATCATTCTCTTTGTTGTTAAGCAACAACGAATACAACGAACTTTGACATAAGAAGAAAAAGACTGAATACGATAGATGAGTAGACTCAATGTTTGACTTCGATAAACGAATACAATTCTCATGTATCTATACAATATATATATATATGCTCTTTCTTTCTTTCTTTCTTTCTTTCTTTCTTTTCTCACCATCCGTTCAGTTCAGTTCACTTGATTTCATAAGTAACGGACAATTCATAGAAGAAATAAACTAAATCATTTTATGTTCAATATATTCTTATTTGCGCATAATTACAAACGATTACGACAAATTATTAGAAATCAACTAGAAGAATAAAAATCAAACTAACCTTGTTTGTAATCGTCGTTTTCTTTTTATTAAATAAAACTAAATAACGGTATTGTACACAAATGTCAAGGATTTGAAAGATGTCTATAAATATTGCGAAAAGAAAAATGAAGACTTTCGACGACTATTAACAATTTATTTGTATTATTCTTCTTCTTCTTCTTCTTCTTCTTCGACAAACGTTTATTTAATATAATCAAAGTTTTATATTGAAAAAAAAAAAGAAAAAAGAAATTCTGTTCAATTATTTAGTAACAGAAATTGTATTTTATTCAAAAGAATTCTCGTTGATTTTCTTATATTGTTCAAGATTTTTTCAATAAAAGAATATAGAGAAATAGAAAAGATTTGTATAGTATGATTAAATAACTTAGAAGATAATATCTTATTTCGAGCTTAATCGATTATACTCTATTCAAATAAATATCGATCGTTTAACGACAAATTAACATCGAAATACAACTACTTTTCTATTCATTTATCTATATAAACGAATCAAATCTCACTATAGAATTATTTATATTACTTTTTGTTAATAATCATGATTTCGAGAATTTTAAATATAAAAAAAAAAAGAAAGATAATTTGGTAAAATCATACATGATTTATCTTCTCTATTTCAATTATTCGACGTATTGATTAGCAAAAAAAGAGTAATAGATTCAATATGTTTTGTTTATATATATATTCTAATAGAAACATCAGGATTGACTATAAGAATGAATGATGATATATATATATTAAGAGAATGTCTTATATACAATAGGTCAAACCTATATCAAATATAAACAAAGACGATACAAATCAATCGATACTCAGTTTTCTTCTTCTTCTTCTTTCTAATTGAAACGTGATGAGAATAAGAAAGATCATTCATCTCCCAAGGTCTACTTATTAATTAACCTCGACGAATAGAAATATCATGCACATCTTTAATCTCAATTTATCATTTTCATTAATCTACACATTTTTTTAATATCTTATTAATTATTCATCATTTATCATTAGAATAAATATTCTAATAAATTTAAATTAGTTTTTTTTTAATTTTATTTTTCATTGAAAAATTCAATTTAATTATTAAAGAATATGACTAGTTTCATCTTCATTTTCAATATCAATATTTAATTGTGATGGATTCAATGTATGATCTGCTTGTGTTATTTCATAATGTCTTTTCCGATTAACATTAGTTAAGTCAGTTGCTAATGAAGAAGAATCAACATTTTTACATTGAATTAATCGAAGAATATATGGCCAAATTATATTTATTGGCCATAATTTAACTAATTGTTGACGAAATACTTCACCTGTTAATGTATAGATGTAAAAATGAATCTAAAACAAAGAAATTTAAAAAAAAATCAAGAGAAAGAAAAGAAAAGAAGTTTACAGCATAATTAAGTTGTGCAAGTGAAACAAGAATAGCTGATAATAAATATTTTTTTTCATTAACATGATTTTCTGATGAATATGATCTAATAATATCATTAATTTCAGTTGGAAGTGTTAAAACAAGAAAAGCAATAGCTGATCCAAGTAACATAAATGTTAATTGTCGATCTTTTTCATATTTTCTTTTTGATTTTGTTGTTTTACTATTAGTTTTTCCATTACTTAAATTAACAGATGAACTTGATCGACATACACGAATAATAATTATTAAATTACAAATACTCATTATTATAAATGGAATAACATTTGTTTTAATAACTTCAATATAAGAATCATATGCAAGAAAGAATTTTTGATATGCATCAGAATCAGAACGATAATGACAATGTTGAATACTTGTATTTAATGTTGAATTCGCTGATTTTACAATAAAACCATAAAATATATGACTATTTAATAATGTATGAATTATAAATAATACAAATGTTATTGTATATGCTACTTGACGACGACAAAATTGTCTACTTCCAATTGGAAATAATATACTTACTGCACGATCAATAGAACTAAACAAAACAAAAACATTTAATCTTTCTTAAGATTTATTTTCTTTAAAGATTTATTGGAAGATATTTTTAAAAACTAAATACAAAAATCTCGTTTTATTTTCGCTTGAAAAACTTTGAAAAGAATTTCATTAGATATTTTTGTTTTCTATATAAATTCTTCTTCTTCGTGTTTTGTAATAAAAAATAATTAATATTTGAATAAGAAAAGAAAATCTATAAGAAGATCAAAAAAGAAAAATCCGTTAGTTTTCTTTTATAGTTTCTTTGGAAGAAAATGAGATGATGGATTTTGTCGTATCTGATACAAATCATTTTTCCATCAATGTCACATTCAATTTATAATAGAAAAAACATCTTCTTCTTCTTCTTCTTCTATTAAATATTTTTTTGAAAATGACTTACCAAGCAGTTAAAATATAATTTGCTAAATCAAATCCCAAATACATTGCAAATACAAATGCTTTACAAAAAAAATTTGATAAAATAAGTATTTGAATATTATATGTTGGTAAAACAAAATGAATAAGCCAACAAATCATAACTAAAAGATCAGCTAAAGCCAAAAATAAAAAATAAATTGAACAAGATTTTTTTCTTAAAGCTTTTCGACGAAAAACAAGACATGAAAGTGTTCCACCAATAATACCCAAACAAGCAATTATTGGACCAAAACCTCGAAATACTATCACATCCGCATACCAATGATAAATATTATTATCCGATCGTTCATTTTCATTTGATCTATTATTCATATTCATCTAAAATTACATTTAAAAAAAACAACACACTTACTTTCTTTTTCTTTCAATTAACAAAAATTAATCTTCTATTTATCTTACTTGTCATAATCAGAATTCTTACTGTATAATATTAGAAAAAGTTTATTTAATATATTCAGAAATCATTATATTTATCACACCTATTCATCTCTCTCTCTCTCTCTCTCCTCCTCATTTTCTTTGTCTATATCAGATAAAACATGCGTTTTTCTTGTCTGCTTATGAAAACTACTTTGTCAGTTTTTTTTCTTCTTCTCTTTATCTAGCCTTTTTTTCCATAGAGATTTTCTAACTCTCAAAAGGGACCAAAAAAGAAAAGAGAAAGAAACAGTAAAAGTAATCATTCTATGTTCTATCCCAATTAACGTAGAAGAAAAACATACCGATTGGAAACGAGACTAGGTAGAGGATGTCCTACTATTTCTTCTTATCAAAAATAATTGGACACAATAGAGCAAAAGAATACTCAACAACAATGCAAATAAACAGGAAGTCAAATTCTTTTTCCAACTTTTACATACAAGAATAGATCATATTGAGAAGAGAGAGAAATGTCTATCTTACAAATATTTATTCAACTAATTTTAATTAGTTTCATTTATTTAATTTACATTCTTTTCTACTTTTCATACTTGAAGAACTTTACAAAAATATCTAATTTACAAATTTAATTAGATAAGAAATCGAAAAAATATTAAGATCATTTTTATTTAATCTTATTAAAACAATTCTAAAGTATGATCAATCATTTTAAGTATTGACAGAAAATCTAAACAAATTCAGTTTTCATTAATAAATTACTTTGATAAAATCAAGAGAGAGAGAGAGAAGAAAAGTATTACCATAAAATAATGTGTCAACATTGAATGAAATACAATAAGAAAGTAACAAAGAAGAACATGAGTATTTTGTTTCTTTTATTAAATGGACGAGAAACATTGTCACACTTCCTTCGTATAAAATATGACTGATCATCAACATTTCTTCTCTTTATCTAATATATAGAAGAGAAAGAAAAGAAAAGAAAAGAAAAGCAAAGAGAAGAAAGAAATGATTTTTATCAAATAGATCTTATCAAGAAAAACAAAGAATTTCATCTAATTAGTATTCGTTTTTCTATTCTATGAATATTAACAAAAAAACAAAACCCTTATCTTAACAACAATACGTTAATATATACTGACATTAAATCTTCGACAAAAAACATGTCACGCTAAATATAAAATAAAATTATTCATTTTCTATTTAACAAGAAAAATAAATAGATTCTTAAACATATTAATTATTTTAAATATCGATAGTTTATTTCTTCTACTTGATTAAACAAATTCTATATTGTCTTATTTATAATTATCGAACCAAATAATAATTTAATCATAATAGAAGAATAAGAAGAAGAAGAAAACAAGTCTAATATATAAAAGAGAAAATCTTTCTCTTCAAACTAACTGATTATTTTCTAACCATCGATTTTCTCAATAGATATATACTTAACTATGAACATAAACAACTTTTCCTTTTTCTTTTTCTTTTTTTTTCTCTTTTTCTTTTTCTTTTTCTTGATAATATTAATAATTTAATAAGGAAACTAAACAGTAATAGTCAATGTCAAATTTTTTCATTAAATATTTATATAATGATAAATGATTTTAACTAGTTTTAGCTTTTACTTTGTTCAAAAACAAATAATTGAGGTCATCATGGAAATAATAAGCGAATCATTTATTTAATTTACCAGAAGAATTAATCTTAAAATAACGAAAATGATATTATTCGACCTTTTGTCTTTGCATACTTCCTTCTATGCATCGTTTAATTCTTATTTTAATGAACATTATTTTGGAAGAAATAACATGAACTATATTTAGTTACAAACTTTTTCGATTTCTAAAAGGACATAATATACGAAATTTATTAGATTTATCTCATAGATATAAAGAATTATTCTAATTGAATATTTTTGTAAAATCTTTTTAATTTCTAAATGAAAAGAAATTCTTCTTTTTTTCAGTAGAAATATTTGTATTTAATAAAGATTATTAAAAGATTAAAACTAAAGTAAAGTGAGATATTAGTATAGACATTTAGTCATAAATAAATAATTTATTGAGAAATGAACTTGTAGGTACAAGATGAAATCTCATCTAATAGAAACTATTCTAATCATGTCACTTTTCTTTTTCTTTCTATTCTTTACTATCATATATCCTGAGAAGAAACGAAGAAGAAGAAAAAAAACAAATTATCTGTTCAAAGTCACGTATTATATATAAGTGCATTATGCGTAAAACATATCGAAACTAATTGAATAGTAAAAATAGGAATAGACATTCAATAAATTCATTTCTTAAACATATACAATTAATTTTAACAAAACAAATACGAATTTTAGTAGATAGAAAATAGAAAATATTTAAGTAGAAGTTACTTATCATGTCATTTGTTCTCGCATGATTTTGATTTAATATTCTAACATAAAAAGTGTCAAATCAATCCCTAGAGAAGAGAACTTACATTTTATTATTTTACAACTAAAACAATTCTCTTTTATTTAAACAATATTTCTCAATATTTATTTCCTTCATTTGTTTTCTTAGTTAATATTTCTTCTTCTTATTATTATTATTACATAGAAAATGTTCTAAAACAACAAATTCTACATATATCTATATTGTGTATTGATTAGATATTTGTCAGATATAAATAGTATTAATTAAGTATGTATATTTATTCTGTTTATTTGATATATTATTACTATGAAAACTATACTTACAAATGACAAATTATTAGTAGTTTCTTTTTCTTTTGCATAAAATTCATCTAAGAACTAAATCTTCTGTTAAATCAGACAGTTTTTTTTCTCCATTTCTAATTATGACTTGATTATTAATAAGATTCTTTTTTCTCGAAGTCTCATAATTACAGATAACGTTCATCTATATGACGACTCACTTAGTTCGAGACTGTCGGTAGTACTATAAGGATATAATTATATGTAACCTTAGATGTGCATTCACAATTCTAGCTGAAGGATAAAAATCAGAATAGAAAAATATATCAAAAACAAAATTCAAATAATTTATTTGAATTTTTAAGAATTAGATTTATTGAATATTTAAATTCGTTTCTTAATTATTAAATGTTAACATATCAATACAATATAATATATTATTTCACTTGATGTAAACAAAGAAAATAATGAATAAAGCATGTTTGGTTAATCTATAAATAAAGATTTTAGTTTGGAAAACTATTGACAAGATTGAAGACTAAAAGAGAAAAATCTTCATGCAAATTTCTTCTGATTCTTATCTATTGTTCATTTGACAAGAACAGTGCATTTACACCCGCACATTGTAAATCATTTAATCATATGTCTTTGCTAAGAATAGAAAAATCATAAGGGACGGGACTACAAAAATAGTGTGCTTCGCTTCGCACACCATTCAATATAATCAGTTCATTCGACGATCAAATCAACAACAAATCTTATTTATATACAAACACTTTAGTATATTTATAAAAATAAAATTTCTTATCTTTTGTGAAATTATTTTATTAACAAATCATCTACTTAATTATTCAATGTCAATCAGTACTTCGATAATGACAATTACATATAATTATTATGTATTCACAATGAAATTTAAACGCTATCAATCATCTCATTTTGTTTTTTCGACATATTAAAATATGTTGTGAGATGTTCTGTCATTATTTTGCATACTATAAATGAAAATGAATCTTTTATTATTATCAAGATTGATTTTTTTATCATCTAAAAGATTATTTAATCACGTATCAATACAAGATCATCATCATCATCATAATGTTTTTGACGATCATAATAACTATTAGTTATTCCTATGGCACATAGTTCCTTCATATTCATGGTAATTATGTTATAGAAAGATAGATACAGATGAATTTCCGTTTCTAAACCTGATCCTTATAATCTACTGATAATTAATCTAAAAAAAACAATTTTTTTTTAAAGAAAAATCTTTTTTAAAATAATAGTTGATAAGTAGTGTCCTCTATAAAAAAAATAAAATAAAAGATTTATTAAAAAATTCAAAGAAATTTATAAAAACAAAAATAAATAAATTTTAGTTATTCTTTTTAATAAAAATCAAATGTCTAATTTCCTATTTCATCGATATCTCGTTGTTAAGCAACATAGTTTATTGATTTGATGTAAATGGTAATTGAAAAACAAACATTTTAGAAAAAGTTTAGTTGAAAAACATCTCATTTTGAATAAAGATGACACATACAATTCATCGAGCAGTCAATCATCGTGATCCATTATCATATCCACGTCTTGAAAATGAAGAAACATTTACTGGTCGTGTAGCTAAACAAAAAGTACCATTTGAACAAACTGAAACACATGTTGCACAACGTGATGAACCATGGAATCGATTATATTCAACAGCTACACTTTCTTCTGGTCGTCATGAAATTTATACAACTGATCCAAAAGCACCTCTTGATTCACTTGATTTTCTACTTAAAACTCAATATGATCAACATGGAGAAACATTTGCAGGAAAAGCTCGTACATGTGTTCAATTAGAGACTACTTCTGATGATCATGGGTAAGAAAATAATTATTATTACAAAAATATTTTTATTCTATTTATTTTAGTCGTATTTTAAAAAATCGTGTCGTCTACAAAGCTCCAGTTCAAAATGATCTTAATCATCCATTACGTATTGCCGAGAGTGGTCGAAAAGAACATATATCAGAACCAAAACAAGCCATTCGTAAATAAATTCATTTATTTTTCTTAATTATTATATTTGAATTATTATTTTATAGAGGGTAATCATACAATGTTAACTAATCGTGGTTATGCTCGAAATCATCTTGGATCATATTTTGTTGCTTAATACAAATAATCATTTATACAAATAATATTCTTTCTTTCTTTCTTCCGTTCTTTATTTTCATATGACTGATAAATCTTTTTATTAACAACTTTTTTTTTCATCCAGAAAAAAAAATGAATTCTAACATAAATTATTTTATTTTATTTTCTTCAATATATATTCTTTTCACATTAAGATTTATTTCATTTACAAGATTTCTATGAACAAGTAACAACAGATTTGTCTTGGTTCGCATGTAGAATTTGACGCTTAATATAAAATATCAATAGAAAGAAATGTAATTACGATAAATGTTTATTTTGAAGATTATCTCAACAATTAGAAATTCTTCCTTTCATCAGTATATACTTGAAATACTTAAGAGAATAAGTAAATATATATTCTAACATTATTATATATTATTACTCGAATGAAGAAATAACGTAAGTGCAACTTACTTGATTGTTAAACAGTAGCCTAGCAACACGACTTTTACTTTTAGTATGACACGTGTTTACTTAAACTATGAATCAGAACTTCTGTCTTATAATTAGTTATCTTCCTTATCCATCGTTAAATGAAGAGAAAATTCAATTTTACTTTTGACAAAAGGTGATATTTTTTTCTAACATAACGCAGAAAAATCTCTTTGTTTTGTTAAAGAAAAACAAAAAGTTTTTGTGACTGGAAGATGTTACGCCTTCGGTATCTCCGATCACACCACTGCTGTTTTCCTTTTCTTTATTATACATTGCTTTTCTCCAAGATATTAAATAATAAATGAGAAACATGAACATTTCTGTTATAATAAACAAATGAATTAATATGCTAAAAGGTTTTGAACATTTATGATATGCACATGTATAATTTAATCATTTATTTACAATGAAATATTCATGGAAATCAATATCAAAATTAAAATTAAAGTAAAAAGATTATCGCCTATGTACTCAAAGACCCAAAGGTCATGTTACTTAAAACAAATTAAATATCTCTTTTATAACTCAAACAAAGAAACTACTGTCTTTTTATAAACAATAGGGATATCTTCAAGCTTTATATCTGGAAGAACTAGATTAAGAAGAACCTATGTTTATATGTAACACTAATGAATTCAGCAAAGAAAATTTGACTTTTTTTTTATAAAAAGAAAAGACAATTTATCAAAACAAAATGAACCATACTTTAAAGGAATTGTTTGCCAACTGTATTGATACATATCTGAGATCGATTTAACTTATCTTATATTTTTCTATTTGTTTATTTATTGAAATAATCAAATATGTCATAATTACAGTTTCTCCTCTTTTATTCCTCCATATATACAAACATATTTGTATTGAAAAAATAAAGAAAACATAGAAATTTAAATGTTTCTATAAATTTCTTTTATATTTACACATTCAATTTTTAAGTTCTAAAAGACATCCTGTGATTTCTTAAACTATTTTTCTCGAACTTCATCATTTTTTATTGAGAACTGAATGACTTTCGAGCACTGACTTATACAAACTTTCATACATAGATCAGAATCTACTATAGAAAGAACTGATATAACTGGTTGTTTGAAATTGGATAAGTTTTGGTGAACAGTACCTTTCAGATGATCCGATAAAAATACTATCATATGTATTGATAATTTATCTGACAAAAATTCTTAAAAGGAACACTATGTAATCGAATAATAACCGATAATCAATAAATATTAACATAATAGAAAAGTTTGTACAAGTAATTAGAAATGGTATCTATTGTCAGACTAAAAAACTTTGAAGATATGTATAGGCTTGAATGTAGTTATAATTCTCTTAACTCTCAGAATTCCGATAAGAAACATATTTCCCTTCACTTGAAAGTGTTAAATATTCGAAAAATTTTGAGAATCGTAAAGAGTATCTTCATAATGCTAGAAGCTAGGAGAGATCTTTCTATTCAGAAAATAAAATACCATTTAATCAATTCAATTTCAAAGAAAAAGCAATTGAGAATATTTTTTTTCTATTTCTAAATATCTCATTAATAGAACCAACGTTATTTTTATGCATAAGAAAAGTAAAGTTCACGATAGATTGATTTTGATCAATATGTCTAAAAAAAATCATCCTTGAGCGCACTAAGGAACTGCCCCTTAGGCCCTGCGGATGCCCTCTTTTTGCCCCATAGGACGTGGCGAGGAGTTAGTTCCACAGGTTATTTGTTTGCCTTAGTCGGATCTTGGTATAAACTCAATACTTTTCTTCCTGAAAGTGATGAAAGTAAACTCAACTCATTAATCCTTGATCCTGTTCTGTCCGATGGTATAGCCACTACAGACAGACACAGTAGTCTTACACACATCTATCTTATTCTAAATCAAAATCGACGATTAGACTAAAACGAAATAGGAGGTTTGCAGAGAACAATCAATTGGCACGAGGATGACTTTTTCAGAGCATCTTCATGACTCGGGAGGGACAAGCTGCCACTGGGCGACCCCCTCCACATTAGCACATCGATATAAATATCGAAGCCAGTGATTAGAAAGAATTAAAGAAAACAAGCACATTGGGTTCTAAGACAATTCTATCCTAAAATGTTTTTTTCAAATTTTTTAGTTTACATAGGACGTCCCCAAAAAAAACATGAAAGATTATTTTTGAATTCGAAGATAAAATCCTAAGTAAAACTATATCATACCTATTGTTCACTATAAGTTGTTGTTCCTATTATCTAAAATGAAGAAATGATTTGTTTTGAGTGTCGAACATGTATTTATATATCTACGGTACGATAGACTATCGTTCATAAGAATATAAAGAAAAATAAAGAAATAAAATAGATTGTACTTATAAAGATCGCAGAGAATGAATAAAATTATATCCTTCTCTTATATTTATTTGTTTTATCACTCGTTACACTTATGTCTAGTCATGCTTTCTCTTCTCTTCTCTTCTTTCTTCCGTATCTCTCCTTTTCGTGCTTCTTTATTTTTATTTTTATTTTTCTCTTGTCTTATATTACTTAACTAGATATAGAATATTCAAAGTAGTTATAAATTGTTAACCGGATAAACGAAACAATGAAATATATATTAAAAAAAAGTAACTATCACAGAGCAGCTGGAATATATAAGATACGATATAGTAGCTATGATAGAACAATGGCGACATATGAGCTACGATCAGACTACTAACTAGATCCTTTAGAAAACAGGATTTGCTCACGCCATTTATGAATTGTAATTTGAAAATTATGTAGATGGACTCTGCTTTAAAAGTGTTCAGTGTGCTGCCTTGTTAAAAACGGTCAACTACGACAGATCAGCTAAAGCATATTCGATATGATATACTAGCTACAAAATATGAGATAAAAGAGACGAAATATGATAAGCCAGATATGATGGATCAGTTAGAATAGATGAGTTACGATAGAACACTTGAGACATAGTAATTACGATGTGTCAGCTATGATACACTCGTTACTAAAAAGAAAATCGATTAGATTAATTATTACTATGCTTGTTTGAGACAAATGATAGCAATAGGAGTTTATGTAAAGAATACTATGGCATTAATGTCTAGCGTCTTGTAACTCGTCAAACATGAATAGAATTTTAATGATTATTCACATAAATTCAGATGCACAAATCAAGACTTTGAAAAATTAATGAGAATAGTTAGTTGTATATTATTATGATTGTATATTCAAATAATCTATATAACTTAAAAAATAACGATTTTTATCTCAATACGTTATGAGCAATTAATATTTTGAAATCAATAATTTCTCAATAAGAAAGATCTTTTAAAACTGACAATAATTAACTTTTAGAATTACTTAGTATAAACTCTTCTATTATTAATTTTAGAAAAAAATTATATTTTAATTATATAAAAAAAAGAAGTTAGTAATGACATATATGAACATCTATTATATTGTAAGTCTTTAATTAATATTTAATCATTTCATTCAATTGTGGACGTATACTATCGTTTTACAATAAATGTTCACAAGATAAATTTAAGTGATTGTGATAAATAATGTTAATTATTTTTCATTAACTGAAAACCTTCATAACCATTGGCCACAATATCTTGGCATATCTTATGATATGCAACAAAACCACCAACGTAGACCATACAAACTCTTGGCTTTCCCGGTATATTCGCTCCCATATACCAAGAATTAGCAGTAGGAAATAATGTAGCATTAGCAATTGCGTTTACTTGATTAACCCAAGCATCTTCAGCTTCATTCGTCGCCTCAATACTATCGTAATGATGCTTTCTTAAATAATCTAGACATTCTGTAATCCATTCAACATGTTGTTCAATGGAAACGATCATATTAGTTAATACCGATGGACTTCCTGGACCAGTGATCATAAAAAGATTTGGAAAATCAGCAGTCATAATACCAAGATAGGTACATGGTCCTTTTATCCATTTTTCTTTAAGTTTATTACCTGATCGACCTTGAATATTAATATTAAGTAGAGCTCCAGTCATGGCATCGAAACCAGTAGCAAATATGATATTATCGACTTGATAGATATTGTTCTTAGTTTTGATTCCAATTGTTGTAATTTCTTCAATATTTTCTTTTCGAAGATTAATTAAAGTAACATTATTACGATTGTATGTATCATAATAATTAGTATCAATACAAACACGTTTACAACCGATAGGATAATCTTGTGATGTCAAAGATTCAGCCGTCATAGGATCTTTGACAATGGCACGAATTTTTGAAGACACGAAATCTGCAGCTGTGGTATTTGCCTCTTTATTGAAAAGTAAATCATTGAATGAAAATATAAATGTAAGACCTCCTATTTGCCATTGTGTTTCATATACTTCTTGTTGTTCTTCTGAAGTAGCAGTTGTTGCTGGTTTATCAGAAATCATATCGTTAACTTCAACACCAAAACTTGATCCCAAAACTTTACGTCGATGTTCATCATAATTTATTTTCCATGATTGTTCGACTTTTGTATCGAGTGGACCATTATGTGCTGGAATACTAAAACTTGGTGTTTGTTGAAATACATAAACATGATCTGCTTGTTGTGCTATTATAGGAATACTTTGTATCCCAGAAGATCCTGTACCAATAACGGCTACACGTTGACCGGTAAAGTCAATAGATGTATGTGGCCATTGACTAGTATAATAAATATTACCTTTAAAAGTATCCATTCCTTTCAAGTCGATTTTTTTTGGTACTGATAAACAACCAGTTGCCATTATGCAAAACTTTGCGGATATTTGTTCATTATTATCTGTTTGAATATTCCAACGCGCAAGAGTTTCATGGAAGTTTGCAGTTGTTACACGAGTTTGAAATTGAATATCTTTACGTAAATCAAATTTATCAGCTACATAATTAAGATAATTGAGAATTTCTGGTTGAGAAGCATAACGTTCACTCCAATGCCATTCTTCACGTAATTTATCACTAAATGAATATGAATATTGTAAACTCTCAATATCACAACGTGCACCTGGATAACGATTCCAATACCATGTACCACCAACTCCAGCAGCAGCTTCAATAATTCTTACTGTCATTCCAAGTTCTCGTACACGATAAAGCATATATAATCCAGAAAATCCAGCACCAACAATTATTACATCGATCTTCTCAGAAGATTTATCATTCTGATTCAATTTTTCCTGTAAATTTGACATCTTTTTTTTATCTTCACCTAAAGTTTGAAACAATAATCATAAAATTGTAACGGAACGACTGATCATTCGTATTTTATTTAATCGAATAAATTAAAGAATGAACAATCTAGCCTATATATTTATCATCAACGACGTCAAAGTGTCCGAGAAGAAAAGCTAAATAGAAACTGACTAATGCATATGTGTGTGCACAATGGACATGTTTTGGTCAAGAATATGTGAGTGGTAGTGATGGATAGAATCCGTCACAAGTAATTATAAACTTAAAATCTTCAACTCATTTTTCCTCTTTTTATCTTTTAATATTTAACTAACTAAAATACTTTATTTATAGGTACATATATAGATTTGCTGGGTACTATTTAAAAATAATATTTTACTCAAACAAATTCGACTACTGTAGATTATAATGTATAGAATAAATCTGACTGATGGTCAATGATATCTATATACCGTTGTATATAGTTGGACAAGATAGAAAAAAACTACTGACCTATTCAACCTACTATCTAATAAAGTATATGTTCTTATGTTTCTCATATTATCTTTTTTTCTTTTAAATAAATTTAATAACACGTGTGGTAAGAAACATGTACTCCACTTCATTTATCTACTATACTGCCCCTTTGCTTTCTTTTTCTCTGATAAGTTTAAGTAATACACATTGTATAATTAACAGAAAGAAAGAAAAATTATAATATAAAATCATAGAACGTAATAAAATGATAAGATAAAGAATAAGAATATAGTAAAACAATATGCGTAATATATTCTGTTTAAAATATTGCGATATTACTCTGTTCATATGTTAATTGAGTTTGGAAGATAAATGATTATATACTCATACTCTTGTGTTTTAAGATCAGACATAATTTTCATTCTTTGCATAGTTTCTGTTCAAAAAACGATAAGAGATAATTTTTTGAAAATTATAGACTACATTTTATATGCAATCGAATGTTGTACAAAAAAATGAATGAGTTCACATCAGTTAATGAAATATTTCAATATCGATGTTTCTATCTCATTCGTGTTTATCGAAGTTCGAAAGAACAAAACAATGTTTTTCTATGTTCAATGACTAAATAGATCAAGAAACGTAACATGTATTCTTGACAATTAAAGTACAATATTTAATATTTATTGTATTTCTCATCGATAAGATTGTGTCTATGAATATTTGTTTTATATTACATTACAATTTTTCTGAATATTTTTTTGTCAATTCAATAAAAAAAACGAGAGTATATTTGAAAGATATATAGGAAAGAGACTTGTTATTTAAGAAAAATATATTCTATTATATTTTAACATATAATTAATAATAATTATTATTTTCCTTTTATTCATATCATTTGAATTATTCAATCGTCATTGTATCTCTCATCAAAATCTTCTTAGTAAAATAAATGATGAAGTTTAACATATATTTTGATTGGATAAATAGATCGATGAGAAAATCTCTGTTATAAAATTGGATAAATTCGAATGTGAAGAGAATGATTAGAATTTGTCTTTGTTTTTTCATTGAAATATTTTTGTTAATTATTTTGTCTGGATCTGAATAATGTTAAGTATATAAATAAATGTATATAATAATGATAAAAATTCTTGTTGTTATATTTATTTTATTTATCCTTGGATAAAAGAATTAATAATTAGATTGTTCTTAATACTATGAAGACCATTGTCATATCTAACAGATTATAAAATTATCTCCTAATAATTAGAAGAATAAGATAAAAAATCGAATCTATTCAATTATATAAGAATACGATAAAAATCATTGAGCATATAGTTTGAAAAATTCTCAAAACATAATTTACTTTTGTTAATACAAACTATTCAATGAGGTTATTATCTAAAGAACGAATACAAGAGAAAATTGCGTCTTTTTCTATAAATAAGATCGTTTTTCGACGAAAGAAAAGAATATATTGATTATTGTATTCTTGTTTAAAATTTCTATATAATAATTGATTGAGATTTTGAACATTTTCTAAATGTAAATATAAAAAAAGTGCTAATTATTTTCATAATGAATTGATTTCTATAAGATATAAAAGTAATAATAATTATTGAACATTAAACGAATGAATGAATAATAGTTTGAATATTGTTTATCATTTGTATATTTACGTGTTAACTGACGTAAAGATTTTTACGCATTTTTCTTTATTTAAACGAGATTGGTGACGATTATTTAATGAGTTTGACGCGAAAATAACGAACAAGAGAGAGAGAGAGGGAGAGGAAGAGAGAGAGAGCGAGTAGAAAAAAAAACGAGAAGAAAAAAATAAAGGGAACGACATTGCGCTTCGTCTTCGTTTCTTTTTTTTTCATCAGTGATGATAGAAAAAAGAAAAGTAAATTGTCTCTTCGAAAGACGTTCTCTCTCTATGTCGTTTGCCTTCCGTTATCAACACCCTTACTACTGTTGTTCAAGGACTATCGACGTCTGAGAGCCGCGGGTAATGTTGAGACACATACGTTTTTCTTTTTTTTTTTATATAATTGTTGTTAAGCTTTGTTATCCTTGAATGACAAGGTCAATCTCTATTTAGGTTATTTACATATCTTAATAGTTTTTATTTGACCATTGACTTTTACTCCATTTTAGATTATTCAATGTGATTTCATTTCATTTTATTTAACACATATTTTTTATAAGAAAAAAACGAAAAAACGAAAAAAAACAAAGGCGAATTTATCTTCTTTCTAATAGATTTCTATTATTGGATATTCTATCTTAAGTAAGTTAAAGAAATTTTCTTATTTTATTAAAGATTTTGATTTTAAAAAATAAAGCGAGACAAAAGTTTGTAAATAAAGATTTAATAAAAGACCTTGAATAAGAATTGATGTTATTTTCTGTCCCATGATCGTCCTTGAGCTCAAGAATTGTTTGCTGATGACGCCTTCTGAAAGAGAAAAAAAAATCGAACGGACAAGGTTATTTATTAGAAATAAAGAATACATCATTCATTCAAGGACCTTTCATTCGAAATAAATAAATATTTTTGACTGGTCAAATAAATAATTAGAATTCGACGAACGATTCCATTTTCTAATAATAATATTTTCCATTTTTTTACAAAAATATTTCTATTGACAATTCAAAATATATGTTTCAATCAAGGTCATATATTAACGAAAATTATCTTTTCAATAGAAAATTTCTATTTCTAAATCTAAAGATAAAATTAATTTATTAAGGTGTAATAAATGCGTGCAAGTTGTTCATCGATAGTTACTGATGATTTTGATGATTTTAATGAAAAAAATCTTTATCCATCATCATCCTCATCAAATAATTGTATTTCATTAATAAATGATATACAAAATAATGATTTTCCATTTTTTGATGATTTAAATGATGAAATTTGTAAAAGAAGTGATTCACATTATGAACAAGATTTATCACAAAATTCTTCACAAAAAACTCTTCATTATGATCCACAATTAGCAAATTTAATTGAAAATGAACTTGGTCTTAATGATTGTCAAACATCAAGAAAAAATGCTTGGGGAAATTTATCTTATGCTGAATTAATTGCTAAAGCTATTCAAAATAGTGATCAACAAAGATTAACACTTTCACAAATTTATTCTTGGATGATTTTATATATTCCTTATTTTCGTGATAAAGCTGATAAAAAAAGTAGTACCGGATGGAAGGTTAGTCTTTCTTCTTTATTCATCTGAGAAAATATCTTTTCTAATTTAGAATTCTATTCGACATAATTTATCATTACATAATTGTTTTGTACGAATTCCAAATGAAATAGCTGGAAAATCAAGTTGGTGGACAATTGATCATCGTGCAAAACAAGTTCGAGGAAGAAAAAGACTTCAATCGAATGAAAATTCAACAAAATCTTCTAAAACAACAACAAATTATTTAAATAAATCAAATTCAACTTGTTCAAATTTAACAAATAATCAACAATCAACAACATTTACTTCTGTACGAGATATTAATAAATCTTTTTATCATCATTTATCAACACAAACAATGCCTAATATTTTACATGATATGTTGAAATCATCATCTCCTTTACAAACATCAAATTATTCAAATTCAGGTAAGAAATTGATTTAATTTCTTATTTAAAATTATTTTTTCAAATAGTTGATAATATTTATTCATTAAATCCTACGAAATGTGAATTAATTGATAATGAATATTATTCATTAAATAATGTCAATGAATATGAAATGATTTCATCAAAATTAAGTAAACAATTAAAAACAATTGATCATTCAAATCCATTATTTCGTCGAATGGTTTTAACAATAATGCGTCATCAAATGAATAAATCAAAATTAAATAATAATAATAATAATAATAATAATAATGAAAGAGAAAAAATTCTTTCAACACCACCACCATCTATTATTGAAAATTCACAATGTAATTTTAATTCATCATCATCATCATCAACAACAACAACAACAACGACAACAACATTTGATTTTGATTTTGAAACCATTTATGATTTAGATAAAACAACATTTGAAGATTCACAATTTAATATTCACGATTTATCTCATTTCTAAACTTTTTCTTTTCTTTTCTTTTCTCTTCTTTTTTATCCGGTGACAATTTCGTTCTTCTTCTTCTCTCTTTATTTTATTCTTATAATACGTATATTGAATTTTGTCGAAATATTTATTCTTTTATTAATTATTTTTATTATTCATAAAACATATTTAAGAGAATCAATTTCAATTATTTAACAAATTTACAAATCAACAAATTCATTTTCAAGTCCAGAAACAAACTTTAACTCATATACAAAGGTTAAGTCTATTTACGATTTCTCTTATCAAATTATACAATCTTTCTCTTTTTTTTAATTACTTCGCATGATTAAGTCTCTCTCCATAAAATTCACTGAAACTTTCAGGCTATATTAAAGCTATAATCAAACAATGATAAGAAAGAGACCATTTTTTAATAGCTTCAATTTCTCGGTCTAGGTGCATTCAATAGGTTTAAATGGGTTTTTTTGTTTTAAAAAAACCTTTTGAGGATGTAATGCATCAAAGAGTTCATTCTTTTAAAAACTTATCTTTTTTAGTGGGAAAAAGCAATCAGAAGTTCAATGTGTCAAAAAATGAGTGTCTAACTATACAAGTGTCTACATATAAGAATAGAAATAAAACTTGTTTTTAAAACAAGAATTTTGTCATGTGTTGCACTTTTATATTTTCTTTTGAACTAAAAGAACAAAGGTTACTAGATATTATCTGATATGAATCCTTCAATTCCCTATTTGATCAAGAGTCTTTTCAAACAAATTTTAATAAGATATGTCTTGATAAAATCAATTAAATTCTATCAAGTCAAAATTGAGATAATAAAAAAGAGATCCATTTGAACAATACTTTTCGGATACACTATATGGTTCTATTAACAAGATTTAACAAGTAGAAACTCTTTTATTAGAGAAGAAAATAATTTCTCATATATTTATTTGCATTTTAATAAACAAGTTTTTTCAGCTAATTATTTAAAAAGAAACGATTTCTTTAATTAGAATTTGAAAAGAAAGAAAATGTTTATTGAATTATTTCTTTGGAAAAGTAATCATATAAATAAATATTGAATTTTTTTTTAAATTCATTCTAATAGAAATTAATATAACCAGTGCATAACTTGAATATTTACATTAGTAAAAATATACATATTTTACTTTTTATTTTTATTGAAAAATTCTTTCTATTAGATAAGATAACCAACGAATTTTGAAAATGTCTACAAAACAATGAAATATAGATGATTTCAATATTTCTAATTATTTGACTATTAGTCGATTTTTATTCTATCTAATTAATATTAAAATATGTTCATTTATATGATTAAGCTTTGTTTTTGTCAACGTTATGATCAAATATTTCAATACCTTTTCTCATCCGGTTTAAATAATTATTAATCATATAAATCTTTTACAAAGAACATGAAAATATTTATTGATGAATTTATTTCTTTTTCGAATATGATTGATAATAGAAGATAATATTTAGGAAAATGAATGAATGAAATAAATAAATAATATCAGTATGAAATCTTGTTCATCAATAAGAAAAAGAAAAAGAAAAGCAAAATAAATTTAAGTTTACAGTGATAAAGACAATTTCCAAGCACCGATCAATCGTTTCATATACATAAAATATGCTGGATTAATTTCACAATCGATAACAATAAATGATTAAAGAAAAAGAAAAAGAAAAGAGAAAAGTATTTAAGCTTTTTCATTAGGTGGAGCAGATGGATAAAGATTATTTTGTACAGCATCTTGATATGTTGGTGGTGGTGGCATTGCCATTGCCATTGGTTCTTTTTCATTTTTAATAGCACCATAATCAATTTGTCCTTGTTCAATTAAAGCTGGACTTGGTGCTAATAAATAACTTCTTGGATGTGCTAATGGTTCTTTAAATCTTTCAATATCACAAGCCCAAAGTGCACTTCCAATAACATTTGTTATTGGTGTTATTAAATTTAAAAATGGAATCATTTCTAAAAATACTCCAACAATACCAAAATTTGTATAATCAGATCGATTTTCTTCAACAAAATGTTTTCCTTGTAAAAATGTTAAACCAAGTAAATCAAAATAACGACAATGTAATGACCAAGCATAATAATATCCATTTACATAAATATAAAGAAATGTTCCAAGTATTGGAATTAAATTTAATGGTGATGTTAGAACAAGAAGAAATACACGAAATAAAATTAATATTAAAAATGATTTAATACATGAATATGTTGTTGAAATTGATCGCTGATTTTCTCCAGGATTAACACCCATTGTTTCTTGACGCCAAACAGCATCAAATATAACATCCATATAATATGCAAGAAATAATGAAGATAACACAAGAATTGTTACACCTATTTCAAATAATGTTACAAAAAAACTTATTATCCATGCTATCCATTCAGACATATATTCAGTTAATACATGAGATTGAATTGGAAATATAAATACTAATAATAATACTGATGTTATTATTGATACTAAAATCATTAATAATAAACCACAAACAAGATGTCTCCATAATGCTGGATGACGAATTAAATAAAATATTCCACGAATTGGATAACTTTGAGCTGAACGTAATGCCATTCCTTCTCTTTTTTACTTTAAACTAACAAAATAATATAGATATATATTAGTAATCAATTCAGTTTCATTTCAAAGATATTTCTTCTCTTGCTTTGTCATCTGTTACCAATTGAATATTATTATTAAAGAGGACACTGTAAATCAATATCAATTTTTTCTTTCATATTATACTTATTTCAATTCAAATTAATAATCCAAGTTCAATGAAATACCGAATGTGATAATTATTTTCTTCTATTCTTTAATTATATTATCAAGAGATTTAACTATGTCTTTTTGATTTAATAATAAATAATATGATTATTAACTTCTCTACGATCACTTATTATTATAATTTAAAAAAAATAGTTCATAATATCATACCCAGAAAGAAAATATTCAATTGAAGTTTATAGTAGAATTAAATTGATAATTTCAAAAACCATATGCTACAACTGATCTTCTCTCGGTAATTATTCATTCGGGTGTGGGTAAAGGTGTCTTATATATATCACACTGCATCATACTCAACTTTATGTGTTTATGTTCGCATAGCTCCACGTTAATTACGTGTTTAATTACTTTTTCTATCTTAATTGTATCAACTGAAAAGACTTGAAAACCATATTCTTTAAAATATATACAAAGTAGTCAAAAAATTATTTTATCAAAAAGAAAAATCTTCACTCATTAGAATTATCAATCATATTATTTCTAACCCGTTTACAAGTTGAGAATGTGTTTAGAATTAATGAAATATAAAATTCACTTTTGTATAATTGATTTCAAATAAAGAAAACATAAAATAATCGGTACAAACAAAGAAGAAGTTAACGAGAAATAAATCTTTCGAGAATATTATCAAATTTATTGAATAGATTTATATATATAAACAATTCTAAACTACAAAGAAAATATTTATTTTAAATGAAAAATCTGCTGAAATATATAAAACGGATAAAATAAAATAGTGTTTTGTTTTATGAATTAATAACAGTTTTAATTTGATGTGCTTTTCTTTTCGCATTTTGTTGTTTACGATTGATTTTCGCATCGGTTCGTTGAATTGCTCCACGAGTTTTATCTTTAACAAATCGAACATCTTGTTTACCTTTATTAACTTTTCTATTAGCTTTATGTTTAACAGCATTACGGATTTCATGTTGACCATAACAACAATAATTTAATAACAATAATATTAACAAGAAATAACATATTAAACGTGATGATAACATTTTTAATAAGAAACAATTGATAGAGTTTTTTTGTTTTAACAAAGAAAATATTTGTATTTATATACGAATAAGAAATAAAATAGATAAAAATATGAAATAAAATACTTTAATGAAAGAAAAGAAATGATTTTATCTAGTTTTGATAAATATTCTATTATTGAAATTCAATACTTTTATTTTATCATTATCAATACGAATAAATTTTTTAGTTTTATCTTAGAAATAGAAATAAATAGATTATGAGAAATATAAAATTCATATAAAGATTGAATCATAGATTCTCTAAGATCTTTATTAGAAATAAACTGAAATAATCAAGTTTCATAGTACAACAAAAGAAATTTTATGATTAGAAAATAATAGTTTATTTCAACTAAGCAAAACAAGAAGAGAAAGATAGTGAATATGAATAGATAGATATACACACATCAGTAACATTCACATATATACCATGATGACGTTATTTTTAATAGTTTTTCATAGTTTACTGTATTTTAGTACTACATTCAAAATGTTTTACAGTTGGTTCACACTGTTTTTAAAATTTTTATCTTTCATATGTAATCTAATTCTTTTCGGTGTTTATGATAGCATGTGCGCAATATATATTCAATGCTTTTTTTTCTTTCCTTTCGAACGACCGTTAGACTCTTCGTCTTCTGATCAATTCGTTATAATATATTTTGAACATATATGCCACGTAGTAAAAATAACTATATCAAACCAGAAGAGTAGATGCCAAACAGTCCTGGTGCTATACGAATAGATTTTTCAATATGGTGATATGTAAAATAACGACTGAACAAAACAGAAATAATAACTTTTGTGACATTGGAAAAAAAAGGGATGAAAATTATATTGATAATCTATTTGCTTCTCGGCCGAAAAGAGTTTTGAAGATCTATAATAACTGCAAAAAAGATTTTTGGTACTTTTTTAAGCTCACTCAATTTTTCCATATAGAGGTAGAAAAAATAGAATTGAAAATATATGGTTCGATAGAGTAGTCAATGCTATATCTTACCATATAAAAGTATAAAAGTTTGAACGTAGTACTAGAAAATAGTAAACTATAAAAAATTATTAACAATATTTTTTTTACTAATATAATAACATATCAACATGTATTCTTCTCTATAAGATTGAAGAATATTTATCTAAGATTTCTATTTGTAAGTTGTATGAGAACTTGCATTAGTTTTCGACATATCATATTACTATTTGATAAATAGAAAAATGATTCTAGTCAAGACTAAATTCTTTCCACGAATTTTTCTTGATAAACACATTATTATTACATATTTCAAATGATTTCTAATGGAAAAATTCACGTTCACAATATATATTTTTCTGAATAGTTCTACTAAGAAAATCTTGAGATACATATCTAATCAATTGAGAAATAATCTATTCATCTAAATAACTTTGAAAGAATTTATTTTTAAATAATTATTCACTTCTATCAACTCTATTGTTGAAGAAGGATCATATATATACAAAAACAAACTGAAAAAATGAAATACAACAATATCATATTGATATTATTATATCATTTATTTTATCTTCGAAAATATCTTATTTGATTATGTAAAAGAAAGAAAGAAAGAAAGTTTAATTAATAGAGTATTTGAAATATTCTAATATTACAGATATAAAATATTTTCATTAGTTTATTATTAATGATACCCCTGATTCGCTTTTAAAAAATGATCAAATAGAAGATTACCGTAACAGACTATCTGTAAAATCGTTAAAACATGAACTTTCAACCTTTATTTGTAATGGTACATTTTTCTCAAAAGGAATTTTCACAGAAAGCGCTAACTTATGTCACTTCACAATCCCCCTCTAACTCCGTGTGAAATTTCAATTCGATCTGAGTTACCGTTTTTGAGATCTCAAAATCGTGAAAAAAGAGGAGAGAGAGATACTCCTAAGAATAAATTATTTTAACTCAAGTCAAAGTAAGTTAAGAGCTTTAACAACGAATATTGATGCAAGTTTATAAATATTTGTTAAATGACTTTAAATGAAATGTCCTATAATTAGAGTTATATTGATTATTAAAAATGAAGATGTGAACTTTTGTTGATCTTTATAATAGATAATAAATCTATAAGATGTCACTATTGAATATATACATTTTATTTAGAATTATTAATAAAATAAGAAATATATTCGATAGATTTGATTTTCTTGTTTTCTAACGGACAATTTTATTTCTTCGATTATTTAATCAATATCTAACTATGTCAATTAATAGATATTTATGTATAGCACAATCTTTAAGATTATATTATGTAGAGGTTTCTCTCGTTCTCTTTCTTTTCTTATTTTCGCACCAAATGACCTTTGACTTTTGTCTGAAGAGTATAAATATATTTTCATAATCATTTATTCGTCTTATATGAATAAATAGATAGATGTATGCTAATAGTAATATTATTTTCTAGATAAAATCGTCTAAAATGAATCTTGCATCACAAATAGCTGATAAAGTAGCAGGAAAATTACCAACATCGTAAGTTATTTTGAATAAAAATCTTCTTTTGATATATATAAATAATTTTAGTACACCAAGTCAACCACAATATGATGAAAGTCGTAAACAACATGCAATAATATGGCGTGGAAAACGAAATGTTGAATATGTTGAAAAACCAATGCCGATGATATCTGATCCACGTGATATTTTATTAAAAATAAGTGCAACAACAGTTTGTGGTTCTGATTTACATTTATATAATAATACAATGCTTGATATGCATGATGGAGATATTCTTGGTCATGAATTTATGGGTACTATTGAACAAATTGGTGATCAAGTTAAAAATTTACATATTGGACAACGTGTTGTTGTTGCATTTAATATTGCTTGTGGATTTTGTGATTATTGTAAACGTGAAGAATATTCTGTTTGTGATACAACAAATCCATCAAAACTTCAAGAAAATCTGTATGGACAAAAAACAGCTGCTCTTTTTGGTTATTCACATTTAACTGGTGGTGTACCTGGTGGACAAGCTGAATATGTTCGTGTACCATTTGCTGATATGAATTGTTTACCAATACCAGATGATGTACCTGATAATAAAGCACTTTATTTATCTGATATTATTCCAACAGCATATCATGGATGTTATATTGGTAATGTTAAAAAAGATTCAACTGTTGCTATTTGGGGTCTTGGTCCAATTGGATTACTTGAAGCACGTTGGTGTCAAATAATTGGTGCTAAACGTATTATTGGTATTGATTCAGTTCCTGAAAGACTTGAAATAGCATCAAAAACATTAGGAATTGAAATAATTAATTTTAAAGAAGTTGATACAACAAAAAAATTACTTGAAATGGTTCCTGGTGGTGTTGATTGTTCATTAGAAGCGGCTGGTTTTGATTATGCTAAATCATTACTTCATAAAGTTGAACGTTTTCTTAATTTAGAAACTGATGCTGGAGATATTTTAACTGAAATGATAACATGTACACGTAAAGCTGGTACAATATCAATTATTGGAGTTTATAATAATACTGTTAATCATTTTCCTATTGGACCAATGATGGAAAAACATTTACAAATTGTTGGTGGACAATCTTATACACAAAAACATTGGAAAATGTGTTTAGAAAAAATTCGTTCAGGTGAATTTGATCCAACATTTGTTGTATCACATAATTTGACACTTAATCAAGTACCTGATTATTATAAACAATTCGATGATAAAGAAGGTGGAGCACTTAAATGTTTTGTTCGACCTGAAAATTTTACAGAAAAAAAATAAATTTTTTATATTAAAATTTTGTTATTTTAAACCAGCTTTTTCTTTTTAATTAATAAACTTCATCTGTAGTTACAAATATTATTCGTCATATAAAAACATACGTCTATTGTATTTAGAAAATATTGAATTATAAGAAAAAATGAGATTAGTCAAGTTTTTGTTCAACAAAACTGGAAATCGATCAACATGATCTATTTAATTTATATATAAATATTAGAGCTATTTCAAATTAGAATTCATTTTTTATGAATAATATACATTAGATATTTCTCTTGCTTGTTACATAGTTTTTGTAATTTGTGCTACAAGACTAGAGAATCGTTTCTAATCCAATGAATACTTTTCTCAAGTAATTGTCCTTAACAACTTCTATTGTGTAAATTACTTCCGATATAATTATTTCTCAGTCTATCTATTCGATATAACCAAAATCTCTTTTATAATCTATATATATATATCTTTCAGAGGTAAAACCGTTGTATAGATTTTTTCTTATTTGTCATTTGATTTGCTTTTACACGAAGATAAATTTCAAGATTTACTATACTAATACTAATGTATATTTATTTTTGTTTCTGACAAGTTGAAAGAAAGATGATAATATATCGTTTTAATTCTCAAATATTAACACTCTCAGTCGTATTATCTCACTATGTGACGAAAAACGGAATACAGACAAATATGTAATATAATTTCTAACAAATACACAATTTCTGTTTATGTTGAAAGAAGTAGATTGATCAGAAAAATAAAACTTTCTTTTTATAAGTTTATGAGACAATTGTAGTATTATTTTAGACAAAATATTCTTTCTTTTATATAAAACAATATTTCTCACAATAATTAAATAAGAAAAGAAAAGAAGATCTGCCTAACTCTGTTAAAAACGAATATTCTCTTTTAGAATCAATCAGTCGAATTCTACTTAAAATAGGGGTAGGACAGTTCATAGTTCCAAGTTCGGATGAACTGGTCAAAAGAACTGCCAGTTCAGTTCTTCTGAAAAGAACTGAACTGAACCAACAGTTCTTTGAATAGAACTGAACTGTTTGGTAGAGTTCAGTTCTATTCAAAGAACTGAACTGTCTGAAAACTAGTTTTTCGGAAATAAAAACAGATTTAAAACCGACCAGTTCCTCTGAAAGAACTGTTGATACAGTTCAGTTCTATTCAAAGAACTGTTAGTACAGTTCCTAAGAACGGAACTAATATGGAACTGTCCTACCCCTAAATATGTATTCATCTTATTCAACAATATACTAACTATACAAATACTATTAATTCTTCGAATCCTCTTTCGGCAAAGATGAGTCGATTCTTAATGAATACAACTATTAGCAAACTTATGGCCGATCTATTTGTCGAAGAATGGACAAGAAAAATGAATTATTCATCCTATTTTGAATAATGTTCACCGTTATTATGCTCATATACTTATATTCAACAATTTAATTTACTCTATACAGTGACTCTTATACTTGGTCTTGAAAATGGTTTGACAATCGTTCTTCAATGGATCTATCCTACAATAGTACTAATTATAGTCAAAATTTATCAATATCGTAAGAAGCGAAAAAGCATTGTTCAACAGGTTTTTTCTATTGATGGAACATCTATTAAGAACCATAATATAAACGATCAAAATTCTGCTCATAATTTAGAAACAATATCAAAAGCTGAACCATCTGAGTATGTCTCTTTCATTTTTATTCAAATTCATAATAAAATTTGGTTTTTGTTCATTAGAACAAACAACTGCTCATCATTTCAATGTTCTTTGAAAATTGTTCTCATCTTTATATTATTGTTGTTAACGATAATAGTTCTTACTATATTTTCAATTTATATTCCTAGGTAAAGTAACAATTAACTTTTTATTAGAGCTAGGAGGTAAGTATTCAATAAAATCTTTTTTATCGACATATACACAAACATCGATGACATAAATTTGCCCATTTTTTTCTCATGAACCATTCATATGACTTTGATGAATAATTATTTCAAGATAATTAATTGGATATATTATGTTTTTTAGGTTGAATGTGAAAATAAATGAAACAAACGATGCTTGATAGATTTTGTTATGCATCAACTGCAATTCAATATCGCTAAAGAGACATCCATCACACTATAGACAATTTTGTTTTTTCATTATTTTTAAATCAACCGCATATTTATGTAATCCGAGTGAAGCTAAACTTGAGGCTTTTTGAAACTATAATAAAAACTGACATTATATTGACATAGTTAATATTATCTCTTGTTTATATAATATTCAAAAAAATATAATTTTTGAAGGATAGAAATCGAATATGAAATTCATAATTACGTGTTTTATTCTATTTAGAACGAGAAGAAAAAGAAGCAAAAATTATTTTCTAAAATCAACTAAAAGATCTTCTTACTATATGTTGAAACATCGATTTTATCGGGCATTTTATTAATATGTAATTCGAAGCAATATTGAACTTTATTTAGAATTGTCGCATGATTTTTATTTGAAATTCGACCAGTACGAGTCACCTAACACAATCAATGATTTATCTGACTGCAGTGATTCAATACTTTATTGATATCGTTATGTAGTCAATATCTGATTTATAACTCATTATTAAAAATGACTTTTGTAGAGATTTGACAATAAAGACATAATTCATAATAGAATACATTTAATACACTCTGAGTTCTCAAGAAAGAAGTCTATAATGTTTATTTCGAATGATTAAATTTCAATTAAACTTTAGCTTTTGATTATGATCGATTGATAGTTGATGTACCATCTCCAAAGATTTCTTTATCAACTCTATTACAATTGCAAGTCGGCGTAGAGATTTATAAAGATTGTTTCTATTTAATTCAGTTATTCGTTTTAATAAGGAAATTATTTCATTGATAATATAACAAAGAATTTTCGTATATGAATTATTTGAATCTGTTCATAAGTTGTCATTCATTGGCAATTAACAATGGTTAATTATTGAATAGTCTCATCTTTCTCAACTTGATCTTCTTTAAACTCATGAAAATTACTTGGAAGAATTTTTTGAATAATACGAAATTTTCTTTATTATGTAAGACTTTAACAAAAGTAATACAACACAAGTAAATTGTTTTATAATCAGATATTTAATTTTCCACATGTTATTTGATATTTTATTGGAAAGAGACAAGATATGAGTTACATTTGGAAGGAATAAGTTACTTTCCAAGAGAGACATATATTTATCTAGAATTACGATTGTAAATTTCATTAAATCTTATCGTACGATGTTATATGAATTAAATAAAAAATCTTACTAGTATTAGTTTGAAAATCTATTTAAATATTCATGAAATCTGAAATGAAAGGATTCGTTTTAGAAAAAGGAATTCACCTATGTTCATCTGTTTGTATGTTTCTAGCATATAGAGTTGAGAGTACGATGTTCTCTAGATTATGAAAGTAAATTGTAGAAACAAAATCTAATCCATACTTGTTGTTTACTATACTGCAATTCGATTTCTTTTTTCTCTAAAACGTCTATTTCAATTATATTCTACTGAAGAATATAAGAAAATATTCAAAAATCTTTCAATTCTATCTTATTCGTATCTATAACAGCATTTGATTTAATAAATAATATTCAATAGTCATTATCCGAATACATTGACTTTTAGAACATTTTACTCACCTTTCATATATATATGTAATAAAAATAGCTTTTTTTAAAGTAATTTTACTACCGCAGACGCTTCAAAATATAGAAGATAATTTTATTGAAGAACCAAGTATTTTTTTTTTTGTATACAAAAATAACGAGCATTTTAAGGATCTTTTACCACTTTTTGAATTGTTTTTAGAACTCTTTTTACTTTGAAACAATGATTTCTCAGTTTTTTCTATGAAAAAATAAATCATTAGAAGATTTAGATAAGTTTGCGCTTGGCATACAATTTATACGTTACTGTGTCTAAAATAATATTATTTAGAGACCTGCAGTTAAACCTCATAATGGCAATCGATTAAATACTTTGATTTACCGAAAAAAGAGTTCAGCCACTCGCTCTAACTTTGCCGAGAGAAGAGCTCAACTACCGAGGTCGATATAACCAAACTTTTGAGGAGAAAACAGACATACCTATATTTATTCATTGTTCTATCGAGAATTGTTCCTTTTCCAAAAATTCGTAATGATAGACTAGTCAAATGGTGATAGTTGTTGAATCTCTCTTTCTCTTTCTCTCTCTCTCTGTGTAACATATATTACTATTTTATATAACTTCACTTTCTATTGTATTTTATCTTGTTTGAAGATCTTTTGTACTCAATATTTATGATAAGAAAAGATTTTTTTTCTATTAAACAATTCTTTTTAATTAATAATATACGATATTTTTAATTGATAAAAAGAACATGAGTATCAAGGAGAGAAAATCTAGAAGAAGAAGATGAATATATATGTGAGAAAATCTATTACATTCAGAAGGTTGTATAATCATATATTTCATCAAACGAATATTTAGCCGAGTTCAAAGTCATGCCTCATCAATTCTCGTTTCGTCTTCTCGCTCTTCTATAGTAAAAATAATATAATTGCAAAAATCTTTGTCTACTGATGTAATAAAATCTTCGCTACTCATCTATACAACCGACATAGTTCATCGAGCGAACATCTTAGTCGGTTGAAGTTATGGTTGACCGCGTTTCTCTCTTTTTTCTCGCTCTATTCTTTTCGATAAGAGAAAAAAGAGCAGAAAATCTAACACATAAATAGATCGTTGAATTTCTATTATTCATTTATTTTACTTATTTCAATATTCAAGTCAAACAGAAACATGTGGTCAAACGGTTATAATCCATACGGAAACTTTCAACAACAACAAGATGCACAACCACAGAATTGGTTCACTCAACAAACTGCTGGTGCAATGACTAGTAAGTTATTTAAATTATTATTAATTATCTTCTATAATATACAATTCTACTCATTATAAATCAATTCAATTTTTTCACGTTTTATTTTGTAAACGGCAAACAGAATCTATCTATGGAAAAGATAATTTGTCTAAAAAGAATATCTCAATCTCTCCATAGGACGAATAAATATTACAGTTTTCACACATTTAAAATCTTATTGAAAAATAGTTCGACGAATATTAAATAGAAGATGAGAAACTCGATTTTATTTCTTATTGTTTCTTTTCTTTTAGATCCATTTGGTATGAACTACATGAGTGGTGCGACGAATCCATTCGCTGGTCAAATGTATGGACAATCATATCAACCATATAACAACTTAGGAGGTTTTCAATATAGAGGATGGTAATCTTATTTGTTCAAAACAATCAACACCATTCATATGAACTTACATTTTTTTTCTCTTCTCTTCTTTATTATAATTTTCATCTTCATAAACAAAATATTACAGTCGACTGTAATATTCTAATAAATCATCATCATCAGTACTTTGCTTTTGTTTTATATTATTTCTCATCGGAACAATACATTGTTCGTCAACAGAGAAAGTTGAAGAAAGATATCGTTGGATATGTCGATAATATTATGCAAAATATTTCTTGAATCTTTTGTTGTTGATATCAATCAGACGATATTTAATCATTTTTCAATTCTAAGTATGTTTGTTATTGTCGAAAAGTTCAATGGGTTTTCGTAAGAGCAAAATATCGGTAGACAAGATAACAAAAGTCAGTCTGACCTTAATGCATTGAAATTTCAAAAATAAGGTGTACTTGATCATATCATTCATGAGTAAGTCAACTGAATCCTTTTAGCGTAATTGATGTGTCATAGAACTAATGCTTTCTTACTCGATACTTATTGCTATTATCAACATATTCGTCTTACATTCATGTCTAGGCTATTTTCATGTTGATACAAGTCAAAAACTTACTAATTGAGTTAAGAAGGATATTTTCACAATAAAAAACTATCAAAGAAGCAAACGAATGAATCAATAAAAGATAAATATATATTTATAATAATAATGATCAACATATTTTTAAAAAAATTTCTTATGGAAGAAAAATCGACAAAAGAGTTCAAAATAGATGTTCTTATATTGAAATTTATTACGTTTTATTTGTTGATTATTAAAAAAAGAAAAGTGACTAAAATCTATTTACATGAACGTTGTTTAGATAGAACTGATCTAATCAGTATTCAATATCTTGTATTGCTCTAGAAAAAGATTATCTTTTGTAAATAAATTGTAATTAACAATATTATTCATCATTTAGTAGTACAATCATTATGTTATAATAAACAATAAATGAAATTCTTGGAAAGAATATAGATTAATAGGAATTATGTGTCACTTATTGATTTTTCTTTTCAATTCCTATCTGAATGTACGATATATATTGAAAATATAACAACGTAAAATTAATCGTTCTTTTAATCTTTTGTTGTATATTGTATTATCTCTCTTTTTTTTGTTTCTGTTCATGAAGTCAGTTATACAACAATGTATGATTATTCATCGATTGTACTAATCATACGCTATATACATATATGGGATGAGAGTTTAAGAAATGTGAAACCTCTATAAAAATGAACACTTTTTGAACAATTCCGTTGGTATTCATTATATAAAGGTTTCTTTGTATATTATGATCAACAATACTAGAAAATATACGATCAATTAATATAGTCGACATTCTATAACAAATAGATGGATCAAAAATAACCCTAAGAGACAAAATTCAATTGACAATCTTATTGTCAAAAGATACATACACACTGATAATTGTAATTGATTTCAATTGTTTGTTGCTTCAAATACGTTTGATACTACTTCGAGATTAACAAAACGATTTTATTTCAATCATCAATCATATAGATGAAAAATGGTATTAGAAATAAGACTAAGAAATATATGATTGATACTTGTATAACATCAGTTCAAATAACTGTTTTTCATGTCTTCCTGATATTTTATAGAAAAGAAAAGTTAAATATATTATTACTGAAAAGTCATTCAAACTATTCTGCATAATCTAACTGCAACTGAAATATTTAATTCCACATGTAATTCAAAGCTAAATTTGATTCATAAAAAATGACAGACATAAAGAGAATCTTAAAAGCGATTTTTCTGTTATTTTCAAAAAGAGGATAGACAACCAAATTTCTGTAATTACATTAACTAAAATAAAGTAGCATGTTACTAATTGTTAATGAAAAATCTTGTTCAAGATACTATTAGTGGAAATTATTTTGACAATCAAAATAATACTTTGCTACATATGGTATAAATACTGATAATTTGAGGGTGGACGTGCGTGTGAATGTAGAATATATAAAAATATCACCCACACTCATACCTACCCGTACCAACACCTACACCCAGATGTTTCTTTCGATACCTAACTTCAAGTTTGATTAAGTGAAAAGCAAGTCTCTCACTCTTCCAACAAAAAGAGTTACGTGAAAAACAATGATTGAAAACATTATAAGAGATTCAGTTGTCAAACATTTATTCGTGAATAGAAGAACAGCAAAGTGAAAAAATTGATTTAGTTTTTTACTCATTGAGAAGGACGTTCCAGTGAACCACGATGGATGATGTGAATTGTATCTCCCTCTTTGATATTGTAGTCACTCACTTTAGTCCAACCACCAAGCTGATGACCCATATGAATTAATCTTTGGTGCCAAGGATCTATTCCAGTTTTTTCCTCAATCTTGATCTTGACACTATCAAAACTTTCCGACTGTTCGATCTCAATGCTGATCACATTATGATCTAGGTTCTCGAGAAAGACTCGCATTTCGCCAAGAAATAAAAGAAAAAATTGACAGCATCATTCTTTTATATACTTGTGTTGACTGATGATTCACTAAAGTAATCTTGTGACAACAAATCTCCGTCTCATTTGACGCGAGATACGACAAGAAAAAATTCCAACATCGAATAAACCACTTCACGTGTTTTGGTATCTACCAACTTTCATGTTTGTCAAAGGTGAAACAAACGATAAGAGGTCTCTCTATCCACCTAAATGGGTGTGTGGTGTGTGAGTGTGTGTGTGCGCGTGCGTGGATGTGGGTGTGGGTATGTATGTAAGGGCATGAGTTCGAGATTTAAAACGATTGTAACCGACACCCTTTCCCTTTTTTTCGTTTTCATATAAAAAAAACTAATGAAGTTATGTAAGCAAGTATCTATTTCAAGACAAATAACGTTATTAAGGGTAGAGTTTTTAACTCAAATTCGATGCAGAATGAGGAAGAGAACGCAGGCAAAAAGCTGCGCAACACTGACATAATTAAGTAATTGGATATAACTTTGAATAATTATACGTTGGAATAAATATTGACGAAGTGATGAATTATGGGAGTCTCTTATAACTAAGGTAGAAAAATGGTGGATTTTATTCTGTAAATACGAAAGAAATATGAAACAATCTGTCAGTTGCGCTTTTGGTCTGTTGAATGTTGTATTCTTTGAAATCACATCAGAATGTCTAATAACGATCTTCAGAATTTACCAATAGAGATGATATATATGGTTTTCGATTATTTATCGGCTCATCATATTCTACAGGCATTTTTGAACATGAATTCTCGTTTTGATAGAATGTTATCCGCTTATCAAGGCTATCAACTTAGTTTAAAATCAATTTCAAGAGCTCAATTTGATCTTATTTGCACTCATATCAAGCCAGATCAAGTCATATCATTAATATTATCGGATTCTGATGATACACCCGGTCAATCAGAATTGTTTTTTTCACGTTTTCAAATCACCGATTTTACGCGAACTCGAATGCTCAAACTGATCAATATCGGATCTGCATCATTGGAAGATATCTGTCGATGTTTTAAAGAATTCGCGAAATATCATCGAATTTCTATTGAATCATATAATGCACGTCGATTATCTCAGGATGTATTACTTAGTGTTGCTACTCAAATTAAAATTGGTGCACCAGAAAGATTGATTTCATGCGCTGAAATTACTTCTCGTTCTTTTGCTTTTCCAGTTTGTCTAATTATTCTTCGCTGCTTAACTATATCACAAAGTTCGATGGATGATCTTAAATCAATTTGTAAATTGGCACTAAGACTTACGTCTCTCAAAGTTGAGAATCTCATTCTCAACGCAAATGAAGAATTCTTATTATTAGCACAAAAACTAAGACGATTAGTCCTGTATTGTAAAAGTAAGTATTAGATTATATTTTAATAAGGGGATATCGCAGGAAAAAATACGAATAATTACATTTAGATGTGCCTGTTTCAATGAATCAAATGGAACAACTTCTATTGAATTTACCACAACTAAAATATTTTGAAATATCAGCTAAAGGTTCCTTTGATCTTACGAATGGTTATTTATGGGAGAGTTTAACTTATAAACTGGTTACATTTAATTTCAATTTTTGGTTAAAAATTGCTGGAATCGAGGAAATTCTTAACTCATTTCGCACATCATTCTGGATTGAGAGGAAAAAATGGTTTGTCGTTGCTACACGGAAACGTCTTTTCTCTATTCCACATTTTTCCAAAAAGATTGCTGATACTTATTTTCAATTGCCATTGCATACAACCATACCTCATGGTGATGAAACATTACTATTTGATAAAGTGACTTATTTCATTTTAAATAATTCATTGATCTCTCATCAGAACTATTTTCGTTATATAAAAACATTAGAAATTAAAAATACTAATTCGTTTGAAAATTTATCGACATTGATTGATTTAAATCATGTCGAAAATTTTATTCTATCATCATCGATGAATCATTCAACAATTGCAACGTTGATGAAGTCAATGCCTTCCTTACAGCAATTCTCAATTAACACTGAACTTCAAAAGTTTTTTGATCAAACAAAAAATCTCTGTTTTGAACAAATTCGAATACTTGAAATCAATCAACCAATAATAGATGGCAATTTCTATGTGATCGAACAATTAGTTCGACTATTCCCGAATATTGAAATTTTACGTGTTAACTCGATTCGATGGAGATTAGGTATCGCACGTTTGCTTGATAAATTTGAAAATTTATGGAGTGCATCATTTCGACTTGAAAAATCATCAACACCAGAGACTGATATCGATGTGTTGAGTTTCATTCGTAATGATTTCGATGTGTTGAATTTCATTCGTAATGAAATTGATTATGAAAAATATGAAGCATTTCATAATCGCTGTCGGCCAAAATCAACTACAGGTCAAAACCAAGGAAAATATTATGATTTCTGGATTAAGAAACGGGTCAGTTTTTCCTTGTATTATTCCAATTGATGTCTTTTCTCATTATCTAGAAAATCGAATCTTTCTCAAATCATTGTCGACTGCGGCAACGAGAATACAACTACTATCGTCTCGACAATTACATGGAAAATAGCATCTTTTTTCAAATACTATTTTTTACTCTATTCTATTTAGAAATGTATTTTTCACTGGTTTATAACATATATGGCTCGACAAGCCAATGGTATAGTGTACTTATGCAAGTACTATTTGTATCTGTAGTCTATATTATACTAATATTTTGGAAAGATCCATTGATTTCAAAATTAATAAAATTTTGTCTATTTTTCTTAAATACCATGGTTAATTATATGATGTATGGAAATTGGAATTCATCCTTTTGTTATAACGTATATCGTTTCTTATGCAATCCGTTAAGATTCAATTTTGACGAAGATAATATCTATCTTTTTCAAAATTTCGGCCTGTTTGCTGCCATGTGGCTAAATTATTTTCTAAGCAAACTTTTGTATTTCGATGAATATATGTCAAAAAGGTTGAAAAAAGCGCTAACGGTAAATCATTGTTGCTTCCTAATGATGAACATTTATTTTGGTCTGAAACGTTTACTTTATGGGTAATTGCTTTGGAGATTCGATCTTTTATTCTGGAATTTTCCATGACCTTTGTGTCAAATGTTGAATCCAACTATTTTATGTAAAATTTTATTAATATTTTTTATATAAAATAAAAATTATTGAAAAACGTCAGAAAGTCTTTTGCGAGATATAAATTGTCAGTAGTTAGTTATATTGTCAATAATTTATACATCATATCATACATTCGACGGGCGCGGATGTGTTGTTGACAAGAAGATAATAAGAACAACACAGATGTGTCAGTGTCGAAAGTGTTAGTTGTTTTAAACGAACTATGTAAGTGAGTGTAGTTGTAATAAGAAAATTGTTATGTTTTCGACTGATTTCACTTTATTGAAAAATAAAGATCATCAGGAAATAACAATATATATAAATTTTAGTCAAGCTAAACAGTAGAAAAAAGGTCATGCCTTATATTATATTAACCGTTGTCATCAGATAATCTTCTTTTAAAACTAACATAGTATATTGATTATTAAAAAAAAACTTCGACTCAACATGAAATTTCCAAATATACACCATCAACTTGTTTTCTGTTATTGATTTTGGCAAAATATTTCAAAAATATTACACGGATATTTTTATATACAGAAACAACTTTACAAAATAGATCGACAAATGAAAGAAGCTAAATAGAAGTATTATAATCAATACCCAAATGGGTGTGAATGTGGGTATAGTTAAAGACACAATAACAATATTCACGCCCATACCCATTCTTGATCTGACTTTCTTTGAAAGAGAAAAATGTCAGAATCGATTCTTATACGAGTAATACTTTTATATTTATTTACATAAATTAACAATATGATTTTAACTTTCCAACATTAATTCAAAATGATAGATGTGAGTAATTACATAATTTCCTACTCATACTCACCCGATCATCAGGTTCCGATTTCTCGATAAAAAAAAAGTTTTGATCAATATTTTTTGATCTTTTGTTTTTTTCATTCTAACTCAAACATACACACAAATGTTTTTTTCCATATAATTCTCTCTACAGTCGATGGAATCATTTTTCATTCAAATGTTAACCTTTCTTTATAATATTCAATATAATGTAGTTAAGCATGTTCTTTTTTGCCTACGACAATAGTCAAAAGATAATTCCATGAAGCTATTTTTGAAAGCATTTTTCTGTATAAGTTATTTATTTCGCCAGTTTTCTGCCAAGAATTACTATAAATATGAATGAACTGTATTACTAAAGACAATCGTGATAGTACTGTCACTAATTCCTTCAGCAAGATAAAATTTTATATATCAATAATTTTGACTGTTCATTTGAACGTGAAGGTAGTTGTAGCGACGAATGTTTGTTTGTTATTTATTGTTGTTGTTTGTGAATTTCTATTATTATTATTAATATTTGAATTATTTATCGTTCATCTTTGTCTATTATAATTTATTTATTGAAATTTTCTATCTTCATTCTGATATTTATCATCATGAAATTATTTTATTTCAAATCCTTCACAGACAAGGTCTTTCTACATTGTAAATCAATCTTTTTATTAGAGATTATATCATTTTTTATGTCTTAATATAATAAATAAATCGTCAAGTAGTTCAATACGTATACAGTTCGTATATGTAGTCGAAGTGCCATACAGAAAATACGTCTTTTCATTATTGTGCTAAGGAAAGAAGTAAGATGAACTTTATTATATATAGTTAAGAAGCTAAAACTATAGAAAATATACGTATGAATACAAGCGTTTACATTTGTGCACGTGTATATACTCCGTTGGAGATAATTGCTTCTCACATGTATTTTTCTTTATCTACCTATGTAGTATAATTACAGGTAGCATTTTTTTATGACTGTCAATATAAACACCATTTATGCATGCATGATTTACAATATACGTTGTTGATTTTACCAATATGACACAGACACTATTTGGGCATAATCATCACTGTATTATGAGAAAAAAAATAAAATACGCCCTTATTTTTTTTCATAATTCACTTTTATATATTTTTACATAACTGCTGACTTCACACATCTATTAATTTTCCATTTCAATCGTCTTTCAATATTCTCTAACGGTAAATATTATAAAAAAAAGTAATAATTACCATGTAAAAAAAAAACATTTAAATGCCTGCCTCATTCAGCTGATATTCTAAATAATATCTAAAAAATGATCAAATAATGTTTTGTTACATTTTATTATTTTTAATTTTCTATGTAATCATTTTTCTACAAAGTAAGAAAAATAAGAATATTTTTTGTGTTACTCTGTTATAACAAATCTTCAAGTTCAATTAGATGATTTTAAGATATAACATTCTCACATAGATAGATTTTTTTTTCTTCATATTTCTATCTTGAAAGACAATAATAATATTTGAAATCTATAGATATTCATCATAAGAAATATAAACGATTATCCACAGTAGCAAATAATGGAAACTAACAATCTTCCTATATCTACAATAGAAACAGAAATTTCACTCAATGATGAACATGAACAAATAAATTATGGTCAACATGAAGTTAGTAGAAATGTTTACATACAAACTAATTTAACTGCAAAAAGACTCGATGATGAATTGGAAAATTATCGAGAGCACATACAGACTATAGATATTGGCACACAAACAGCATCGACAGATATTGTCGTGGATAATAATGTAACGAATGAACGTCAACAGGCAAGAAATCAACGAGGTAATGCCAGGAATAATTCAGCAAATCAGCCAAATGGAACCAATGAAAATGTGAATCAAGAAGTAACACGTGGTGGAAGACAAACAGGAAGATCAGAAGCAAATTCTAATATTGACAGAAATAGATCTAATCAACGAAATAGACAAAATACAAAAAAAATTAATAAAGAAAATCTTAAAAGTGATGGAAAAGATCCAAGTCCTATTCTAGGATATGCAGAAGAACCTCTATTACCACTTGCACAAGCATGTGCTCCATTGAATGATATCTTTCATAATTTATCATTCTATGTTGATGTAGCATTAAAAGAAACTCCTGAACAACCACCCGATGGATTAACAGTTAATGAAAGTGCTGCAATTCGTCTTTATACAATTGAATGGGATAAACCTCATCGAAGTCTCTATTCAACACTCAACTATAACCTGAAAAATAATGATCGTCCAGCACTTTTACCTTTTTTCAAGTATCTCAAATTGTTCTTAACTGCTCTTGTTAAATTACCATGTGTTCCACCATTAACTGTTTGGCGTGGAGTAACTATGAATTTAAGTGAAGAATTTCCACCTGGTAGTGCTATGACGTGGTGGGCATTTTCATCATGTACTACTGAAATGACTGTACTTGAAAATAATATGTATTTGGGACAAGAAGGTGATCGAACACTATTTTCTGTTGAAGCTATTAATGGTCGAACTATAAAAGCACATTCACATTTCGTTACTGAAGATGAAATTGCTCTTATGTCAGGTACTCATATGATTGTTCAATCACAACTTAGTCCAGCGCCTAATTTATATATTATTCATTTGAAACAAGTAGAACCAGAAATGATGACACTTGAACCACCATTTGAAGGTATTTCAATCATTTGTTATATAATATATATTAATATTTTTTTTAATATTTAGGCGCACATATTTATCCTAAAATTTCGTAAGTTTCATCTAATTATTTTATTTGATAAAATTATTTCTTTTATTCATATAAGACGTCCATTTTATCGAAAGAAAAGAGTTATGATTCCAACCTGTTTATCGATTATTCTTCTTATTGCAGCTGTTATTATTGGTGTTATTTTGGGAATAAAATCAAAACCAACAAGTATGAAAATTTAATATTCTTTTTCTATTTTAAGAGAACTTATAATATTTTATTGCATAGATATTCATAAGTAATAAATAGATTCTCATCTAGTTAGATTGTAGATATCTTAATTAATTTATTCTATATTTTAATAATAATTTTTTTTATTATTCTCTATCAATTGAATGACTTATTGCATATTTAATATCTTTAAGTGTGTTAATATCAATAGACTTCTTATTTTTCTCATCTAAGAGAAAATTATAAATAAGTTTATGTATTCATTATTGTTTTGTTTTAGAATATGTATGCGATAATCCATTTGAACTAACCGATGCTACCGATACTGGAAACTTTCCATCTTGTGCTGTACTGGGGTATTTCGATAATGATACATACATCGATGTGGCAATAGCAAACTCAAACGACGATACTGTGTCTGTACTACTAGGTGTTAAGGAGCAAATTTTTCGAAGTACAAGACCTGCTACTGGTGGAGGACCAACTAGTCTGATATCCGTTGACTTGAATAATGATCAGAAAATAGATCTAGTAGTGACCAACAACGATGACGATACAATCAGTGTTCTATTTGGTTTGGGAAATGGACTTTTTCTGGATGCAGTCGATTATGATGTTGGTCAAGGTCCAACCTTTGCTGCATATGGTGATTTTAATAATGATGGTGGAATGGATTTAGCAATAACGAACCAAGATGATGTTACCGTTAGTATACTATTAAATAATGGATTTGGTCTATTTCCAAATAGTACCTACTTTTCAATTAGTTACGTCGCGTCTGTTATAATCGCTGGTGATTTCAATGGTGATAAAATCATGGATTTAGCAGTGTCATTTACTTTAAATCCCTCTGTTAATGTATTTTTTGGTATTGGAAATGGGAATTTTAGTCTTGCACCTAATTATAGTACTGGTTACTATCCAATTTCTATGATATCAACTGATATAAATAATGACAAAAACCTAGATTTAGTAGTATCCAACAGTGATGATGGTAGTGTCACTATATTGCTTAACAATGGAGATGGAAGTTTTACAACATCCACTCTTAATTCGGTTGGCATTGAGTTAGGTTTTTTGATAACAGCTGATTTCAACAGTGACAATAATGCAGACTTAGCAGTATTAGATACTTATGCATATACTGTCAATGTATTACTTGGGTATGGAACTGGAAGTTTTCTGTATAATATCTCGTATTCACTTACTTTCGATCCATTGTATATGGCAGCTGTTGATTTCAACAATGATAATAAACTAGATTTAGCAATAATAAGTAATGATGACTACAGTACTACTATATTACTTGGTCTTGGAAATGGTAATTTTGATAGTGATCCCAAGGATGTAGATACTGAATCTGCTTTGTGGCTACTATCATATGATTTTAATAGTGATCATAATCAAGATCTTGCATTGATTGCTCAAGAAGATGACAATATTATTGTGATACTAGGTGATGGAAATACAACTTTTCTAACTCCATTAAGCAATACAGTTGCTGGTTTTCCATATCAAGTCATATCATCTGATTTCAATAATGATACTAAACAAGATGTGGTAGTAATCAATCAAGATGACGGCGTACTTCAGGTGCTCTTTGGGCATGGAGATGGATTTTTTAATACTCCAGTCACCTACAAAGTTGGCAAATTACCGTCTTGTGTAGTTGCAATAGATTTCAATTCTGATAATATACTCGATTTGGCTGTGTCAACTATTCAGGATGCTACTGTCGTTGTATTGTTTGGTACAACAAATGGAACCTTTGTAATTCAACAAACATATAAGTTTAACGGATCTCCGACTTGTGTAACATCTGCTGACCTAGATAGTAATGGAAGTCCAGATTTAATAGTGACAAATACAAGAAACAATACAGCTAGTATATTTTTTAATAATGGAAGTGGCACTTTCATCTATTCAAAAGACTACAAAGTTGGTAGAACACCAAATTTTCTAGCAATAGGTGATTTTAATAATGACAACAATACTGATTTGGTAATTGCTAACTCTGGTTCGAATAATGTCAGTATATTAATCAATAATGGCAATGGAAGTTTTAGTAATGCAACAAATTATGCAGTTGGAAAAGGTCCAATTTATGTATCAGTTGGTGATTTTAATAATGATACAAATATAGATTTAGTAGTAGTCAATGGTGATAGTGATACTATCAGCGTCTTACTCGGTATTGGAAATGGAAAATTTCAAGCTCAACGTACCTATAAAACAGGTGTTAACCCGACTTCAGTGGTCATAGGTGATCTCAATAAGGATAATAAACCGGATTTAGTTGTAACAAACTCTAAATCTGATGATTTATCTCTTTATGTGAATATTTGCGAAGGCTGATGGTATAGTTTTCAATTTATTCATATTCATTAGAGAATTGTTTTTTTAATTTGTGTTTATATTTTTCTTTTTCGAATGTTAAATAAAATACTATATTTTTGATTTAATCTTGTTTATGAAATTTAAGATGAAGAAAATATTCTTTTAAGATATCATAAAATAATAATTATCGAAGCAATATTTTATATTTTAATAATGATGATGCATAAAATGATTTTGAATATTGCTCTTATGATAAATTATATATTTGTCATACCAATGATTCTAATATTCATTCTCATTTATAAAATACTCTTATAAAAAAATTGAACACAGATCTAATTATTACTTTTCTTATACAGATATTTATTGAACTACTCCCGTCATGTCCATACAAATACGAATAAATCTCTACTTATACAAGAATATGATAAAGCAAAAAAGAAAGTCAAGAGCTACGAATATATATTCTTACAATCACAAGATTTACGTATTAGAAGTATACATTATTTTTTTTTTGTTTCTTTCTTCTACATAGATACTTTTTACACATCATCACTTACTATTGACAGTCGTCACACATCGATTTTTTTATATTCCTCTTACTGTTAGCTACGTCATGAAAACATTTAGTGTATCCACGCGTGGTAGTTTCTTTTATGAAAAAAAGAAAAAAAACTAATATTTTTACACTTAAATCAGATAGTTAAGTCCTAATAACTAAAGCTAAGTTTCATACAAAGTTAGTTCTGCTCAAAATTTTATTAGTTTAATACTATAGTTAGATAGTAATGCAATAGTTTAGAATAATAGAACTTCACTTTGTTTATGCACACGTAAGTATATGAATTAAATAATTTTGAATTTTTATTTCAATGAAATGATTTTCATACATAATAAAAAGAACGAAAGAAAAAAAACTAATAAACAAAATGAAAATGAAAATTTTGTCGATTTTTTTTTCATTAAAATTCTATTAAACATCAAACGAAATAAATTGTTTTTGAAATAAATCTTATCACAGACGTTCGCTAAGAATATTATTATAATCTCTATCAAATTGATTTTGTCTCATTGATGATTGATAAGAAGTAGATGAAAAACGAACACCTGAATTTTGAAATAAATTTTCTTCATCTGATGCACGTCGTTTTCTCCAATATAATAATCCACCTATGATACCAATTAATATTATTACACTAGCAATTGGAACTGCTATTAATAAAGCTAAATTTGTTGATGATGAACAACGAGATTCAATATCATTACGACTATATTCACCTAAATACAACAATATCATCTTTTATGTCATGTTTTTCTCTATAATAATATTATTAAGAAAATAAATGTGATATTATTTTATTTTAAAACTCATCATAAATCTATTCTTTTAATTTTTCAAAATACTTGTTTAGTAAAATTTATGTTACCTTGATGACATTCTGTTCCAATACAATTACAAACACCTGAAAATCGATTACATGAAGGACATGAACATTGATAAGAACAATCAGGACCATAAAGATTAGATGGACAAGCTTTAATTTAAATAATAATTTTAGATAAATAAGAAAAGAAAAGAAAAGAAAAGAAAAAAAAGATTCTTACTTAAATTACAATGTGTTCCATACCAACCCGAATAACAAGAACATCCATATGGATCAGGTAAACAAATTAATAAACCTTTACAATAATCATCATCACCATAACAATGAAAATCACAATTTTGTCCATAATAACCAGCTGGACAACTATTTTCACATTGATTTCCATAAAATCCCGGTGCACAAATACATTGATTTATATATGGATGATAAATACCTTGATAATGACATCGACTTCCAGCTATTTTAAATAAAATTTTGTTTTATTTACTTTCGTTTTATTTTATTTTTAAACTTACAATCATAATAATCAATAAATCTTGTATGATGAGAAGATATTCTTCTACCATCATAACCAATTGAAATTAAACTATTAAAATTTTTTTTAAAAGAAATTCCTGAAATTGTTATATTATTTGTAGATGAATAAACACAATTTAATCGAAGTGTATCATTTAATGTTGATAACATATCCATATTCAGATATTCATAACATACAGAACGAAGATCTTTATCTGTTTGATTAAAATTTAATATTAATGAGTCAGTATAATTTCTCCGAAGATTAACACTATAGTCCATTGGTAATTCTGGTCGAATAAAATCACCTAAATAAAAGATTTTTTTTTGTAAGTATTCTATTTTTATTAAAATTTACCATAACGTGGAAATGATTGTGTATAAACAATTGAAGCTAAACTAGTTTTTGGAAAACAACCATAAAAAGCAAATCTTAAATCATCTGATTGATTTGGAAGTGTTAGATTTAAACATTTTGTTGTACATTGATTTGAATGACATGATGGAGATTGTTTTATTAATGTTTTTATCGAATCTTTTCGACAAAATCGAAGATTATTTAAAGTTGTATATGGATTAATATCATATAGTAAATAATAAGATTCATCATTTGCTTTTGATAAATGAAAACCAGTTCTATCTGCATCTCCTCGAAAAGGTGCAAACATTAAATAATTCAATGAACTATTATACTATTTAACAAATAGAAATAGATTATTTATTAAAAATAAATTAAATAGAATTACTGAAATATTTCTTGGCATCCAATATGCATTATTAACTTGTTTTGTTTGAGATATTAAACCCGTATAAACATAATTTTCACTAAAATTTGGATCTTTTAACATTATTTCTAAAATTAAATTTTATTTCTCTTTTTGTTTTTTAAAATATTTCTAATGATTATCTTTTTATCTGATACACTTGTTTTTTGTGCGAAAAAATAGGAAATTGTTTTATTTGCCAATGACAAATAAAACTCTATTTACTTTTTCTTATTTGAGTAGAATGAAATATTACCTTGAACAATTTGCCATTCATAAGCATTATTAGCATAAATAGGATAACCACCTAATTCTGAACAAAAATTAATAACACCTGTTAAATTTCCTGATTGAGTATCTAGTTCAAGACGATAAATAAAATCGTTTTGTTCATTCATTACTGAAGCTAAGATTTAAAAAATAAAAAATAAATTCTACGATGACAAAAAAAAAAAAAATTTCAAATAACATACGAGTAAGACGACAAAGAGGATATGCAATAGTATTAATATCATTACATTGTTGGGCATAAATTGTAAATAATTGTGGATTTGCTGGAGATGTTTGAATTATTGTACAATAATCATCTTGACTATTATTAAATGAAGCTACATTTATTTGAAATATATTTTCATTATAATTAATTATCTTTTATTATTAAAAACAAAAAGAATTATTCTTAAAAGAAAACTAAAATTGAATATGAATACATACATGTGATTGCCATTGTTTTATTTGATTGATTCGCGTTAAACCAATATAAAAAGAAAGTGTATTATTACCTACAGATTTTATTTCATAACGGAATAATTGATAAATTGTTGGTAAAATTTCATCTAAGATTTTAAATTTGATTTGATATTTTTTTAAAAAAAAAGATCAATCTATTTACTTTGAAGTATATTTTGTTCAGTTTGATTTGCCCAATACATTAATGTTCCATTATTATTTAAACAAAATGTTAATGCATCATTCCGTGTCATATTAGATGGAGTCGTAAAATATTTTAAACGATTTTCACTCCATGTTTTCCCTGAAATTTTAATTCATAAATATCTGATAGATTTAATTTCTGAGAAAAAATAAATCTTTCACTCATTCAGATTGAAATATAGATGTACAAAATATTTTTTCTTATTGAATTACTTACATCCAAGATCAATATTAATTGGTTCAATTGAATATAAATCATTTTTACTTCGACATGTTATACTTGATGATTCATCTTGAGAATAAAGAAATCCTCGATGTTCAATTGCAATATCAAGAATTGATGTTTCTATTTATACAAAATAGATTTTAGAAACAATTTCTCTTTTTATTTAGAATAAATACAAACCATTTATTCGATTATTAACAAATGTATAAGTATTATATGATAATGATGTTGATCTAGAATAGATTAAATAAAATTGAAATTGAAATTGAAATTAAAATTTCAACTAACTTAGCTGAATGAATTCCATTTCTGAGAACACTAGGAAATGTTGATAATCGAATAGAATTATTTTGAATTAAAACAGGAGAATTTTCTCCATTCCATGGAGCAACTCGACCATCATGCATTGCTGATTTACATACTAATGAATTCTTTTTTAACAAATTTATTTTTAGTTTTTTTTAAATAAATTAAATAAAAAAAAAGATTGTACATACTCCAGAATAGGTTTCATTACCAAATATTGGATATGCATTTTGATTTGTTAGATATTTCATTGTATAACATGATGATGGACATATTAATATACTAAAATATTTATTGATTTATTTATTTAAAAGATTTGAAATAAAAACCTTGCATTTGGATATGCTGAATTACTTGTTCCAGTTACATTATCAAATGTCATAAAACATATATGCGATAAATAAAATTGACCTTTAGTAGAAGAAGAAAAAAAATGAAAATAAATAAATAAATAAATAATTTAAAAAAATTTAAAAACCATTTATTAATGAAAATAAATAAATGACGATTAATGATGAATAATAATAATATGTGTTAATGTTCATCATAAGAAGATTTAGAATAATGAAACTTCAATCTTGTTTTAAATGTATTTTATTAAAGTGAATAATGTCTTCTTTTCTTTTTTTTTATTTCAAATATTGGTTGTCTTTAATGAAAGATCAATATTCTTTGCATGTTGAAAGACAAATAGAGAAGAGTAGGCAATTCTTTTTCTCTATTAAAGAAAAGAACATTGATTTGTCAATGACACCTACTCAATCATTATACTTCATTTTATTTTATCTGATCATTTTTACATCTTTTGATAAATTTGAAGAATTAAACTTTATTTCATTTATATAATTAACAATTTGTTTTTTTTTTAAATTCAAAACAAATATTTTCTATATTATATTAAAGAAAATTGTATATGAAAATATTCAGTGAATATTGATTTGAAATTATATTTTCATATTCTTATATGAATTTTGAAGTTTAAATGAGAAGGACATTTTTTCGAAAATTTTATTTACAAAGTAAATATCGGACATATCAAATGCTTCTTTTCATTCATTATATGTTTAATCAATTCAATAGTATCTATTTCTTTAGTCTTTTCATTATCTATATATCTATATATTAATGCCTAGGTTTCTATTATATATAATTAGTTTAAAATTCTTTTCTTATTTTGAAATTGAAACCAAAATAAACTTCTTAATAATCATAATTCAATATAGTTTTTAAAAAAATAATCTGATGTTTATTCTATGAGAATAGAACATATTATTAAAGATATTGTTATTCATATCTTATGTTACTTTTAAAGTAATGTCTATATGAAAAATGATTATTACAAAACAAGACATAAATTAATAAAAAAAAAGAAAAATAAATGAAAATATTTTTATTTTTCTAATTAACTCACTTGTGGTAGGTTTAATAGGAAAATACCAACTTCAACTATAATTATTTATTAGACTAATAACTATAAAAATTTATCTGATCGATAAACCAACAGAGAATAATTTGTCTTTTTAATTGACAAATTTTACGTCAATATATACATATCGAGTCTATGTTAAACAGATAGGCGAAAAAGCAAATATATCGAACATTGTTGCATAGATTAACGTATTGAACGAACACAATATTCATTGTATGAATATTTAGAACGATTAGAGATGACATTGTCAAACAAGAAGAAAAAGATTCATCTATATGTATTCACAGATTGTATGTTTAAGTACAATGATGTGATATATCTATATAAATTTGTTTCTTCTTCACTCTCCACTTTTATCTATCTAATACGTTCTGAGAAAATGATGACTGTTAAATGCAATTGAGCGAAAAACATTTGACTACTTTTTATTTATCTGCTTTAAATCATTCTTATATTGTATTACAGTCAACGAACAATAAACGTTAATGCAAGAAAAAAGAATGTTGAAGTCTATTTTTCGTCGTCCTTCTTGCTAATATATCGAATAAGATCGATTGTACGATTTGAATAATTCATATTCATTATCATACCTAAAAATAAAAGCACACCATGAAACCAGTTTAATAAAATTCTCATTGAGTGAAATACTTGCTTTAGTATCAAAAATTGATGAATGTGTATATCATCAATAAAATCTGTTGAAACAACTTCTTCATATTTAGTCTAAACAATAAATTTTACTTAATAAAGTAAATAAGAACAAGAAACAGTTATTTACGTCTTTGCTTAATCGAACACTTAGATCGATAGCTGAGATAATAGGTGTTGGAACATAAAAGCCATATCAGTTAATTTTTCATTTAAATCAGGAATTACTTTTCCGATCTAATTACAGATACGGATTTTGTTTTCATTTAGAAAAAAATTTCCGTTTATAGATAAAACTCCATTTTTAAATCGTTCATGTATTAAATTATACTTAAACAAATAAACCTTATAAAAACCGGGAATAATTGGATCTATAAACTAATATAGAAGACAACAATTCTGATTATATGATGAGAAAAGGAAAAACGTTTTTAAAAAATATAATCAAACTATTCATCATCGAAGATAAATAAAACATTTACTTATAAGTTGTATAAAGTAGCTGGTGATATAAAATCAGGGCAATGATAAAGTTGTGCAATTTCATAATTCTTTTTGTATCAATACACCATGTAGAATTAGATATAATATTTAAATTGAAAGTTATCTTCATCGTTGCAAAATAAAATGATGCAATAGGAGATGAACCAATAGAGTTTTAGTGTACCGCATTTTATTTGATAAGAATATTCTAAATTCCTTATGTACGATCACCACCATCCTGAGATGATACAGCTATAAATTAATTGATATCATGCTTCTTGAAAATCATATTTGTTGTTAAAAAAAAACGTATCAGATTTTTTATTTTTTTTCTGTTTAATATTTTTGTCAATGATTTTATTATAATAACTTTATCTAAAAGTTTCTTGAACATATATAAAGCATCACTATTTTTTAATAATAATTCAAATACTAATTCAATCAAAAGACATTCTTTAATATTACTACTCCCTATTACTAAACGAACAATTTCTAAAGTAGGAACACCATCAGTATTCGATTTATTGACTTAATATCCAAAATAATTAGTTGGTAAAGCAGTAGAAAGTAGTCTTGTAAATAATTGAATAGAAAACTGCTTCGAAGAACATGTTAAATTTCCACCAGAAATCGTATACTTATTCAAGGGTGTGGATGTGAGTAAGGTTCAAGAATATAATCCCTTCCAAATCTAAATGGAAAGTTCATCTCTTACTAAAATCTTAAATTTAGAAAAATATGCTTACTAGTAGCTAGAGCATTTGTAATTTGGTACATCACCCATGTACCTCATAATAAGGCGCATAGAAACCTTGGCGTCTTGTTTATCCCATGGATACTCGACTCTTTTGGGCGTCACCGGAACCATGTCATTAGTCATTGTGCTGGCGTCGCGAAGATGCTACCGCGGCTAGATGGAATCTATTATTACAAAACAAATTAGATAGAATAATTATAATAAAATAATACAACTAACCTGGTTTTTCTCGTATTAGTTTTTGGCTACGGCCAGCACACTCAGGTGATAATGCGTAGGCCAGTGACTGTCCAAAAATGGCATGGCCCCATATGTTATTATCGACGCCGTCGTCGCAATCCATTGCAAAAATATTTTCAATAATCTGATTGACGTCACCTATAGTCAAATGCAAATGATAATTGAGAAATCATGATAAATTATGAGTCTTACTTTTTTCTATGGTGATGGGAGTTGAACATGCGTAGCTTGAAGCATACATTAATTTTTTTAAACATCTAAGGTTAAGATGGACATTACCTACTTCAAATGATTAGCAAAGCAATATTTTTATTGCTCATGAAAAATGAAACAAATTGAGCGTAACTGCTTATATATATCCGATCATACACACCAGGCGGTCTATCTCACATACGAACGAAAAATAATCATTGTGATGCGAATGAGATTATCGAACTTTTTTCTTTTGTAAATACAACAGGTGTTTTTCGGCTGATAATTCAAAAACATCCTGAATGTCGATACCCATCTAAGCAAAAAAATTCAAGTGAAAAGATATTAAAAATAAACTTAAGCTAATCGTTTTGTTCACAAAATCTAATTACAAATCATTTTTAAAAGTTCAAATTCAATAATATTTCTTCTCGATCATGATCAACGAAACAAAGAAAACTAAATAGTGCGGTAGTTTATTAATGGTATTTTTTGTTCGACTTCTTGATCAATCAAAGTTCATGTCAAAAGATATCGCGTAGTCTGAGAAGCTCAGTTTGTCTAAACGTAATGAACGTTTACTTTCCATGAATTTACATTAGTCAGAGATCCTCGAGTCAAGATTGCCATCTTTATCGCTCAAAATAAATAGAAAACATTCTGAATATTAGTAAGAAAAGTCAACAGACAATCACCGACGTTATTTGATTTTGTTGGATGCTGAGTGGTAGCTTCGAGCTGGGAAGTGGTAAGAGAAGGAAGAGATAAGAAAAATTGACAGTGTGGATTTTCAGTTGCAGAATATACATAGCTACACCATATGCGCCAATATTCTCATCCATAAACACACCTTCAAAAGTTGAGAAAATATTTAAATAGAAAACCATTTCTCAATAGAATTTTATCAAATTTTTGGTTTTACAAAAATTCATTTATTTTATTAAGATAATTCAACATTGACTTGAGCTTATATAAAAAGGTAAGAAAGGTATCTATCGTTTCGTTAGAGAAAAGAAAGAACGAAAGAAAGAAAAAAAAAGGGTTAAATCCGAACTCCCAGATTTGAACTGGGGACCTATAGGTTACTACTATGTATTACTGTTACAGCCTACCGCTCTGCCAACTGAGCTAAGTTCGGATATGAAGGACAGACTTCGAAAAAATATATCTTTATTAACTCATTTCTGATTGTTGATAAATATTAATAGATTTGATTAAAAATAGTACGAGAAAATAATAAATAATGGAATATTTAAAATTTATTTTTGTTACTTCTACATGAGTATGTTTTTTAAAATATTTTGTTTAAAGTTCTCATTTGTATATAAATAAGAAATTTTCAAATGAAAATGAGCAACGATTAATTATTAATTAATTAAATTAATATGATGTTCTATAAAATTGCAAGATTATCGTAAATGTTTTAGTTTCAAAAATTACATTTCTCCTCAATATGAAAAAAGTTTTCAGTTTGTTTAAATGCGAATTGATGAACATTTAAAAATCATTTTATTATTTCTGATGAATATTTATAGCATACTGATACTTTAGCTCTAATACCGAACATTTTTTTAATCTAAAAAATGAAGAATGAAATCTTGTTTAAGAAAATATCATTAAAATTTTTTCTGTGTTTTATTGCAATTAATTTTATTGAAGAAAATGATTATTATTACAAAATATCTAAATAAAATTTTATAACAAATGCCTTTAAATGTATAACTTATAAAAATGATATAATTAACCCTTTACAACCAGCTAAAAGTGTGATCGTTGGTACAAAAACTCTTCAGTACCTAACAACCTGATGTTGTCATATGGTAGCATATTCAAATTTTATTGTACAACTTCATTAACGAATCCGTATTGGCATAATGAAATAGATCATGGGTCCATCGAGGAATATTAATCTATAATTACTTCTCTGATTGCATGTTCAGACATGAGAAAACAAAATTATTTCTAATCAAATATTTTTTACGTCATCACAAAAACAGAGCCTTAAAACGTTTTAGCGAAAGGCTTTCTTTTTCTTATGGATGCATGAATCGATGCAGAAATATATTATAGCGTAATTATCGATGTGTTATAAAACTAAATATCGTGAACACAAGTTAGTTTGGTATGAAATATTAAATATTCTCGATCAGGGTGTGGATATTATTCTGATTACAATTACTATTCAATTTCATCCTAATCCATGTTAAATCTTTTGTTTTTCTTAATTCAAGCAAGCACAGATTTGTTTTTGGTAGATTTACTAAAATATGATCATAGGTTACATTTCTGACTCATTGATTTCTTTGTGAAATTTTCATAAACTAAACATATTCTAACAGATTCCGATTTTATAAAACGTTTGAAGATTTAAAAACTTCATTGGACTCCACGAACGCAGTCTGCAGTGTTTGTCTTTAGAAATGGAATAACTCATCTATGCATAACATAAATGTCATCCGTAAAACATTTTCCATTTGAATGAAGAAAGATATATAAATATATGAGACACAAATTTAAATATAGATAAGTTTAAATCCTCTCAATTAGTATTCTTCAAGATAGTAATCTTTGAAACTAATTTGAATGATGAATAGACATATTTATTTCTGCTTGATACATTTATAATTGTATACGATGTTCAATGTTCGATTTGAAAGAAAGATTTTCATGTATTATGAATAGCTTCTACGTGTCTCATTTTCAAACATGATAAGATGGTTAGAACGTTTCTAAGATTATGGAAAAGTAAATTATCTAAAATATTTACTTTGATATATTCTAGATTTTCAACAAAGTTTCTAATTGATAAATAAATGTAATTAGTACATCACAGTAGTCGTGTATTCAAATTATACAACAATTCAAATCTTATAATGAGAAAAATTAATTTCAGGTATTGAAGAAGTGTCAGTTAAGTGTTCCGCTTCTTTAAAGCCGGAATCTTGTAGATAAGTGTCATAAAACGAATAAAAGAATATATTCAAAAAAAAAAGAGAACTCAAGGGGGTAATAGCTGGCACCCAGCACCGAAAAACACCTAACAGGTGCTGAGGTGCTGTACGAGTGCTCAGGTGCTGAAAAGGTGCTGAGGTGTTGAACAGGTGCCGAATAGGTGCTGAGGTGTTGAGCAGGTGCCGAATAGGTGCTGTGGTGCTGAGCAGGTGCTGAAGTGCTGAATAGGTGCTGAAGTGCTGAGATATTAATTGAATTTATAATATAGTATATAAAACAAACGACTGTATTGTGACTGATTAAGAGCGCTCTCTATCAGACTCATTAATATACGTTAATAATAAAGAAATTTTTATAAGTACCCAATCAGAAAAATACCTATTTTATAATATTTTCCCGTTTAATTTAATTCTTTTCACACTACTTTCTGATATTAAAAACAAAGTTTCGTTAAATATCGTTTATTTCAGATAATTAGTTTAGCTAATGTCGTCATCAACATTTGCTACAGAAAATAATAATTATGGTTTACCAAATGATATTTTTCATTATAATAATGATCAGTTTTATAATTACAAGTAGCGTTCATCGAAACTCGATTCACCTGGCCCTAGACTGCCACGGTCTGCATGCTGATATAACTATATTTAGATACGAATGAGAGTTAATCAAAATTAGTTTTGACTTTCGGCAGAAAATCAAATTGAATTTCTGGCTTATATAAATCAAGCATTTTCTAAACTTTTCATACTTGTAGAATGCAGAATAAAGTTCAGAAATGCTTTAGCTTTATTAAATTTAATTTTATAAAAAGTAGGATTTCAAAAAAATACTACAGTGCAGATTTCTTTATCATTATATATCAAAACTGATTTGGAACTCTTTTATCTATATGCACTATAGCAAGACTATTAAACTGGCAAGCTGATTAAAAATGTTTTGCAATAATGCAACAATTAAACTTTTAAAACTATCAAACTATAATGCGTATGTTTTTTAGCTTCTAATCCTGGATTTTATTTTATTGAGTTGTCGTACAGGACGTTTCGACGTATCATTGTTTTTTTCAAACATGCATGAGAAATATTTATCAATGATAATGAACGAGATGCTATATAAAAATAGGCGAACATTTTTTTCAAAGCTTTATAATACTCTGTGTATAAGAACATTTTGTTTTTTTGTTATTAATATTATTTTCATCTTTATCCATATTCAAAGTAAAATTAGCGTTGCCACATTATTTTAATTTGTTCAATATAATAACGATCTATATATAATTAAGAAATATTTTAAATATTTAAGCCCGCGCCTTTTTTAACAAATAAATTAAATATTTTATATTAAATATTTTGCTATTCAAATATTTGAGTTAGCGCCATTTTTAACGAATAAATTAAACATTTAAGTTTGCGCTCTTTCTAACAAATAAACTAAATATTATACTATTCAAATAAAACGATAATAGCAAAGTAAAATTATATTATAAAAAATATGCCTTAGTTACATGGTTATTTGCGTCCAAAAAATGTTCATTTGTGTCAAAAAAATGGTTAAACGTGCCAAAAAAATGGGTGTGGGTGTGGGCGGGTGCTGAATAAGGAAGAATACAACACCCACACCCTCACCCTCAAGATATGTGAGAATACTTTTCGAATTGCACGCTCAGTATCAGGTTCATTTTCGTCAAATACAAATTTTAGTGTAGAATCATTTTTAAAAGGATGCGAAAAAATATCAATAGTCAATTCAATTAAAAATCGTGGTGGACACATAAGAAATTATCAGTTTTATTTTCCACAACATCATAAAAATCATAAAGATACAATTAATTATTCAATAGGACATGTTAATGAATTGAATTTGACTGAAAATGATATTGAAATTATTATCAAAAATGCATTTAAAGCAGCTCAAAAGTATGTTGCAATGGTTAATATGACTCATTTTTTGGAAAAAAAATCTATACATTATCAGGTTTAAATACATTAACAAAAACAATTTTAAATAAATCATTATCAAAGATTATCGACTATACAGTTAATAATGATAGTTCCGATGCAGATTCTGACGAAGAAAATTGTTCTGATGAAAATGATGTTTTCAATGTATTAAATAATGAAGAACAACTATCACCAAACAATACCGATGATGAAGAGGAAGAAAATACAATAGCAACTGATGTTCCTGATACAGCACAAAAAGGTTCAATGGTTGTCGTATATACGACAAAATCAATCCACAACAATCAAAGAAATATTTTCGTATACGTATGGGTTCATCATATAAATTTATACACAAACAAACGGCGTGTTGGTTACTTACAACAGATAAACAACGATCTTCAAGTGATCGATTACTACGTGTTCAGCAATAATGAGTAAAATAACATAAGTCCTATTTGCAATTGTTTACATTTGATTTTTGATATTTTTGTTGATGCAGCCTTTCGTGTTGTTGTTTTTCATATAATTTTTGATATTTTTCTTCATAAAGTTGTTTATGTTCTGAAGTATTTTTGATATTCACTTTTATGAAATTTTTATATTTTCATATGGTACTTGTATGAGATGGAAACTTTCTTCGGTATCATTGAGAATAAATAGGCTTTTTATAAATTATTTACATATTACTGAACTTAGTTTCAAGTCAAAACAATGTTGAAATAATACTGTTAAAGTGATATAATGTTGAGCAGTATTTTTCTGCAGCAGAAGATGAAATGGTAATAGTATAACTGTAGTTCTAAGCATTACTTCACTTAATATTCATCCTACAGCTTTCTAAGCTTCACAGCACCGGCAGGTGCTGAAAAGGATCTCAATAGGTGCTCAATAGGTGCCGAGGTGCTGAAAAGGTGCTGAATAGGTGCTGAGGTGCTGAGCAGGTGTTGAGGTGCTGAGTGCTGGGTGCCAGCCCTTACCCCCTTGAGAGAACTATACAAGAGTTCTTTCATTTAGTTATATGATTTTACATAACTAGATCATTCAAGAGCGCGAACATCAAAAGATACGAAATTGTTTATACGAGAATTTTTTCAAATCCATTTTAGATTAAAATCATGAAATATGTGACGATTTTGTAAGTTTTATAGAGAGAAGCTCGAAATTATACTTAATAATATAGAAAATCTAATACTACATTATTTTCAGAAGCCTCGGAATATGATTGTCTCATGTATCTATATTTTCTTCTTCATTCTAATGTAAATTGTTCTGTCAATGATATTTTTGTTATTTATGAATGAGTTTTCCACTTTGTTGCATTTTATTATTCCATCTTCTTTCAATTCATTCTTCGATATTAATTATAACATTCATATTCTAAACACATACCTGATGAGAATGGCTTCAGTCTCTGATAAGAATACATCCTATTTAAATTTATCAGATTCAAACTATGAATTCGAAAACCCATTACTCTTTTGGTTCTTTCTTATATTTGATATTCCTGCTGTTTTTTGTTCATTGTTCTCACTTTATCACTTACTGATAGAACGAAGTTTGCGAGAAGCTCTTCACAATCATCCAACAATAATCATACTTTTATTCAATCTTGTCTATCAATTAGTCGATATTCCATTGCATTTACAATATTTCAAAACAGAAATTATTCGTCCAACTAATTCAACTCTTTGTCTTTTTTGGTTATTTATTGACTATGGTTTCTATTTTATCAATCTTGTTGTATTGATGTGGGCATCATTTGAACGTCATATCCTTATTTTTCATTCATCAATGATGGCTACTCAACGAAAACGTTTTTTCATTCATTACGTTCCATTATTTATTATTGTTTCATTTCTCATGATTTTCTATGGTATTGCAATTTTTTCACCACCTTGTCAGAATACGTTTGATTTTACAAATGATCTTTGTGGTATGGCTGGATGTTATGGTTCAATACCATCTTTTGCTTTGATTGAACGAATTGCTTTCGCTATTATACCTATGTTTCTCATTATTATCTTCAATATTGGATTACTTGTTCGTATTGTTTGGCAAAAACATCGACTTCATCGACCTGTAGAATGGCAAAAGCAGAAAAAACTAGCTGTAAATCTTGTTTCTATATCATTAGTATATTTATGTTTCGATGGTCCATTAACAATGATCAATCTCGTTCGTTTATGTGGTAAATCCAGTTGGGCTAGTGATCCTTGGCCAATATTTTTCTATATATCTTACTTTCCTATTTTACTTTTACCAATGGTTTGTCTTGGTTCATCATCAGAATTACGAAATAAATTAATACCGTTTCATTCACGACAACACCGACGAGTTGCAGTTTTAAAAATCACACATCATACATAAGCACGATTGTCATTGCTTTGAACTTAAACCTAATCTGAATTCATAATCCTCTTCAACAACATATAGAAATATCATTGAAAACAAAAACATTTACACCTTTAAATAAAGAATAAAAATCGAACAAACTATAAACAATATATTAATAGAGAAATTTTCAATAAAGATTATAAGTTTCTAATATTATCCTAATTATTGAAAACTCGAACAGCAGTTTGTAGTTAATTCATTTTGCTTCATATGAAATTCATAATTCTATTGAAGTATTCCATGATACTCATAGAAGGATGAAACATGTTACACTATACATTTATAAATACTATATTGTTTCTATTTTCATACTTTATCAGAATTCTTTGAATACATTGATGTAAACAATGATCATAAGAGGAAAGTTTTCTTTTCTTTTTCTGTAATAGGGATAGATATAAGAAAAACAAATATAATACTTTCCATATAACCACCGATGTTTTTGTTAATTTTCGACATGAAATGACTTACTCCATTCGAACTAAGACAATCTCACACAATAGTATACGAGGACTATGCTGAATTACAAGATCAATACAATCGTTACTCTAACTTTTATCAACCTCTTGTCAAAATAATTAAGTTTATTTTTTTAGCCAATATTTTCATCAACTATTCATTCTCTTTACTAACAATTTATTATTAAATTAAATAAAAAAATCATCTATCAAGACAATTCAATATTAACTTTATCTTATACAGGAAGAAAAAAAAGGTATCTACCGTTTCGTTAGAGAAAAGAAAGAAAGAAAGAAAGAAAAAAAAAAGGGTTAAATCCGAACTCCCAGATTTGAACTGGGGACCTATAGGTTACTACTATGTATCACTGTTACAGCCTACCGCTCTGCCAACTGAGCTAAGTTCGGATACGAAGGACAGAGTTCGAAAAAAATATCTTTCTAGAATTTTATTTGCCATGAATAACAAAAACTTCTATTAATATGGATGTGACTTAAAATTGGTTGAGAAAGGATACGAAAGAAATCTTGTATCTACATTAAATGATAATTTAAAAATGAATGTAATATATGAATAAGATGTTTATTATAAAAAAGATTTTGTTTATAAATATTAAAAAGAATATTTGTTTATGAAAATTATTTTTAATGCATAACAAGAAGAGTATCTGTTGCAACACGAGATGTTTGTTGATATGTTGGATTATAATATATTCCAATATTTGCATTTTCACGTTCAATAACAGTTAATCCACAACTACTTACTGATCGTGTTGGAATTAAATGAGGAGTTTCAATATGATATAAATTATCTTCTAAATTTCTATTTGATCTGAAATTAAGAAAAAAAATAATTTTATTTATTTATTTATTTAAACTAATAAAAACAAACTTATGTAAATATTCCATCGATGATATTGATTGATTATCTTTATTTCTTAGAATAAAATTTTCATTTAAATTATGTAAATTCCAATATAATAATGGATAATAATAAAGAAAAGTAAATAATAGAATTGATATTAAGAAATAAAATAAAAGTATAATTATATAAATAATTATTAATTTATCAATTAAACCAGATAAAAATGATTTTATTGAATAGATTATTAATGGAAATTGACATAAGATACTTATTATTACAAATAAGAAATAATAGATTAATGAACGACTTAATGGTTTTTCAATTAAATATCGATCATCAAGATTTGATAAACGAATTAACTTTTAGTTTTTAAAAGAAAAAGAAAAATAATTTATTTGAAAAGAAAAGAAAAGAAAAGAAAATAATTTTACTTGATTTGATATTTGATATTGTTGTTGAAAATAATTTAATATAACAAAATGAAATAGCGCATGATTTGTTAATAAAATAAATAAAATTGATATGAATAATGATAATAATATGAGATATGAATATCCATTAATTGAATTATTAATAAATGATATTTGTTTAAATAAGATTTCAAATATTGAATAAATTAATAAAATTAATATAATTGTTATTAATGAATGAATACTTGAAATAAAATTAAATCTTTTATTTAATTTATAAAAAAAATTTAAATAATTATAATTATAACGAATTAATAAAAGAAACAAATTTATTATTTCACATGATGCTATTGAATTTGTATCATTTGTTACAAATAATATATCATCTTTTTTAACACGTTTTAAACCACTTCCAATTAAAAAATCAATTGATGATTCAAATATAAAACCTTTAATTAAAAGAAAAAAAAACGAATTCTTTCTACAGATTTCTTTAACAAAAAATAAACAAACTTTGATCTTTAATTTTAGCTTTAATAAGTTGTGTATGAATAATAAGTTTAGGTAAAAGAATAAGAATAGCAATATAAATATCACATATGGATAAATATGGTAAATAGAATATTGCCGATTTTTTATATTTTGAAAAATCAAATGAATAATCTTCAATTGAATTAGAAAATCCATTAAGAAAATTACAAACGGTTGAGATTGATGATGAAACTATTGTAAATGCAACTATTATTAAACATATTATTAATGAAAAATCTTTGGATTTATCATCAATTGATGAATCATAATAACGAATTAAACCAAGATTTGATATATGACAATAAATTTCAATTAAAAAACAACCTATTTGATACCATAATGAACCTAATGAAGATTTTAATTTTATATATGACATTAACAAATCATATTACAATCTTCTTCTCTCATTTATCTCATATGAACAACAAATGATCTTCTTCTCTCATTTATTCTTAATCTATTCAATCATAATCCATCAAATAAATATTGATCTTATCCTCTTCTTCTTCTTCTAGAGACATTCTAAGTAAATATTCGTCAATGATTAACAAATTTTATTCTTAATCAAATAAAATTAATTTATCTAAAATACAAAAAAAAATCTATTTAAATAATATAATATTTTTAAAAAAAGAAAACGAAAGAAGAAAAACAAAAAAATGTTTAATTTTGTTTGTTGAAAATGAATATACAAAGAGAGAATGAAAGAACATGATTGTTGTTGAGCTTATTTTAATATCACCGATTAGATTTATTGATTAGATATTCGAGGAAATATTCGCATTGAATCATCATTATCTTCATCTTAACATAAAACAAATTTTAATAATTATTTTAAACTAAAAGTTCAATTATACGTGATTGATTCATTGAAATATTTTCATATTTATTTGTTGTTTGAACTTTATTTGATGTTTGAGATGATATTCGTTTTAATTTCATTTCAATAATCCATGGATGTTTTAAACCTTGTTCTGCTGTTAAACGTTCACATGGATTCCATCTAAATAAATAGAAAAGAAAATAAGATAAAATTCTTTTTTATTTTCTTTTCTAAAACAAACTGAAAACATTGATGAAGAAAATCAAGAAAATCTTTATCAGATGTTCGAATAATTTGTGATAATGGACGAGTTCCTGGTCGATGTTTTTTTAAATATTTTGATGAAAGATTTCGTGGCATTCCTTTTGAATCTTAATAAAACAAAATTTAATTTTAATTTATTAAATAAAAACAAACCAAAAAATAAATTTTTTCGTGTTCCTTTTTCAAGAACATCAGCTGGTGGAAGATCAAGAACTTCCATTATCATTGATAATTGTTCTTGTTCATTTTCACCAGGAAATATTGGATAACCTAAAAATAAATAAATATTATTTTTTGTATATATAGAAAATGAAATGAAATGTTAACTAACCAGTAGATAATTCAACAAGAATACAACCTAAACTCCACATATCAATCGATGAATTATAAGGTATACCTAAGATTATTTCAGGTGCTCGATAAAATCGAGATTGAATATATGTATAAACTAATATTAAATAGAAAGAAATTATATTTTATTTTATAGAGAGATAAATCAAATCAAATCAAACTTCTTTGAGATTGAAAACATCCTGATCCAAAATCAATAACTTTAATACTACTACTTCCTTTTTGTCTTAATAAAATATTTTCCTAGAACAAAAATAAACGAAAAAATATTTTATTTAATTTATTAATGTTTTTCATTAACTGGTTTAAGATCACAATGAATTATATTTTCTTTGGCTAAAATTTGAAGAGTTTTTAAAATTGAATTTGCAAAACGTTTAACTAAATTTGTAGTAAAACCTTGATAATGATTTTTTTTAATTAATTCATATAAATTAATTCTAGAAAAGAAAGAAATATTTTTAAACAAAACAAGAGAAAATGAAATTTTGTTACCCAAGTAATTCAAATGTAATACAAAGATGAGAACGAAAATGAAAATGTTCTTTAATATGAACAATATTAAATGAATTTTGTTTATCAATTAATTTTAAATGATTTAATATTTGAATTTCAACAAGACCTTGTTGTTGAAAACGTTTTTTATTTCGTAAAATTTTAATAGCAATTGTTTCTTTTGTTTTATGATCAAAACATTTAAGAACAATTCCAAATGAACCTTTTCCTAATGTTTCTAAGATTTCAAATCGATAACAAATATGATCACCACTTATTTTAACATAACAACCATTATCATCATCATAATCTTTACTTGTTATTGATGGAATCTTTTCAGCTTTTAAACCAAGATAATAAATTTCATTATAATTTAAGATTTCATTTTTTTCAAATAAACTTAATTTCTCACTAAAATATAATAATGCTTCTACAATTTTATTATTTAGTCAAAAATCAAATGAAGAAATAAATGAAATAACCTGATGGTTTTATTGGATAAATTAATGATGTTTTATTAAGATTTTCATTTGATTTTAATAAATGATTTGAAATTGAATGAATTGATGAACTACTTGTATTTGGATTAAATAAATCATAACTTAATAACGAATCTTGATCTTTTGTTAATGATTTTAAACTTCCATCACGAGTTTTTTCTCGACGAATATTTCTTACAGTCAGAGCAGCAGCACCATGATGATGATGATGATGATGATGTTGATGTTGATTTGTATTATTAATTAATGTTTGATTTAAACGAACTGATGGTTTTGCCGATATAAATGAATCATTTATAAATGGAAATGATGAATCACCATTTAATGAATTTAAAGATTTGACATTTAATAATTGTTGACCTGCTTTTATTCCACGATTATATCGATTATTTAAGATTGATTGAACAGAAAAATTCTTAAGAAAAAATAAATTTTTAAGAAAATCTTTTTGATTTTACCTCATTTTTAGCCAAAGGTTTTGATGTTACATTTAATCCATTATCAACAAATGAATTATTCATATGAGTATTTATTGAATTTGAACCAAAATTAATATTTTTTGACTAAATTAAAATTAAAAAAGATTTTTAATGATAGATTTCATTCTAATAAAATTATTCGAACAAAAATGTTTTATTTTCTTGTCATAAAATGGTATTAGATTTGTTATATAAAAATAAGTAAAATTTGTATTGTTTTACTTGATAGAAATGTTGTATGTCGATGTTGATTTATAGAAGCCATTTTAATTCAATAACAAATTGGATAAAATACAATTTGAAACAAACTGATCATTTTATATTGAATTCTTATCAAATATTCTCTATGAAAAATCAACTAACTTCCTCCTTTCTTTTGCTTTGTTAACTAAATCAGCTGACAAGACGACAAAAGGAAAAATGCGTTTTTTTTCTTTTGTTCTTTTTCAAAGTTAATTAATTTTTTAATATTCTGTTATTTCTGTTCTAGCTAGAAAATAACTCTGTTTAGTTAAATTTGTAAAAAGAAAATGTTACTTCATCATTTGAATAATATTGTTGATCATTTTCAATGGAAATATAATTTCTATGTGGTTTGAAATTCGATGAAATATAATTTAAATCATTTATTGAAGATGTTGACGATGTTTGAAATAATAAATTTTGTTTTTGTTGTTGTTGTCTTTTTAATGATGATGAATTGAAATGAGTTTTCTCTTGTTGTTGTTGTTGAATATTTGAAATGGAAGACTTTTTTTTAAATTTTTTATTTTGTTCATCTGTTTTAACAGTCATTCGAATAAATTTATGAAATAAATCGGAAAAACTTTCTTGATTTTGATAATTCATCATTGATTCATTTGACATGTCTTAAGAAGAGAAATAATTTTGATTTTGAAAATATTCGTCAATAGATTTGATGATTTTTATCGATTTTTACATTTTAATCGGAATGAGAAAAGAAAAAAAGAAAAAAGAAAAAAGAGAATTTCTTCTTCTTTTTCTTTTTCAACTTGATTTCTTCACTCTCAAGTATTTTGTTTCATTTCTTTTTTTTATTTTCATTGCTTTAACTTTGTCATATAATCAATGTTTATTCATTTCGTCAATGAATTATATAAGCAAACTAATATTTACTTCATTTTATTATTAAAATATTTGATTACATCAAATCAAATACAGATCCATATCTTTTATTTTGTTACCATAGAAATACGACTTACTTTACTTTTCTTTTCTTTTCAATAAAATATTAACTTAATACCTTTTCATATTTCAATTCGAATTAAATCTTAAGAATTAAAATAAAAAAAAAAAACTTTTCTTTTTCTTCTTTCAACTTTAATCGATTTTGATTAGAAAGAAAAATATTTTCTTTTAAATAAAATAAAAAAAAAACTTTCGTTTGTGTTTACAATGAAATGATCATGATCGATTGATGTTTGAAAATGTTTATTATAATAAAAGATTTTATTTTAATAACAATATCAAATTCTCAACTAAACAACTTACACAAAAAAAGTCAATAGACTTATATTGATCTTCTGAAATCATTTTTCAAAATAATATTATTCTATTTAATAAATACTTGATACATCATGTCTATCATGTCTACAAGTTCAATAACAGACTTATTCAACAAATTTTTTCATTTATTAGAAAATATTCTCTTGTTTTTCTTGTCAATCATCAAATACTTACTATTTATGTATATCATTAAAAAAAAAGGGTGTCTATGTTTATTCAAATAAAAATAAGAAGTTTCAAACGGTATATTTTATAAAATATTTTGAATTTATTATGTTGGAACTCTATTTCAACCTTCATCTGTCATAGGATATAGACAGTCAATGATGAAAATAAATAATAAAAGCAACTTGCAATTGTTACAAAATGTACGTACGCTCTCAACTCATTCTAGAACCTTATACATGTCACATTCTGTATGCGTCTTATCAATTCTACATTTGTCACCGTGTACCATTTCTATATCACACCATGAATTACTAACACACTAAACATACCTTTTGCGCAGTCACATTATCGAGTATTTTTATAGTTATCTATGATCACATATTGAGCTTATTCGAATTCTTTTATAATTAGTTCTTAGTTTTTACTAGAAGACATCTATAGTCTATCTAAAATGTGTAAGACTTTCATCTTTAGATGGTCCAATAGATCCAAAGTTCGATCGACTACAGTGAAATTTCTGAATATTTCATAAGAATAATAAATAAATATAGTTCTTTCGTTTTATTCTATTAAAGATAAATTGTTTTATTATTAAAATACTTGTTTAAAAAAAGGAGTTTAGATAAAGAATCAACACAAATAGTATATAAAAATTAAGTCTACAATTGTTTTCAATATTCTATTCGACATTAAATTTCGATGGTTATAGAATTAATATTGTTTGAAATCATTAAATAATAATACATTGACAAAGATTTGGTTTATATTCTATTTCATCTTCTCTTTTCATTGCATATTCATCATCATGATTTGAAAAAGGTTTTCCATGGAATTTTTGTTCATTGAGGTAAATTTGTTGATCTCATATCTGTTATTCGTAATGATTTGAGAGAATAAATTAAAAATTGAATTTGAGTTGTTTATCATAGTTATGTTGAATTGTTAAAATCTAAAATAAAAATAAATAATTTTTATAATAATTAAATATAATATTAGAAAAATAATTTGACATTTTTTTTAATTCTATTAACAATCTTCTTTAAAAATTTTTTTTAAAAAATTAATTTAATAATTTATAATAGATAATTATTATTATGCACATATATATATAGAGAGATAGAGAGTAGAGTGACTAATAAGTCAGTTAATCGAAAAATGGAAGATCGAATATGTAGATTATTATTTAAAAAAAAATCTTAATTAAAATGATTGTTTAATAAATTTTCTTTATTAAATTTTAACTCGGTATGAAATTCTTTTCGATTTAAATAAATAAAATATCGAAATTTTTGTTTTAAAAGAAAATATTTATTTTATTTCAGATCAAGACAAGTTTTTCTTTTCCTTTAACAAAAAAAAAAGATTTGTTTTAATGAAATATTGAAACAATAATTACATTAATATATATAAAGGCACTTTTATTATTTAATTCTAAAAAATTTTATTTGTTATAAATAGAAAAAAAAACATGTTAATATAATGTGAATATTTGGTGATAATTGTGGTCGATGTTTAATAAGGATTCATCTAATTTGGAATGAATTGAATGAAAAGAATGATCCATCATCATCATCATTGTTGACCGGATAGAAAAGAAGTTGACCGGATACAAAACAAAAACGGAAATGAATTGAAAAATGGTCTAATTAACAAGGCAAACAGAAAGTCATCGACGCCATTGAGTGGAAACGAAGAGAATGACTGACTATGTACTATGTACATCATCTCATTCAATCGAACACCGCAAGGAACATTCTAAAATATAGACATGACATTCATATTATTAGTTGTCTATTACAATTTCCAATCAACTAAACACATTTAGAAACAGCAGGAGATCATAATCAATGAACAATACATGCCTTTCATTCATACTTCATATATATATCAACACAACAATAATAACATATTGTATTTTTATTAAATAATAGAAAAGAAAAATCTTACCGTTTTCTATTCTGATGAATGATCTTGTTCATGATCTTGATCTTGATAATAATAATAATGTTCTTGTTTAATATTAATTGGAATAAATACATTTGTTTGTTGTGATGATGAATAAATATTTGGTGATGGTGTTGTTGTCGTTGTTGAATGAAGAATTTGTTTAAGATTTTCAATATAATTCATCGCTGATTTAAGTGTATCAACTTTCGAAAGTTTTTTATTATGTTTTTCATGTGGAATATGTTGACGAAGTACTTCAAAACATGCATTTATATGACGAACACGATTTCTTTCACGAGCATTACGACGTGTTGTACCAAGTTTAATTTGTTTACGACCACCACGATTTCGTTCATATTGTTGTTGTTCTTCTTCTTCTTCTTCCATTTCTTCAATTTCCATCATTTTCATTAAATGACCTTTCTAACATTTGTTTTTTTCATTTTCAGAAATAAGAGAGAGAACGGGAAAGAGAGAGAGAGAGAGAAAAAGAGAAACCAATCAAATAATTGGTCAATGAAAATTTCTTTTCTTTTTCGTTTTATTAATATTGATATGTAAAGAACAGTATTGTTAATATCAATGGAAAAGAATATGATGATTGTTCAAGTAGTGGATTAAATATCCGAACTAAATGACATAATCTTCAATTGATAAGCTGCTCCTTGTTAATATTAGATAATTCATATATTCATTTCTTTCATCTTTTTTTTTGTTCACTCGTGATTAAAATAAAAGAAAAGAAAAGTAAGAATCAGTAACATATGAGACAAAATCTAATATGTGTATTCATCAAAAGATCACCTGCATCCGACAAAAAAACATTTACTTTCTTTTTCCTTTTCTTTTTCTTTTTTCAAATAAATGAAAACAATTGACTAAATATCAATGTCAAAACAAATGATCTGGAAGATGTTTAACAGACCTGAAACTCATTTTCATCGACCTAATTTTCTTCTTCATTTTAAATCGAATAAAAACAAAAAAAAATACAAAAGAAAATATTTGTTAATTATTTGATAAATACTTAAAAAACAAATCACATTCATTTTTAACATTAATCAATTCTTTTCTTTTCTTTTCTTTTCTTTTCTTTTCGTTTATTCATCGAGAGATTTTTGACTGAACATCTCAAATAATATTAACATAAAAGAATAAACTTTTCGCTTTTGATTTCATTTCATCTTAAATATATATATATATATGTTCAATAATATCTTTTTTTGACATTTTTGCAATTATTAATTATACCTTACCTTCTATCATAATTAAATCATTAACTTCAAAGAAAAAAATGAAAAACATTTCCCTTTTTCTTTTTTTTTTGTTAAAAATCGAAGAGAAACTTGCTTGTTGTTGTTTCTTCTAGAAATGCGGTACGGAAGTATTTAACTAAAATCATTTTCGAATTATTTTTAAAAGAAAGAAAAATTCTTTTTTTTGTTTTTTCTAAATTGATCATAATGAGAATATAATTATCGAGAAATAAAGATCAATTTTCCTTTTACCAGATTAAATATCATATTGATATTGGATAGATGTTCTTCTCATCTCATATGAGAAAAAAAATATTTAATTATTTCATATTAAAATTAAAATTAAAATTAAAATTAAAAAAAAAAAGATTTTCTTTTTCTCAATTGAAGATGAACTTTATTGAGAATTGAGTTATTATTCAGAGAATAAGTGTGAAAAGGAAATTGATTTGAAAAAGGAAAAGAGAACGGATATGAAATCTAAAGTTCATTGATTCGTTCTTATTAAATATAGTTTCTCAATCTTATCCTATAGAAATTCATTTTCAACATACAAATAAACACCAATGACAAATTTTATTGAATAAAACGAAATAAAAACGCTCAAGTATCTATTAGTTTATTTTATTTCTTATCGATCTCATTGACAAATAAAAGTACTTCAAATACATAATCTTTGACGCCACATTTTGCTTTTTATTTATTTAAACAAACTATATTTACATATTTAACTTCAATTAGTTATTATTTATTTGTTAAGAAATATCTTTTCTAGTGAATAATATAAAATTAATTTTATCGTAGAATATTTCTAATACAAACAATTCAGTTGAGAATATTATATCAACTAATCATTTCACTTTTTTTTCCTTCAATGAAATAAACGTTGTCTCTAATCTATATGAAAATAAAAGTCAATCAATAAGCTATAGTCATTATTTGTTATTGAAAGTACTATCGATGACAAATATCTATAGCTACTAGGATATATCTATTCAACAATTTACATTTTTGAAGAAAATATTTGAAAAGTTTTAGAAAAAATCCAAATGAATAATATATAATTTGAATAGTGTAATAATGTAAATAGTTGACAATAATATTATTCGAAGGAAGTATCATTAATTTAAAATAAAATAAAAGTTTATCAAAAATAGAATATATGAATATTCAATGATAAAGATTAGGAAAACTTTAGTGTATTAAATTATCGAAATTCTTATAATATTTCATTGATATCAAGCATAAGAAAAACTATTCTTCCAGTCAAATTCAGACTAAATTTGTGTTATAAAATAAACTACAAATATAGAAGAGTTTTACATAACTTACGATTTATTTTCATGCTAATCAAAATATTTGAAATTTCTACAGTTTAAGTAGATGTTTTCTAGCATTTTCTTCATTATTATATTACAAAAATATTGATCAAACGATTCTTCTATCAGTCTCTAACAAAATCAATTGAATCGATTATAAATTTATAAATATTACAAGAGCATCGTGAACTATATAAAAAGCAATGTATTTTTTTTGAAATATATTCTTGATAAATGGATTTATATACAATATGTCTCAGAAATGATGATCACTTAATAATTTCATTTATCTTTTTTTTATTTTATAGAAAGAATAAAAAATTCTGTTTCATATTGATGAATTTTATAAATATTATTGCCTTTAACATTAATACAAATATTTCGACGTCATACTCTTTCTAAAAAATATCGCAGAAAATTTCTTTTCGAGTTATTGTATTCTTCATATCATCTAGATGTTCATCTATTATTCGTAGGTATTTATTTTGAGATAACTTTTGAAAAAGGAATTCAATAAGGTTAAATTTGGAGATGAAGAAATCTACTTATTGTTGGAGACGGTGTTAAGATAACTACGAAATGCTTCTGAAAAATATGCGAGTATTTTATCTATCAAGAAAAAAACTATCATTATTTCTGATTCGCTCTTTGTAAGATTCTACTCTCTTAAGGATAGTGTGCAATTAGTTTAACGATGTTCTCAAGAACAAGTGCGGACTCGAAAAGGTGAATTAATATTATGAATTTCTTTTTGTAAAATCATCTAAAAATAAATATTTAAAAACAATCGTTGAACATCTAAACGATATAAAAAATAAAATAATTCTAAAGGACGTATTTTTATACTCGATGAAAGTCATTTTCACTCGAATAATGATTATATACTATAGTAACACTATAAATCATTTAATAAACGATGTATATGAAATTATAGGCCATGAGAAAACTTTTTATTAATTTTTTTTCTACGAAAAAATCCAATAACGATGAATATTAAGTCAATGATCAACAGTTTTATCCAAATTAATTTATTTATGAGCGAACCCTCAAATAAGATAGTTCGATTGAGTTACGAAAAATATTGATCTATTCCATTGTCGCATTCTTTTCTCTATATTTCAAAAATAACAATATATGATTTTTATGCTCTTATTTGTCTACGATTAATTGTATAATCTGCATCATCAAGATAAAAAAAAACAAGTTCAGCTTAAAAATTACGATTTACGAATATATACCATTGTTTCATGGCATTTATTGTTATTATCAGTTGTATTGATCATATTATGAAAATGAGATTTTATTGAGATCTTAAAACAGACGTCATGCTCTTTCTAATTCAAAATAAAAGACGGCGAAAATAAGAAGGAAAATAATAAACAGAGTGGATTAAAGAAGTCTTATATTGATAAAGATATGTCTAGTAGAGATCCTCTGTTAAGTATACTAGTTTTCTTTGTTGTATCTATAAAAAAGTAAAATTTTTTGTTGAGATCAATAATAATACTTTAGACATGTCCTTAGCAATGCAAGACTTAAATGTACTTCTATCATTAGTTTAAAAAATCAGTTGATTTGCTTGAGTTGAATAGAACTATTTCATTTTTTATTCGATTAAGTGACTTTATCTAGTCTTTTCTGAATTTTGAATTGAGTTTAAATCTCGAATGCAATGATGAGAAACAAGAAAACATGAATAGTTTGATATATGACGACTAAGTAAAATAAAATAAGGAGAAATAGAACATATTCCAATGAGAACTAAATTCACATATTGATAATAGATAAACTTTGAGAAAGTAAATCTGTGTATATGTTTGATATAATATTCACAGTGAAAGATATGATTTATTAATTCTTTTAAATATATCTGTATAATATTATTAAAATTTTTATAAAACAAAAAAAAAGGTAAGTATTATCTGTAAAAAGCTCTTCGTAAGATGAATATAAAATAGATAAAATTATGTTGTTCGTCCACTTAATAAAAGTTGTAATCTTTCATTTAATTGTTTTTCTTTACTCAATAATGATGCGGTATAATTTTTATATGCAAAAAATTCCTAAAAAATATATTATATCGAATCATTAATAAATTCATAAATAAGATAAACAATTACTTGTTGAATTGTTTCCATTTTTTGTTGACTTTCAACAAATTTTGCTTCAATTTGTTTAACACGAATATCTGAATTAACACGTTCTTCTTCATTACTACAAATAAAATAAAAATAAAAAATCAATTTCTATCAAAGATCAAAAATTTCTTTACATAAATCGTTGATTTGCATCATTTAATAATTGTTGACTTTTATTTAATTGTTGACGAAGTTTATCTTCATTATTTGAATTTTCCTAAAAAGAATAAAATAAAACTAAAATATGAAATATAAAAATAAATAAGCGAACTTGAAGACGTTTTTGAAGTTTTTTAATTTGTTCCTCTAATAATTGTTTAGTTTTTTGTAATTGATCAAAATCATTTAAATGATTTTGTTTTATTTCTTCAATATTTTTTTCTTTATCTTCAATTTGTTTTTTTAAATCTTTAAAATAAAATAAAATAAAATAAATAATTTATTTCAAATAAATAAACTTTGAATTTGTAATTGAATTTGTTCAATTTGATTATTTTGTTTATCAATAATTAGTTGTTTTTCATTTAATTTTTTCTTTGAATTATTTTCCATTTCAATACAATTTTCTTTTGATTCTCTAGAAATAAAATAAATAAAATATGAAATTTTTGATTAAAATAAATAAATAAATGAAATACTTTAATAAATCTTCTAATACTTTAATTTTTTGTTCAAATGTTAAAATATCTTGTTGATATTTATTTGATTGTTCATTTTGAAATAAAAATCTTTGTTTTGTTTGTTGTTCTTTTAATTCCCATTGATAATTTAATGTTTTTAATTGTTCAATAGTTAATGTTAATTCTTCCATTTTATCTTTGAAATTTTGTTGTTCATTTAATTCTTCACGTAATTCTTCAATTTGATTTTCTAATTCAATTGAATGTTTATCTAAATTCATATTAGCTAAGATATATTCATCATTTCGTTTTTTTAACATCATTATAAGACGAGCTTGATCATCAATACGACATTTCATTTTTCCCATTTCACTTTTTTCGTCCGAGGAGATTCCTCGAAGACGAGATACAATTTCATCATTTTGATCAGCCATTGATTTATTGTACTGCCAAACAACAACCTCCTTCGATGTTTCAATCAGTTAACTGAAGAAAGAAAAGAAAAGAGAAGAAAAAGAATGTGTAAACGAACGAAGGAAGGTAAAAACTAAAGTAAACATTTATTCTTCTATATACAACTAATAATCATTGGCTTTTTTTAAATTTCTCGAAAAATCTATCATTATTTATTATTATTAAGTTGAAAACGAAAATGAAAATAGAAAACTGGTTTAAGTCAAGATAAGAAAGTTACCAATAATAAACTGAATAAGTTGTAGTACTGGATGTGATGAATATTGTTCCTAATGACTTGTTTGTCAAATTAAAATAGTTGCTTGATCACGTAATGATGCAGGTGAACATTTTGGCTATGGTTCATAATAAATATTAAAATAAAGAGAATTCATCTAAAGAAGGAGAAAAAAAAAAGAAAGAAGAATTTTTTTATTTCATTTGAATTTAATGGAAGAAAAGAAGAAAAAAGAGAGAAAGGAATTCTATTTTGCATTTAATCTTGCTTTTCATTAGTTTTTAAATCATTTATCAATTATGCGATGATTATCTAGTCGATAACATTCAGCTAAAGTTTAAATATTTCATAATTCAACTGTTCAAATATGTTTTTTCAATTTTAGGTTTTCCAGATTTAATTTGAAAAAATAATGAAATATTTTAGTTTTTATATGAAATTTTAAATTGTTATTCTAATAAAAATATTTCCTAGTTTGAACGACATGCATACCGAATTCTCACTGAAATCTCTTAATTTCTGATATTAAACTTCTAAGATCTTATCTAAACTAGAAAATTTAATATGAAGTTAAACAACATGATTGATCGAAAACTTAATAGGACTTTAAGAGTGTTTTCAAACGATATAAATCGTAGCAGAATGCATTCTACACGACATAATTCATTTTCCCCATAAATCAAGAGTACGACATTAGGCTTTAATATTTTCGTGTTTATTTGTAGAATAGAATAACATATTTCGATATTTGCTTACTATGAGATAGAACTATTTATTATTATTGAATTCCAGTAATAACAATATATCTAAAGGAGAGTCAAAAGAAGAATTTTAATAATAGTTGAGTTGCTAAAAAACCACGTAGTAATTTTAGTCGTGATCAGTCTGTAGATTTGACTATTAATCATATTTTCTTTGACATTATCTTTGTTTCTTTAGAATCAACAGTTATATAAGAGTAACCTAAGATTGAATAATCAATCGACTGATATTTTCAATAGAACTTTTCAATGTCTTCTCCTGTCAAATGATAGAGCATCTTTCTTCATAGTTTATGATCTACTAATAAACTATAAACACAAAAACTTACGAGGGAACATCCCCAACTGAAGTATCGCTTTGAAGTTCGGGCCCGGTGCATAATGTAGACCCCAGTGAAGTATGAAAAACCCCAAAAGGATAAGGGCCCATAGGTCTTCTGTCCCGAGTTATAGGCAATATACTGAAACTTTAGCCTATGGGAGGGTATGTAGAAATAAATCGAATGACGGTATTTCGACCTGAGATTTTGTCCACAGAGAGGCCTGTATGTGAATAGGATACCCTGAAAATTTCAGCTAAAAATAATCGTTCCTTCTCGAGATATTAAAGTCTCAAAAAATCACGTATATCCCACGAAACATACTAGAATTTTCTGTTTTTTGAGACTTTAATATCTCGAGAAGGAACGATTATTTTTAGCTGAAATTTTCAGGGTATCCTAGTCACATACAGGCCTCTCTGTGGACAAAATCTCAGGTCGAAATACCGTCATTCGATTTATTTCTACATACCCTCCCATAGGCTAAAGTTTCAGTATATTGCCTATAACTCGGGACAGAAGACCTATGGGCCCTTATCCTTTTGGGGTTTTTCATACTTCACTGGGGTCTACATTATGCACCGGGCCCGAACTTCAAAGCGATACTTCAGTTGGGGATGTTCCCTCGTTAGCATCACTTGACTTTAATAGGAATACGTCAAAGAAAGAACCAAAATAGTTAATTTTTTTTATATTTTTCCAAGTTTTGAAATGTTTTTTAAAACAAAAGACACAAGTTCAGGAATACAAAGAAGAAAAAAACCAATGACTATAATTTCTATAAATTTTGCCATACTAATTAATGATGATACGTGTGTTGTTGCTTTTATATAATATGCTCATATTTCATTAATTGCGGCAGTTATATCAGTGTGAAAAATCTTAAATACTTCCCAGGTCGAACAATCCGATATGAAAACGGCCGGTTCCACGGTATTTCGGAGATTTCATGGAAGCACTATTACGATTGAACGGATTTGGTGACCGGATTTATCTGGTTTGGGCCGGAACCGACAGAAACATGCCAAAACCGGCAGCCGGATACGGTTACTTCACTTCTCAATCAAATTCCTAGCATTTTCTGAACGGGTTTCGCCCGAAAATGGCGAGTTTCCTCAGGGATTTTACCGGAATTTCATGAAATCCTGCTTCAGGAACCATCGTCCTGGGTTCTCGTAATGTTGAATTTGCATCACTGTTTTTCTTCACTATACTGAAAGCAATACTATTCACGAAAATAAATGTAAATGTAGCTGTCAAGTTATTCATCATCTAAAATAAAGCAGTTGATAGTTTATCGATTGCATGTGCGAGACTGAACGATGCATAATGATTCACATAAGAATTTATTTCTAACAGGTATGTTCCATTTTAAGTAGAGTGTGAGCATTTTGCTTCACAAGAAGAAATTATATAATAAAATTGAAGAAAATAAATGACCAAGAATATGACGAGAATCAAAGCCAAATACTTATTGATAGATAACATTGTAGAATATGGTGCAGTTAGAAATGATTCGTAATTTGAATCCACAGTTCATTCAAACGGAAAAGTGAATAAATATCTTTTATTGAATAAATAAAAGTAAAATATAACAACAATAGAATTATAATAAAATAATAAAAATGATCCCTATTGCTACGTTACTGAGCTTAAGGTTCAGACTCTAGTCCGCCTTCGAGTCTTCCAATACAATTCAGAATGATTATAACACCACGTTGAGTCCAACCTTCATCCGAAGTGTTCGTGTTGAAACTGACTATATTTAATACGCAGAGCAAGAGAAAAAGAAACAGAACGAGAGAAAGATAAATGTAGTAAAGCAGGGGGGGTATTGGAAAGGATGTCCATCTATTCTCTTGACACAATATCTACTTAACCATAGGTTTCGATCACGTAGATACATCGTGATTATCTCTTTGCCTCATCATTGAGTGCGGACATTAATTTTTTCAATGTATTCTGTATGGAGAGAAAATGTATCAATGAGCGTGGATGAGACTGACGTTGGCGTATTTGTCGACACTCCGATGAGGGGGTACGCGTGACGTTCTCTCTAAATCGAGATAAGAATCAGCGAAAGCTAATCATTGAATAAATTTGCGTCACAGAATCTGTCTACAAAATGCCTGTCAACCAAAAATACACAGTTCTACAAACAGCTGATATACGTCACGCTGACGTCACTTTCTTTTCTTTCATCACTGTACAAGTACACTATATGATTCATCATCAAGAATTCGTCATCTGTGACCCCGCAGACATATTGCACCATTCGTCGAAAAGGGATGTAACATCTATCCGAACTATAAATAACTCTATAAATGGAATCAACCATCATCTCAGACATCTCGTATTTCAATAATCAAGACAACATCCTATGTCATCTAATCTTTCCTTACGTGGCAGTCATCGAGAAAAGAACGGTGTTCTATCTAATCTCATTGATTACTTCGATTTGATCCAATGCAACCTTTTCGATCCGAACAACAATCCTTGTGGCATGATCAACTTGGGTCTGGCAGAAAATATGCTCTGTGAGGAAGAATTAGCAGCAAAGATGTCGTCCTTAACAGCATGGAGCCGATTATTAAATCATTATGGTAATCCATTAGGAGAATTGTCCTTTCGGCAAGAGCTCTGCACGTTTTTTCACGATGTCTTATCTCTAAATGATAGTGTTCAATTGACACCCGATCGAATGGTACTAACCAGTGGAGCGGCTGGAGGTTTCACAGTGTACAGCTACATGCTAGCGGATGCTAACGACGCCATCCTGATCCCCAGTCCGTATTATTCGTATATTGACCATAATGTCTCAGTGGTCACGCAAAATCGAGTCATTCGTTGTCCTCTGCTCAATCAAAGCAACGGGCAATTTGAATTATCTAGAGAAATCTTCGAACGCGGCTACCAACAAGCTCTCAATGACGGTCTCTGCCCGCGAATCATTCTCCTGATCAACCCCAGTAATCCTCTAGGGGATATCTACAATATTGACACTCTTCTTCCAATTCTAAAATTTGCTGCTGAGCATTGCCTACACGTCGTCATCGATGAAATCTATGCCTTGAGTACCTTTCTCAACTGTTCATTTCGTTCCATTCTCAACTATCGCTTACTGCTACCCGATCCGAACCGAACACATTTTCTATGGTCATTTAGTAAAGACTTTTCCTTGAATGGTGCACGCGTCGGTGTGATGTATACCGCCACACCAGAAATCTGTCAGCTGTCTAGTAAACTGAACTTCCTTCTCGTACCATCACGCAATGTGCAATTTATGCTGCAACAGTTAATCTCCGATCGTTCATGGGTTCGAACTTATATTCAACTAAATCGTCAACGACTCACACAACAATATGCATATGTGAAAACAACCCTTGAGACGATTCCCAGTGTGAGGGTACGTCGATCACAGGCGGGATTTTTCATCTGGATTGATTTGAGAGCGTTCATGCCAGCAAAAGCAACATTTGCCGACGAGCTCTATTTATTCAAACAGTTGTTCGTTTGTGCAGGAGTGTTCATATTACGAGGAGAAGTACTGGGATGTGCAGAACCCGGTTGGTTTCGCCTGGTCTTTTCCATGAGTAAGATCACGATGGATCAAGCATTAACGCGATTGAAAGAAGTACTCAATGATCGCGCCGAATCTGATCAGTCTTCCTGAAGTTTATTGTGTAGATATTTTGTATGATGTATGTGTAACGGAACGACTGATCGTTCATATTTTATTTAATCGAATGAATAAACAAATAAATAATGAACAATTATATATCTATCATCAACATTGCCATACCGCTTCTTTGAAAACTAATAACTATTTTAAAAAATCAAAAGAGACAAATAAAAACTCTTCGCTATGGAATTTATCAGAAAATAATTGTTTTGGACAAGCATTTTCAAAATGAAATGCCAAACCCAAAAGTCGATCATTGTGAAATAAATAGAATTTCATATCAATATGATCACCTTGAACAATTTGTGTACCAAATTAAAATGCATATGAAGAAGAACCATTAGAAGGAGAACTTTAAAAATAATTGAAGAAATACAAAGAAAAGACACTATGAAATCTAAAATCTAAGAATATTAATTTCTCATTTAGGTCTTTTACCATTAAAATCGTTAGAAAAAATGTCACTGTTCTAAAACTCTCCTTTTAAATATCTTCATTATTTTGTCAATTCGATCAGACAACAAAAGTGACACTTTATTATCTTAAAATTCACGACTTACTATCGTACTTTATTGTTTTATTGACTTGAAAAGCTTCTTCTGTGGTAAGACCAACTTGAGTTGTATTATAAATTGATTCTCAATTTGCTAATCGTACAAATTTCATTTGTCAAAAAGTATTCTCCAGTATTTTCTATTAGATCTTCATTGTACAATATATTAATGAAGTTTAGTATAGGAGCTTCGAGTTTTCTTTGACAAATCATTTTATCTTTACAACACTAGCTGAATAAGATAAAACATGTGGATTAATTAAATATGGGAAAAACCTTTTTTTTGTATCTTTTCGGATTCTACAAATAGAAATAAATATTCAAAACAGCATTCGTGTTTTTCTCTTTCTTCTTGTGTCTCTTCATCAGAAAGAAAGAAAAAGACATAACGTTTTTACAGTTTATGTACATCTGCATTCTATCAGTTAGTATAAATTCATATTAAAAATTGTTCAAAATCAGGTTAAATTATCTGGAGATATTGTTGATATGATTGTTATGAATATATTTTTTCTGGTTAGAGAATGAGACTATCGCAATGACTTAACATTGACAGATTGAACACTCTGTTTGAAACGTGATTTATTCGACAGAGGTTACACAGCTATCGAAATTATCAAAGAAAACATAATTTCATTTTCAAAAAAAAACAGTTTAGTAGTTATTTTAACAATGAAAACAACGTCGAATAGAATCAAATAGATATCGTCTAATTTCATGATTATATATGAATAAATTGATTATAACGGCTAATAAACATATTACGCTTAAATATACACTCGCCATTTGTACGTCAAAATTGACAAAAATCATAACATCTACTGTATTAATAACAAGAGCAGGAGTCCATCCAATAATAAACATTGTAAAGGTAAAAATCATCTGTTTTAATAGAGAAATATCTCGACGACTGATTCTTGATTGTTGATGATTAATTCCATTTGTTATTGTGTTGAGACGTCTAGGATGAACACGAAGAGAAGATTTTCGAACATGAATAAATATGCAAATATTCAAGATCATATTGATTGATGATGGTAAAATTACAGCAGTAATCAATGTATAAAATCCCATCCATACGGTATTACTTGTACAATCCTATAATAATAAAAATAAATCATTTCTTTCTAACAACAAAATACTTACATCATAATATTCAAAAACGAATGGTAATGAGATAACAAATTGAGCAATCCATTGAGTTAAAATACATATTACTACCCATTGTTTCGTTTTAAATAATGCTTTTGTATGATATACAATTACACAGAATCGATGAACAGTGAATGCTACGAAAGCAAATGGAATTTGTATACTAGCAATATTGAATGCATAATTAAAAAGAATACACATCGATTGTGGCATATCATAATAAATAGCATAAAAATAAATTATAAAATATATACAAGTAGTCATTGTATTTACACAAAGATTAAGTATAAACATGTTATTTTGATGACGAAAACGTGAAATCAATAGAATCAAACATGAATAAACAAGAGCGATTAATAAAACTCCACTATAAACAATATTTCGAACAATTTCAAGAATAGAATAGGCATCCATACTTATGGAAAAATGAATGTGACAGAGAACATCAAGGAATTTATATATAAAAGAGATTCATGTTAAGAAAAAATAAATTAGTTACTATCTAGGTATTTCTTGAGAAGGACTTCCTTTTCATGTATGATGAAAATTTTAGAAAAAATCAACCAATTATTCGCTACAAAATGCTAATGTAATAACCAATTAGATTTTCTACTTTTATTAAAAATTAATTTTTTCTTTCTTAGTATAATGACACATTTCAAGCATTTGATAATTTCATCTTATTTTTCTTGAATATTATTTCTAATCTTCCGTTCAACAACATTTCCCCTTAGGCTATAAAAATGTAAGAAACATATTTTAAGTATACTAAACCTTTTCTTTTCAGAAAATGATGGAGATATCAAAGTCACACTCACACTCTTGCCATTCATTCTATTAGTAATATTCAGAGAATGACACATTTTATTGAGATTATTTTTAATTATATCGATGATAAATATAAGACGGATGTTTATTCTATCATTAATTACTATACGTATTAATTATGAAAGAATACGTTTATTTCTTCGATTTCAATCTTTGTCTTTGATGATAAATGACTTTTTTTACATAAGAAACGGTCATCTATATAACTATCTACAAACGCTCTCAAAATATGACACACAAAGCGAAAGTTCATATTATATACTAATTAAAATAACACTATTTATTATATTTTCTTTTCGAAAAGTAGTTGTTGACGATATTTATCAATCCAATTGTCCCTTTAACAACTGAATATTACAATATAACATATCCCAAAATTTCTGCTCTTCTTTTTTTATTTCCTTCATAACATACTGTTCTATGAATATATATTCATTAGATTTTATATTATATTGTCTCGACTTGTTTAAGATATTTTGAATGAATTCTCCGCTTCCATGACTTTTACTTAATCTTCTGAACGGTGAGTGATAGACACAATAGATTAGAGACACGGTCACACCCACACCCACACTCACCCTCTTCTCTTGTTTCGTATTTGTTACTCCAAGAACTTGATTATTAATTCAATATTTCATCTACTCTTTTTTTCATTCGAGAATATTCTTTCAAAATGATACTAGATTTTATCATATTGATTGATCATTGCAATTGTTATTCTATCAATTGACTGTTACCTTCGAAACAATTTGAATCAATTGTATAAAGAAAAATAGAGAAAAAATAAAAAGTGAAATAAACGTTAGTCTATATCAGTACTAAGTTTTATTTTATACAAAAAATTCTCAAAACAATTATTATTAATTATTACTAAATTAGAAGAAAAGAAAAAGAAAAAGAAACGGAAAAACAAGAAATTACTTTTTATGAAAATGAAAATGTAAAAGTGGTTTAAGTCCAGATGGAAAATCATCAATAATATATTGAATATGTTGTGGTACTGGAAGTGATGAACGTTGTTTCCAATGAATTGTTCGTCGAATTAAAATTGTTGCTTGATCACGTAATGATGCAGGTGAACATTTTGGCCATGGTTCATCTTTTGTTGTTCCATACATTTGATCATCTCCTGCTTCAGGATACATTGAATAAATATTAAAATAGAGAGAATTCATCTAAAGAACAAGAAAAAACAAAAAAATTTTATTTTATTTATTTGAATTTAATGGAAGAAAAGGAAAAGGAAAAAAAGAGAGAAATGAATTATTTTTTAGCAAGAGCTTGAAGAGCATCTGATAACATATTTCTTTTATATTCTCCAGGATTTGATTTTTTGGCATGTGATCTTGATTTTGAACGTTTTTTAAGCCATTTATCAATGGTATGATGAATATCTGATTTATAACGTTCAGCTAAAGTTAAAAACTCTTGTTTTGATAAAGTTGAATATTCTTCTAATCGATCTTTATAATAACTTTCAATTTGTTGATCAGCATTATCCCCATCTAAAAATTCATTTTTACAATGTCGTAATTTCGTAGCTAATAAAGCACAAGCTTTAAGATAATCTCCAATTGATTCATCTGTTTGAGCTTCTCTTGTCATTCGAGAATGAAATTTTGAAAAAGCTTTAGCACATGATAATTGTTGTAATGCTTCAATATCTTCTTCACTAAATGGACGAGGTTTTTTACGAAATCCACGTCGTCGTTTTGATTGAAATTGTTTTGTTTTAAATGGATCAATTGGATTTTCATTTGAATCTTCATCATCTTTTTTTAAACCATCATCATCATCATCATGTTCATCACCATAATTTATTGATTCATCAATATCAGCTAATAATTGATTTTCCATTGATAATGATGATGCTGCAACTTGTTCAGATTTACGTGATCCACGTGCTGGAGCCATTTACTTATCTTTTTCTTTTTCTCTTTCTCTTTCGTTATATTTATATTTAATTTGACATCGTAAGTGAGGTCAGTCCATAGAAAGTTCATCCAATGAACATTTAATCAATACAAACAATGACCATGATTATCTACCAACACATTTCTTTTCTTATCTAAATTATCATTTATTTTATTGAGAATAATATTTATTTATAGAAAATAATTACAAATCAAAGAATTATTTTCATATTTCAAATGAATTCGACACTTTCTTTTTTCTTCTTTTGAACGACATCTATGAATAATGACAGATACAATTTTCATTCTTCTATATTGATAGAATATGAACTATTTTTTTCTCTTTTAAATTCTGTTGATAGAAACTAATTATAGAATGATAGAACTTTGAAAATTTTCTCTTAGAATTTTAAAAAGAGATTTGGAAAGAAAAACGATGATATAAAATAGTGTAGACTAATAATTGAATGAATATTTGAGAGATATGTTAGATGATTAATGATATGTGGAATCTATTGATATAAACTAATGTAAAATGACATTCGATATTATTCTAATCAATCATAGATATGACTTATTTTTAACATGCTTACGTCAAATCATTTTATCTTCAGATTAGAATTAATATACTTAGATCGAATTTATTTTCTAAGAATTACATATTTAATTTTCATGTTATATCAAAACTATTTCAATAAAAACAAAACTCAATCAGAAAATAATTTTTATTTTTTAATTCAGAAAAATGTTCAAAATTTATTTAAAATTTTCATAAAATAATTAACTCATTGAACAATGAAATAGAATTTCAAAATTTTATTTTATTAAATCAATCAGAGAAATCTTCTTAAAAAACGAATTCGCTAATTCGATATTTGAATTTTCTTTGAAAAAATATTTGTTCATTTTCAAATAAGATTTTGAAAATCTATTCTTTTATGTTCATAAGAGTCTTTTAGATTAAAAGAAAATAAAATCTATTTATTCCTATTTTAATTTCTTAGAAATGTTAAATTTGATTTAAATGAAAAGTAAATAATATGATTATTTCTACATCATTATAATTCAATTAATTAAGATAAAACGTATGATTAACACATTAATGCATTACATGACAGTTTTTTCATTGGTTTATCTATGAAAATAATCTCGTTGATCTTATTTGGATGAATCTCTTTTTTTTTTCTATCGAGAAAATAGAAAATAACATTCGAAAATATTTTCGTGTTCTTTTTTTTCTTTCTATTTTTAAAATGAGTAAATTTGTCTCTAATTGTATTAATATTTGTAAGAAATAATCGAATTAATCTGTGAAAACTAGATATTATCAAAATAAGTATTTTTATCTGATAAAATTCTTCTAGAAATATTTGTTTGTTAGAATTAATTGGATAGAAAAATAGTGATGTGTTATTTCTTTATTTAAATTAAATTAAGAAAATGTCATAAAAGAGAGATTAGTTCTTCCGAAAGAAATCTTATTGATATATTTTTGTTTTGTTTAGTTTAGTTTTGTAAATGTAATTGGTCGTTCTAGTCAATAATTGGTGCAATGATAACTGATCAATGTTCAGAAAATGTACGTAAAAGTGAATCATGGAGTTTAAAATCAATATTTAATCCTCAATTTGATTCATCATATATTGAAAATAAATATGAATTAAGTTTTTTAAAAAATATTTATCCATCTCGACATCGTTTATTAGTATTGATATTATTAATTCATGGATTGATTTATTTCTTTCAATGTTATTTCATTGATGAGAAAGATAATTATGTTAAATTAATAACATATTTCTTCTTATCTTCAAGTATTTTACTTAATTTATTTTCTTTAATTCTAATAAATCGTATACGAAATAGAAATTTATCTTATATAATATCATTAATATGTATATTACCTTTATGTCTTTTAACTTGTTTTTATCCAAATCAATATAATATTTGTTTGGTTATTTTATTAATTTATACATTATTAAATTTATCATTTGTATTATCAATATTAATAACAATATTTTTAACAATTCTAATAATTGTATTAAATCTTAAAAATCTATCTATATTATTATTAATATGTCTAACACATTTGATTGGAATTTATTTAAATCGTTTATTAGATATTAATATTCGATCAGCACATAATCAATTATGTAAAAGTAAGTTTAAAATTAATAAGAAATTATTTGAAAATAAATAAAATAAAATTCTATCAGATGCAATTGTTCATCGTTCATTATCAACTGAACATACATTAATATCTAAAATGATTGATTCATTAATGCCAAGAAAATATGCTCAAGTTATAATGGAAGATTTTGATGTATTTCGTCAACGTGTTCAAAATGTAAATATAACAGAAAAAATCAATGATGAAAAAAAAATGGCAACTTTTCGTCCATTACATATTGAAAGAATGGAAAATGTATCAATATTATTTGCTGATATTGTTGGTTTTACCCAAATGTCATCAAATAAAAGTGCATCACAATTAGTTTCATTATTATCAGATTTATATGGAAGATTTGATGATTTATGTGTTCAAATGTCATGTGAAAAAATAGCAACATTAGGAGATTGTTATTATTGTGTTAGTGGATGTCCAGAACCACGAGAAGATCATGCCAAATCTTGTCTTCTAATGGGTTTAGCTATGATAAATGCTATTGAAGAATTTGATCAAGATAATAATGAACAAGTTGATATGAGAGTTGGAGTCACTTCGGGTTCAGTTAATTGTGGAATTGTTGGAACAAGAAAATTTAAATTTGATATTTTTTCAAATGATGTTACATTAGCTAATAAAATGGAATCTACTGGAAAACCTGGTAAATTATTTTATTTTAAACAAATCTCATATCATTACTTTTCTTTTGTTTAAAAGGTTTTTAAAATTTAAAATAGTATATATTCACATAGTTTTGAAATTGTAGGAAAAAAACAAATCTTTTGCTTGCTAAGCTTTGGAGAAAATTTCATTTCTTTTAGCTTTTTAATTAAAGAAAATAATTTTTATTTTGTTAGGTTATGTTCATATAACTGAATCAACTTATTCATTTGTTAAATCAGATGATTTTCAATTTGAAGAAGGTTTACCATATGAATTATCAAATAATGGTTTGTTTTCTTATTTAATTTAATAATAAAAAAAAGGAAATCTTTTTCTTTTAGTTTCAATTAAAACTTATTTTATTGGTAAAAGACGTTTAAGTCATCGAATAACTTGTAAACCTCCCCAAATGACATTAGCAAAAGCGGCTGCTGTAGCTGTTGCATCAGGTGTTCCATTATCAGTTCCATTAAATGATATTAATAATATTGCAAATCAATCAGAACAAACAGTAAAGAATTCAAATAAGAAAATATGTTTTTTAAATTTTCTTAATAGAATGTATCAAGTCCATTATTAGAAGAAGTTGAACAAGCACGACGAGCAACAGTAACTGAAGATGATCAATCAAAAGGAGGAGATGTAACTAATGATAAAATAATTGAAAATTTAAATGAAACAACAATTGAAAATGAAGAAAAAGAATTAGTTTTAGCATTTCATTTTTTAACATTAAAATATAAAGAAAATCGTTTAGAAAAATCTTTTCATAATTCAATTGAATCTTATTATTTATTTCTTATTGAAATTATTTTATCAATTTTATCATTAATATTAATTTTTATTTATTTATTAAAAACCAAATATTTAATTATAACAATATTAATATTAATCTCAATTCAATTGATTTTATTGATTTTATTAATTTATTTAAATAAAAGATTAATTAAGAAATCTTTGTTAAGACATTTATTTATTTCATTTTATCTTTTATCTCCATTAATAATAATCTTATTAAATAACAATTATTTATTAACATTAACAGTATTTTCTCTCTTTATTTCAACACATTTAACATTAGGTGCATCAATATCTCATTTAATTAAAATATTTCTTGCTTTTATATCAATTCTCACTTATTTTATTATTATTTTTATTAAACAAAAACATTTTCAAAGTTTGTTTTTCTTGATTTTGTTTAAATTGAAAACTAATTGTTTTGTTTTTAAATTTTAGTTGAATCAATAATTGATGTAATTCTCTCTGTATTAATCTTATATTGTATAAGTCGTCAAATTGAAATTGGACGTCGTTTTCAATATCATGTTATTCATCGATCAACTGAACAAAGAATTGAAATCGAAAAAGAACGTGAAAGAGCTGATTGGCTTTTAAGAAATATTTTACCTGAACATGTTATTGAACCATTACGTCTTTTAGGTGGATCATATTCTCAAAATCATCCATGTGTTGCTGTTGTTTTTGCATCATTAATTAATTTTCATGTTATGTATGAAGAACAATATGAAGGAGGAAAATTTTATGCAAGAATTTTAAATGAATTTTATGGAGATATTGAAGAATTATTTCTTGATCAAAGATTTTCAAAAATAGAAAAAATTAAAACTATTGGTGCAACATTTATGGCTGCATCTGGTTTACAAACTCAATCAAATCAACAAGATCAACTTCGTATTTTCTTTTTCTTTTTCTTTTTTTAAATTATTTATTTCTTTTTTTCTTTTTTTTTTATTTAGAATCAGTTTATGATCTTATAGAATTTGCATTAGCATTTCAAAAAACAATGATTAGATTTAATGAAGCACTTTTAAATTTTGCATTTGAACTTCGAATGGGTTTCAATTTTGGACCTGTTACTGCTGGTGTTATTGGAACAACAAAATTATTTTATGATATTTGGGGAGATACAGTTAATGTTGCTTCAAGAATGGATTCAACTGGAGAAAAAGGAAAAATTCAAGTTCCTGAACATGTTGCTTTTGCGTTAAAAGACAAATATCAATTTGAACTTCGAGGAGAAATTGATGTTAAAGGAAAAAGTCGAATGACAACTTATTTTCTTAAAACAAATTTCAATATTTAAACTATTTTTCTTTTCATTATTTTAGAATAGAATAGAATACAATTTCTCTTTTCTCTTTTCTCTTTTCTCTTTTCTCTTTTCTCTTCTCTTCTCTCTTTGCTTTATATTAAAATTAAAAAATAAATTCGATTTAATTATATTAAAACAGGATTTATATTATTATCTAATTAAATATAATCAACTATTGATTATAGACAAATTTATATCTAATCTGAACATCACAAAATAAGATTATTGATCTCAAATTTTATATTAATTTACCCCATTTAAATAAGATTTTTATTGACATCACGAATTTGTTGTTCTTTTATCCTCTCTATATATCTCATGAGTAGAATATGTAAATAAGAAGAGAATGAAAAAGAGGACTAAAGAATATGATTATTGATATAGAAATAAAATAACATATGGAAAAGCGGAAGTTTTTCACTGTCACGTCCTTCTCGACAATCATTTCCTGGGAGAATAGAAGAGACTTTCTTATCTTTTCTTCAAACAATAAAAATAAAAACATAAAATTTATTCAATTATCTAAACTTCGACAAAAAGTAATTCTCTTCTATTTAGACCAGTATACTATCAATCAAACATTCGAAAGATGCACATGAACCGGTAGATGAGGATTCAGAGATAGAATGGGCCCTTTGACACTCATTAAACTCACTCTTGCTTTTGCCCTCATTCTTTTTATTCTAATGATGTTAGAGACAAGCAAATAAACATAGATGAATTATCTCATTTCTAGAATAACTATGAGAAATGTCAGTTATTCGTTATTGAGAATATGATCATCAGTGTTTTTCAAATGATAATTTTAATAAATAAAATATTTCTTTTATTGCAACAGAACGCCATAAATAATAACAAAGTTTTTTGCAAAATAAATGCGGATCATATACATATATATACAAAAAAAAAACAATTTCAAATGAACGAAGCTTTTCAAAATTCAATTTTTATCATTATGCAAATTAACCGGATTAGATCGATCAATGTGCTAAACAGTAGCCAATCGAGCAGGCTTTGTTAGAGTGTTTTCAACTGATTACAATTTTCTAATAATGTAGGTCGATTAATATAATCATCTACTCGATACTTGAATAGACGAAAATCTTGATCATAAAGGCGTATGAGTTGACAGATTAGATCATCTGGTAGTGCTGAATAAAACCTTTGATAATCATATGTAGTGAGACCTGATGGACCGTTTCGCTTTTCA